AATCAATTTTTACCTTACAAGATTTCTTGAAACACTGACCATTACCATTTACCTTTGGTGTCTGTGGAGTCAGCTGATTCTTCCAAATTTGGCCAGTCTTCCTCATCCTCATTTTCCAGGCTCAAGTCTTGACTGACATAAGCTTCATCAAGCCCATTGTCATCGGAACCATTATCCATTATATAACCTGAAAGGCTAATTGCATCAATGTCTTCAGGAATAACATCCGTGTTTGTAAGCTTGCAAAAAAAATGAGTAATGTCATTATGGGTGTAATGTTACTTTGGTTTACAATTCTTAAGCAAAAAAGCTCCAGGGGTCAGAAGTTGTATGTGGAATGCACAGAAGTAACCAAGAGAAGGGTAACACTGAGTGTACTCTGACCAATGTCAAACAGAAACACAAAACCAGTTTTAAGGGTAAAAAAAGAAATACCTGCTCAATTTCTGCATACAGCTCTGCACTCTTCTTCTTCAACTTGCTGACCTTTTTTGCAGATATACTATTTTAGCTTTATGAAACTTGCAGTTCTCACAAGCAATATTGCTTTTGACTCGGTTATCCAATTCTTTATTATCATCTGCTTCTTCTACATCATCACCAATGTCTGATGTCATTTTTGATGGTTATAATAGCATTTCGAACAATCTGCAAAGAAAAAGTGTAGATGATCAAAATAACAACTCAAAACAAATGAGTTTTACGATGGACATTGGTCTGAAAGTGAAAGAACAACAAACCAGGAAGTAGGCCAGAGGATCTGAATCTTTGCTCACCTGTCTTTGATCTCGATCTGACATTTCTTCCGATATCTTTGGAGCTTCGTTTGCTACATGAACCGTTGGTACTGCATCAGGCTTGAGAAAAGACTTAACTCCGAGCTGAAAAGCTATGCATCTTCGCATTGTGAAGAAAGATTCCTCAAAATGACTCCCACACAAAATTGATGTCTTCAAAGGGACCCAGCCTGGTCAATAACGCTGCACAAATTGGACCCATATCTGATGTCTCCCGTTGTCTTTTTCTTTATCAGGAAAAAATGAACTGACACCCCATCAGTATACTGACTATTTCCACAGCTGACACAGCGCTTTCCTCATCAGCTGTTTCTCCACTTTACTCGCCATGTTGAAGTTGTTGTGATTAAGTTAGGATAGCATGCTCCATTGTTCTTTGAAATTCGTGTTATACTTTCTACATCATCAGGCAGCTAGATAAATTTGCTTGTGATCTGCCAAAATGACCGACTTTGATGGGCCATAAAAATATTTCTACTCCACTGAATTGAAATCGGTTTTCAGTATGGTAATAAGCCCTAAAGATGTCTTGGAAAATGAAGAAAAGAAATTCAATTTCGTTGCAGTAGCACTTTAAGAATTTGGAAGTACACCCCATTCCTCCAGCTTTTTCCATTTCAACTTGCTTGAATGCTGCTTGCTGATCAGTGATTGCTGCATCAAAAAGTTCCTTTATCTCGTCAAAAATATGGGGGTTGTTGAGGGGGGCCAATGGGACTTGTCGCAGCTAGTCGCTGTCTTGGTAGTTTTCTGACTGCTGGGTGGAGTTGTTGGCTGTGATCCTTCATGGCATGGTACAGGGGTGGGCATTTGAACCAAATCGGCAATGGTACCAACAAATGGAGCTTTGTAGGCGGGAAGCACTGGCATCTCAGCAATGAGTAGATGACTGCAAAAGAGCAGGACTGCAACCATGTGAGCGAGAATGAGAGTATGTGCGAGAACGTGGCTGGAATCTTCCTTGATTGACAAGTGTAGCCAGTTGAGTTGTTAGGCTGTAAACTTGGTTGCAGAGGTTGTGGATTTCCTTTGCTACAGAGGAGTCGACTGGAGATGGCGAGATGCTGGAGATGGCAAGATGCTGGCGATGGATGGCTGTGGAGGAGCAACTTCAAGAATTTTGTCTGCTAGGAGGGCAAGCTCACCAAGTTGGCAGTGTCAGGGGTTGATGCCAAAATGATTTGTGGCAATCAAGGGCAGTCGTTTTGTTTTAAGAGAAAGTCATGCCCCATATAAAATTATCAAGGTCTCTTGCTTTCAATGAACGATTTTTGATCGCCTTTAGCCCACATTTACAATGTTTTGATCGTTTTCAGCTTAATGCTTTGCCAACAAGCACCTAGTTTTAACACCTGTTAAACGTAAGAAAATATCTTTTCAAAACAATTTTTAAACGACATGTTTTTTTGGTCTCAGGACTATTTAATGTAAGTTATAAGATATTGATATCTTTAAAAATATTGTGTGAATGGAGCAAAGGTTTGAAGGAAGGCTTTCCTCTTAGCAACATGATCGATGCAAAGATGCGCAATTCACTGTCTCTTGTACAAAAGTTAATTGTTTAAATTCCAATACTTAACTTCATAATGGCTTTGTTTTTAATTTTCATTCATTAGGATTGGTAATACCTAGCAACAAATTCATAAATATATGTATTCTATCCTGTGTGTAAGTAAACTTGCTTTCCTCTTTTTCAATACCTTGTGGCCGTACCTGTTTCTTCAATACCCTGTCTCCCCAAAAAGCTGATGTTTGTACACCGGGACAATATTTATATTCCTTTCGCTCGACTGTAACAGCGTTATTCCAAATTTACCGATTCCTGTGATCATTTGAAAAACTGATGACGTTTTTTATGACTGCATGATTAAATAAAGAAAACTTTTGAAAAAATAGACGGAAAGTATTCTTGTAACAATATTTGGTTGTTTGATGGTAACAAACAAAAGTCTTGCTTTTCCCATGCAATAATTTATGAGATTGCATGTATCTTTATCTGAACGTTATCTTGACAAACAATGTAACTAAGGAAACCCACAAAAGTGAAAGCTTCCCTGATTGTCCTCAGTTGCCTCTCTCTTTTCAAAACCAACTCTTTGGACCTTTACTTTTTATACAAGAATGGATCTTAACTCTTCCAGATTTGCAACCGCAATCTTTGTTTCAATTGGCCATTGAAAAGAGTTTACAACTTGTTCATAGGCAGGTCCTTCAGCTGTGTCATCAAACAGTTTCTCAACATCATTATCTCATTTAATGTCAGCCAAAGCATTCAGGAAGCTCAGCAGAGTAGAGGAATCTGCATTCAGAGGAATTGTATCTTCATTTGACTCTCTTGATAAAATTCCAGCAATTTCATCATCACTCTTACCTGCTAATGACGAAAAACATCAACCACTGAGACAAGAAAAAAGTAGCCCCCCTTGAAGTAGGCTGTGACCTATGCCAAATATCTTAAAAAGTTGGAGATTCCCACCAGAACGCTTTGGAATTAGATGCTCTTTGGGGGTTTCTTCAGACAGTTCTGATTTTGCAGCTTCAACAACCTTGACAAAAACTCAATGCTCAAGGCTCCACCACCGTGATATCTCCTGCTAATTCTATTGAAAGTTTCTTTGAACAATTTTTTTGCGGTACAGAATTTGAAAATGGCTTTGAAAAAAGCAAACATTTTACAACATACTTAAAGCTTTTTCGTCTGACACTCCTCAGAGCATAAAACGTCAGAATAGGTTCCGAAAAAACACGATGGAAAAATATATACCCAGTTGTGGATTGAAATAGGCCAATCAGAAAAACGCAAGCACAAGACCGGTATAGTTGACCAATCAGTGCCGCGAGCCTAAAGAAAAATTACCAATGGAGTCCAAGAGAGAAAACGAACTCCTTTTGTCTACACAATAGCGGCTTTTTCGTTTTTATGTAGATTGACTCCAAAACTGCTAGATGGAAGGACGACCGGGCTCTGCCAATCATCCGAAACATGTCGTCATTATAGAGTTTTGCACAATCTGGGTTGTCTAAAAGATGTTGACCGATGGCAGAATCACTTGTTTTAACAGTGTTTCTAGACCTACAAGATCGAGGAGGCTGTTCTCTTTGAGGGGCAGTTTTGTTTCTTATGTTGGAAGGAGCATGCTGTTTTATCCTATCCCCCAATCTTTGGGTTGTGCGTCCTACGTAGCCAGAATCACACTGGCACGTAAATTCATAAATGACGGAACTTTCTTGGTTGGTAGGAACGCAATCCTTTTGAATGGATGGAAGGGCTCTCCTAGTGCTGTAAACAATGCGACGATTGACAGCAAAGAAACATTTAGTTATGGCTTGCCTAATCTGACTCTCGAATCGCACGGAAGTGGGCACTTTTGCGGGCCAAACTTTTGAACAGCCGAAAAACTTGCGATCTTCTCCTTAGTATAAGATAAAATGACGTCTTCTGGATAGCCGTTGTCCAGGAAGATCGTTTTGAGTTTTTCCAGTTCAGCGTGCAGTTTGGATTTCGAGCAGATCATAAGTGCCCTATGTACTAATGTTTTGACAAGGTTGACTTTGCGTTCTTTTAGGCAAAATGAATTCCAGCGTATGTACTGACCGGTAAAAGTAGGCTTGCGATATACACTGGTAAGAAATCCAGTGTTAGACTTTTCGATCAAAACATCTAAAAATGGCAAGGAATCATTTTCTTCCTTTTCAAACGTAAACTGGAGGGCTGGGTGTAGGCTATTAAGGTGTTTTAGAGAAATATCACACTCAGTCCAGTCTCTGTTTTGAAAATGGTATATGTGCCATCCACATATCGAAAATAGACACCTGGCTTTTGGTCGTAGTCGAACAAACGCTCTTCATGAAAGCCAACAAAGATATTGGCCAAGGCCGGTCCCAGAGGGCTACCCATAGCGACACCATCCTTTTGTTGGTACATTTCATCGTTAAAACTGAATTCCACTGACTGAACGTGTTGCAGTTTCCATCAGTTCAATGAATACTTCCTCTAGGAATGGTGGGCTATTAAGCTCGCTCCGGTACAAAGCGTCGGCACATATTTTGATGGTCTCACTCAAAGGGACATTTGTGAAAAGACTACTAATGTCGAAAGAACACATGAAAGATGTTTCGTTTTCGATGTTTAAGTTTTGCATGAACTCAGCGAACGTAAAAGAATCCTTAATGCAATGTTGGATCGAAAAAGAATCCTTAAATTAGTTGGTTTTAATTAGCTTGTATGCATAGCTAGAAACTGTACCAACTTTAAATAAAGAAAAAAAACGTTTTTGGAGTTTCCGCTCTAGCAATTTCGTTTGATACATTTCATCGCAATTTAGGGTCCACAATTTTCATTGTATATGAAAACCAACAACATATTTCATCTTAACAAATTTTTTTGGTTTCTTCCGATGAATTACATCAAATTATATTCTATTAGGATTTTTTACGCTAGGTGGTTTTCATAAAATTTGTTCGGTTTCCATATAACAGAAATAGTCTTAATTGATCGTAGACTGTGAATTGTGATGAAATAAGTTGAAATATGTTGATGAAAACTACCCTTCAAATGTTCATTGATATGGGCAATTGATTTAATTTTTTTTCGAAAAACTGTTATACTATTTCTTGGAGAAGATCAGTGATTAATTTATCTTAAGTCATAGCTGTAGGCTGTCTATTATAAATTTATTTTTCAAACAGTATTGCCAAACTTATACCTCTAGAAATCTGTTTCAGTAACCACAAATAAATACCTAGAACTGAACAGGACAGTTTGATGCAAATTTAAAACATTACCACAAGGTCTTGAGGCTTAAGCCCTCTACCAACATGATTTTAGTAAGCTGCTTCTAGGGACAAATTTTTAAATTAGAAACCCATTTAGTTTTGAATAAAACCATCATAAAACGTAACAGACTGCTGCCCATCTACATATTGTTTACAGTGTAAGGAGATAATTTTCTTCCATTCAAAAAAAGATTGCATTCCTACCACCCAAAAGAGATTTGTGGATTTGATTTGTTTTTCTGTCAGGAATTTGGTACATTCTTTGAAAAAAGTTGTGAATGTCATCACATTGAACATTATTTCCGTGTGCCACCTCTCAATAAACTGGAGTTTATAGTAAGTTCATGTTTAGTGACTCTGGATTTCATGTTAACTCCAAAGGAATACAAATCATGTCTATAGGTTTATTACTGCCAGTATGTTTTCAACTTATCATCAATTATTTCAAAATGCAACAACTTATTGGCTGTGTTGAAGCTTTAACAAGGCCCCAACCAAACAAATTTATCTTTTCAAATATATATTAGTAAAAATATATTTACATCAAGACAAGTAGGAACCTTTCTGATCTGACCAGAAAAAGAGGCTATTATCCCAGCAGCAGGTTCTGCTAACAAAAAGAACATTCCAAAGAAATGTGTCAAAGAGGTTAAAGTTTGCTTTCTACCGCAAAGAGTTATAAGTTTTATCATCCTATAACTAACTATCACTTGAAAAGGGTTTAGCTAAGTTCTTTAGAGCTTTCATTTCAAATAAAACTGTATATGGTCAATTGTCATAGATGAAACATTATGTCTAATTTTTCAGTTTAAGTACACAATTTTTGCATCATTTTGGAGTTTGGAGCATTTTTTGCATCACAGCGAGTTTTTTCTCCAACCAGTTCACATCTGTATGCCTCTATCAAGTACCTTGTGTAAGAAATTGGCATTTGTTCTAGTTTATTCCTTTGCCATACACTGCCAAGTATTACCTTTTAGTAAATTCTGAGTTTTGCCAAAACATCTTGCTACAAATCGAGATATGAGGGTCACCAAAACATATATCCTCATAGTAACAATTCTCACATATCCTCCACACTCCATTTGTAGGCTTCATTAGACAGTGACTGACGCTCTGACAATGTGGCAAATCTCTTTTTTTCAAAACCATTTGATCTGTCAACCCCATCCCAGCGATAACCAGGCCACAAATTAAATCGATTTGGAGGAGGATTTGGTCCTTTATAGCGCGGTTTTTCTGTAAAAACAATAAAGAAGCAGAATCAAGGTGGCTGAATATTATTAACAAATACTAGCACACACAGATATGACCAATTTTGCCTGCATGTAAGCCTCAACACTGATAGGAAAACAGACCTGTCCACTCTCCTGGATGTTATGCCAGAACACTCCAGGTTTTGTCGGGAGACTCCAAATTCTCCTGCTTTTTTCTGCTTTGTAACACTTTGTCCCTGCTGCACATTTTTGAGCAGAGGTATTCTTATAAATAAATAATGATAAAAATGACTGCTAAAAAGTTTTCAATATTCTAAAAAGCCAAATTCAAAGTGGGAACTACATGCTCTGCAGCCCTCTGCCTGGCTGCATTGTTAAACTATAATTTTGGAATTTTTCTATGACTTAGCTACACTGAATGGTTTACTGTCTGTTCACCAACCTTTCTTTTTCTCTTTTGATTTAATTTTTGTTTTCCTAATGAAAGCCAACATTGGGTCCTCATCTCTCTCTTGTAACTTCAAAGCCTCATCAAGGTCTTCATCATCTTGATATCTTGCCAAAGGCTTGCTCATTTCATACATATCCTCTGTCAATTTTTTATCATAATTTTCTTGTTGCTTCAAACTGAAATGGGTAACAAAGAAAATATACTTTTAGAATTGAATATGCCAGCAACAAAAACGACACACAGAAATATTTCAAGATTCTAGCATAAAATTTAACAATGGAAAATCTGTTAAACAACAATGACTCCTGCAAAAATTGCAACAATTTTATCAGAATTTCAATTCAAATTTTTCCTTTAAAGAGGTAGCACTTTGCCAAAGATGCTGGTTTTCAAGGGGCTCTTTCATAAAGCAAGCTCAAATTGATTACAAAAATTCATAAATAAAACTATATTCAAACATACACAATTTAAGATCTATTCAAATTTTAGAAAATATTGCAAAAGAAAAAGCTGAAATTTGGCAAACTACTTAAAGAGGATGCTTGTCAAGACTCAGCTGAGAGGGTATTCCACAACTTGGCTCCTGTGTAAGAACAAGGTTTTTGGCTGTATAATGTTTTCTTTAAAAGTCACTTTTGATTTTTTTGTTATTTACATCAGTTAAACAAGCGCAACCCCCAGTTGAACAAAAAAATTCAAATCTTCTTCTGGGGAAGGAAGATTTGGCATTTTTAAAAAGCTTACTACTTCCTGGAAAACTTTGCAGAAACAGTTTCAATTTGTTGCCCTAGGAGTGAGGGGGCAGTATGGGGCAGCAGAGTGCCCTTTCCAAGACACTGATTTCTTAGAAATATTGATTCATAAAGATAATTAATCTAAGTTTTAGATGCCTCTTGATACTTAAATGGGAGAGTAATATCAATATTTTCCATGTTGATAAAAATTGAAAATCGATTTGCAAAGCAATTTAAACAAAAATTATAATTGATATTTTCTCTTTAGCCTTCATTATCATTAGATTCCAATTTACACCAAACCATGTTTGAGCAGTTTGCTGCTACAATTAACTTTGGTTGCACATGGTTGATAGTTCAATCAAGGGCTTCAAGACGTTTTTTAAATAAGATGTTTTATTCAAGACGCTTTCTACTCAAGTCATTTTTTAATCATATTTCAAAAACAACCTTACATTCTAACAAGTGGGTTTAAAGAAGGTAGCTCCTAAAGTAAAAATATTCTGAACGATTTCCTGAATCCTAGATTTTGATGAAATTTATAAGGAACTAAGCTCCTTTGAAGCTTTGTATTCATCTAGAATCGACATTTTGTCACAATTTACTCTGATTGCTTGCAACTGTAGTAATAGGGCTCTTTCCTTTAACTTCAAAGCATGACAAGTGTACTCTAATGGGGTCCTTATGTTCTCATCCCCCTTCTTTGTATAGAAATGCCACAGGCTGAAAGATATCGGAACAGCACAGCAAAGAAACTGCCTCTGGTGGCCCAAAAAGAAGGCCACAGCTCAATTTCTGGCTTTAACAGAGGTGAAAAGAATAACCTTGAGCAAAGAGCCAGATAAGATGTTGTCACCATTATTGAAGATAGAGCAGTAACTCCTGAATCAGTCGATGCAGGTCTATTTTGCAAAAAAAGCAAGAGATGCTGCAGTTTTCTAGTAAAGCGACCAAAGGAACAGAAAGGTGACAGAGTTTACTTTGAGAGAGAAAAAATGCAGCGAAAACAAAGGGAGCTTGGTGAAACTATCTACGTAGAAGAATTAGAAAATGAGCTCTAGGAACTTCCAAAAACATTAAACATTTTAACAAAGAATCAGATGTACCGGTCCAGAGGAACCACCCAAGTTTCAATAACCTGTGAGATTTTCAACAGGAAGCCTGCATCAAATGAGTGTTTACTGGCGCTTCATCAGCCTCTCAAGTTCTATACAACTGTGCCACTTGGTTCAGCAACAGCGGAAAGAGGCCTCAGTACAATAAGAAGGATCAAGCCCTGGCTTTGATAAACGATGGCAGCAAATAATCTCAAGAACAGAATGTTCTGCATGCCATAGGGAGATCACACTGATGAAGATAGTACATTGAGAATGGCCAAAGAATTCATCTTGCAATTAACAGTGTCGTTGATATTTCAGGACTTTTGAAGGATTTCGAGGTATCAAACAATTTCTGATGGTGCATAAGTCACCAGATAATGCTATTGTTGAATCTTATTGCAACACTCAAATAAACTGAAACATTATAAGCCAACTATTGAAATCTAAGAAAATTGTTAGAAGATAAAAGATTCAAATAACCATTCAGCCTGCTTGTCACAGGCCTGTTTTAGGGAAAACACTTTAGTAAAAAATTTCTGTCATTTGATGTTTTCTTTGAAACTGTGTTAGAAGTGTTAGAAGTATATACCAGTAGAAATTTTTTCCTGTTATAGGCCATATATATTGTTGTTGTAAAAGGACCATTAAAACAGACAAATTTCTAATTTCTACCTGTTCACAGTATGTTTGACTCTTTCCTGTTACAAATTACGCTGAAAATCAATGGGAAATAGAACTTTCATCTAACTGGACGTTGGGATCAAGTCGTTTAGTTTCTGTAGGATAATGAAATTTCAGAATGGAACTGTTTCGCATAGTGCATCCTCCGTAGTAATGTAGTTGGCAAGATTGGACTTAGACAAAGAACACAAAATGGGGAGTAATAGAATTCTGCAAAAGCACTATCTTATAGTCACAAATACCTGGTTTCAGCAAAAAGAAAGCGCAAGACACACTTGGATATTGCCAGACCAAAGAACAAAGAATCAAATAGACTACCTCAGGATTTTATCAAAAGTTTGTTTGTTCCAATTCCTAAAGTCACCAAAGTCATGGAATGTAAGGAACACAGAACGATCAGCCTAATCTCACATGCTGCAAAAATTATACTTAAAGTAATAAAGAAAAGAATAACACCTTTGATTGAAAGAAGAATCAGCGAGAATTGATTTGGTTTTAGAAAAGGCAAAGGTACAAGAGAAGCTATTTTCATCACAAGAATCTTAAGTGAAAGAACTATTGAAAAAAATAAAACTATTTATCTTTCTTTTATTGATTACACCAAAGCATTTGACAGAGTAAGATACAACAAAATGATCAAAATAATCATGAAAAGAATGGGAATTCCTAATCATGAGATCAGATTAATTGCTAATTTTTATTGGAAACAGAAAGCAAGTGTAAGAACCAACCAAGGGGAGATTGAAGATATTGAAATAAAAAGAGGCATTAGACAGGTTTGCATCCTATCACCAATTTTATTCAACCTGTACAGCGAATTCCTAATTGAAGAAGCATTAAGCAACAGAAATGGGCTAAACATCAATGGAGAAAAATATAAACAATATTAGGTTCGCTGATCATTCTATACTAATTGCAGAAAGTAGAGAAGATCTTCAAAAATTTTTTAATGAGCTCCATCAAAGATGTGTAGTCTAAATGCAAAGAAAACAAAAGTAATGGTAATAGACAAGAAGGAACAAATTAAATGTGAAATAAAAGTAGAAAACAAAGAGCTAGAACAAGTAAAAGAAAACAAATATCTAGGAAGTTGGGATTGATGGAAAAAGAGACAAGGAAGATAAAGATAAACATGGGGAGACAATGTTAAAGAATGGAGCGGGTTTGAGAGCATTGGAAGAGCTAAACGATATTCTGAGGATAGGGATAGTTGGAGGGTTATGGTAGCCAACCTTCTGATAGAAGATGACACCTGATGATGATGATACTATATCAAAATATTGTGCCCAGATAATTGAATCGTTTTGGGGTTTTGCATCTGTTGGGCATTAGAGGCAAGTTGTTTCTCTTCTGCAGTTAGAATAGTAGGATGATCCCTTCTGCTCCCAAGACCACAGTATGTTCACAGAAGATGATTTGCGATTTGTTGCTACAGTAAACTTTGACAACCAAAGGTAAACCATTAATATCTGATTAATTTTGCTTTGATCTATCCCAAACAAATACATACATATAGAAGTAAAAAAAGCATGAATACATTAGTAGAAATGTATGGTTATGTTTAGACCTTGTGTAACATACCCCTTCTTCCATGCATCATATTTGACTTGCTCCACTGCTTTCTGTTTCTCCCTTTCATCCTTCTTTCTTCTCTCCTCATCTAAGTCTATTTTCTTTCCAGATTTGCTCCTATATATTGTAGTGGCCCCCTTTCCTGACACTGACTTTTCCATTGATGTAAAATGTTTATCTTCTAATGCTTTTCTCTGCATATTCTCTTCGTGCAATGATTTGGCAGATTGTAAACCAGCTTTCTTTCCTGACATAACAAAAAAAGAAGATTAAGACAGAATAATTTAATACAATGTGCTTAGCCTAATGTAAACAATAGTTGATCCATCAACAGAGGGCATGCTTTGTCTTAAACATTCTGCTGCACAAATGAGGTATTAAACATGTCAAACGGTTTACCAGAGTATCTGGTGACAGATTAAGCTCTTATTACTGCACTTTTTCAAAAAGTAACTTGACTTGGAACCAACCCTCAAAGTTCTTAAAATAATGAAGGTTTCAGCCCTTAAAGCAGCTTAATGCATTCCCAAATAATAATAAACATGAAGGAGAAAAAATAATCCATCTTTCAGAATGCTTTCTCAATTTTCATTTTTGTGGATGAAAATCTTATCATGAATTTTGAATAACATAATGAAATAAGTAGACACCACTCCAAAATTGGCTAGAAGCTTTTTGGTCTGACACCCCTCAGAGCATAAAACATCAGCATAAGGGTCCAAAAGAACACAATGAAAAATATATACCCAAATATGGGTCGAAGTAGGCCAATCAGAATAACACAAGCACAAGGTCGGTATAGTTGTCCAATAAGTGATGCATGATAAAGTAAAGCTACCACTGGAGTCCTAGAGAAAAAACAAAATCCTTCTGTTCACACAATACCTGTTTCATTGTTTGTATTAAGATCGATTCCACCACTGCTAGATGGAAAGATGACCAAGCTCTGCCAATTTTCAGAAAAGTGTTGCCATTATAGAATATGTTATAAAATGTTATAAAATTTTAGCCAATATGTTATGAAATGTTTGCTAGAAACATTTTCAAGTTTTATACTGCTAGAAACTGTTCACTTCAAAATATGTTAACTATTCATGAAAATAGGTGATTCAAGGTAGTTTTAGGAGATGTTCAAATAATCAGGTGATTTGCAGGCCATTATAGGGGATTTCCAGGCATATTTGGCAGGCAGATTTTCAGTATAAAATTAAAATTGGCTTGATTGCCCGTCAGCAATTTTGCACCATACTATTTGCTAAAAATTTATCCAGTCTGGCCTTAGTTGCTTAATAACTGGTTGATTATGAAAAAAGTGGATGCTGAGCAACCAGTTTACACATCTTTCCTTTCAATTAGGTGTTCCTAGAAACTTATCAAACATCTAATTTTATTCTTTACTCTGTCTTGCATGCAAACATTATCTTTTCTTGGAAAACCATTATTAACATAACTAAAGATTTACATCACAAAAATTAAGACTAATAAAGACATTTTGATGCTACAAATAAATATCTATACCTTGAAGAACCACTTCTGGTGATGTTTCATGTCTGTTCTTCAACCTGTTGAATTTTTTATCATTTAAATTATCAATCGCTTCATTCCTTTTTGGTGATAAGTCTGGTGAAATGCTTTGCTCTTGACTCCTTACTTCGGCATGACTGTGTTTCTTTAACAAGCTCAAGTGATTATTCTTTCTCCTTAGAGAAAGATCTTGCGAAACTGCCAGATCTGAAGCTGAATCTAGTTGTTCTATTTCTTTTGAGGATTTGTATCTATACTCTTGTCTTTTGGGAGATAGATCAGATGAACTGTCATTCTTGAGTGAAGATGACGAGTGTTTTCTACTTCTTTTTCTCTGCGGTGAAAGATCTAGCGAGTCATCGAGTCATCGTTTTTCTTCTTTGGTTGTATGTCTGGTGAGTCATGTCTGCCACTTACTCTAACTCTTCTCGGTGAAAGATCTACAGAGCCTTTCCGATGCTGGTGTCGCATAGGCGATAAATCAGGTGAGCTGTTTTTCAGCCTGGGTCTCCTTGGTGATAAGTCTGGAGAGTCATGTCTCCTTCTTTCTGCTATGAAATCGTCTTCATACTCGTAATTGCGAACAGGCCTATCTGTTGAAATTTCTTCAGCTCTGTCGTAATTGTCACTTTTCTTCAAACCATCCCCGGATACTGGCGCCCATTTATTCTGCTGATCGGCATGATTTTTTTCGCTGTATTCTGAGAGAAGAGTGTTTCCTTCAACGTAGATTTGTGGCTTTTCCTCCTCTAAATCAAATTCATCACAGGACGAATCGTTGGTTTTTCTGGTATCAGTAAACTTCACCTCAGTATCAATTATCTTGAGATTCTTCGAATCTTTTGACTTCTTTAATCTTTTCGTTGTCTTGGCTGACTTTTTATCTTTGGACAAGTACTTTTTCAAGTAATCTAATTTTGAAACGGAACCCTTTCCACTGTTCGCCATCTTGTTTATAAGTAATCCTGTTGAAAATGTCTCGTTCTCACGAAGAGAACGGTCTGCGACATACAAAATTGGCAAAACCACTCTCGAAATAGCCCAGAGGGGACGGGGAGGGTTATCACGAGGAATAGGAGGTAGCTGTGGTACCTGTCGTAGTGGACAGAAAATATTATCTTGAAATGGCAGGGGATGGGTAAAATTTGAAATTATGTAGAGCCTAAGAGGCAGGGACCAGGTATCATTCAGCACCACATTCATCCCCATATTCGAAAACTTGCTTGTACTGCTCGAAATGTGTCGATATGACAATGATTAGTATAAAAATATGTTATTTTCCGAGTTTCCTTTCAATTTCCACTCGATAAAAAACTTTTTCTTGCCAATTTTTTCTTGACGTTTTAAGCAGGCCTAGGGCTAGGCATGCGTATTTTCTATCGCCACATTCATCCCCAGATTCGCGTTTTGCATAATATGGGTCTAAAAACAGCTTAAGATGTGTCAAAATGACAATAATTCTAGAGAATGTGTAGTATAATATGCGGTTCTCCGTCAATTTCTGCTAAACAAATGTCACTTTTCTACCACTTTGTTTCCAATGTTGGCTTGAAAATGGCCAATTGTAATAACCAGAGAGATTCATATAAAATTCTGGTTGCAGTGCCTGTAATGCAGCGTTGTAATGGCGGACATGGAGGGCCTAGCTGTGGGATACACAATGCAAACATGCAATATAAACAATACAAAAACAAATCGAAGTTCTATATATTAACAAAATATCAAATACTTAAATATAAAAACCTCGCCACGCGATAAACTCAGAAGACGAAATTACAATCAAGCAATTGATAAGATGAACAACTACCATCCGCTTAGCCTAGGCAGAAACGCATGGAGAACTTTAGTGCTATGCGTTTCAGTCTGAGGCATCTACAATCAAAACACCATCGAATATCATCGTAAAAGCATGTTAACTAACAAGAAACGATTGTGAGAGCTTGATCTTGGTCAAACACTTCCATGAAAGTAGCATTTTTGAATTTTTATCATTTTTGTAGTTTGTCTTAGACCCATGCAGAAACGCATAGAGAATTTCAGTGTTATGCGTTTCTGCATGGGGCATCTAAAATCAAAACACTATCGAATCTCATCGCAAATGAATGTTTACTAGCAAGAAATGATTGGAACAACCTGATATAGGTCAAACTTTTCCATGCAAGTAGCATTTTTGAATTTTTATCCTTGTTGGTAGTCTCCCTTAGGCCCATGCAGAAACGCATAGAGAATTTCAGTGTTATGCGTTTCTGCATGGGGCATCTACAATCAAAACACCATCGAATTTTATCGCAAATGAATGTTTACTAGCAAGAAATGATTACAACAGCCTGATATAGGTCAAACTTTTCCATGCAAGTAGCATTCCCTGTTCGACCATTTTGCTTCAGCCGCTACATCCCAATTTTCGGTACCCCTAAACCTTTTGGCAGTATTAAAAATGTTTGGAGAATTTGTTTTTGCCAGGGATGGCACTATCGAAAAAGTTTTAATGTATTGAGGTTTATGCCTTACATTGTTGCTGACAAAAGATATGCCAGTTTTTCGAAAGGAAAAATATAAATAATTGCACATTGTTGCTGACAAAAGATATGCAAATACCTTCCGGAAAGAGCTTTTTGCAATTAAACATTTTAAAGTCTTCGAAGCATCTCTTCCTGTTCTTTCTAAGGACACTTGCAAGACTTGATAGGGATAATGTCGATGGGGTATTAAAATGAGGGGCCCATGAGACTTGACCAAATTTAGAAAATCTTTTAGGGGCAAAGCAGCCTATCAATGCAGGTTTTTAAAGACGTTTTGAATAGAGACTTGTGAGAGGGTTAAACAATGCAAATACCTTCTGCGGAAAGAGCTTTTTGCAATTAAACATTTTAAAGTCTTCGAAGCATCTCTTCCTGTTCTTTCTAAGGACACTTGCAAGACTTGATAGGGATAATGTCGATGGGGTATTAAAATGAGGGGCCCATGAGACTTGACCTTGGAAAAATTTTAAAAACATGCCCTTTCAAACACTAAATGTTGTATATCTTGATGTTTCTTAACGGTTTAGACTCAAAGATTGGTGATGTTTCTGCTGGTTTAAATTGTGCTTGAATTGGTAAAATTTTCTGTTCCCTTTTCGGTTATTGATAATAATAAGATTCTGAAAGAGGAAAACTTGAATAACTGAAGAGTGCTTTTCATGAGGGTTTTCTATTAATTTTACTTTTAAAATTCATTAAGAGTTACAGAGAATTTCAGCTGAACATCAGGGTAGCATTTCTTCATGAGCTTAGTAATGTTTTTCTTAATGCCGAGGCTATAGTTTCCTAAAAAGGGTAAAAAGAACAAGAGAAGCTTTTAATTACTGTCAAGGTTAGAGTTAAACTTTTTGTCAAGAAAGACACGGATTAACTTATCAATTCTATTCAGACGCCTAAACCAATCTCTAATTTATTTATCTTTAAAGATCGTCATCCTCCACTTTTGTGCTCTAACGTTATTTACAAGTTTACGTTTAGTGGCTGCAGCGCCACTTATTATGGTAAAACATATCGAAATCTCACGATTCGATGTAGAGAACACTTGGGAATCAACAAACATAGCCAGGGTGTTAAAACACCTAGCCCTTTCTCCATTCACGATCATATATCCAAAACTGGAACCCGCATTAAAATCAAATTTTTTAAAAAAAAGATCTATCCTTAAGAGAAGTTGCTGTCTTAAGATTAAACTGACTTACTAGAAGCAATTTTTATCGTTCAGATGATGAATGGTTAAAAAACCCATATTGGTTTTTACGCGCTTTGTTTTATTGCGTAAGAAAGTTATTATAATATTTTCCCTTGCAAGTGTTTTGCTGAAGCTTTATGTTTGATATTTGCTTGTGCGAGAATGCTTTATTCATTTGGAAATGTCATAATTTCTGTTGTTTTTCTCTCTGTAAAAGGCAAGTGCGATGCAGCAGAGAATAGAAAAAGCCACCAATGGGTCCTGTATAAGCCCCCGACAAATCAGTTCCCATATTGTTATGCCCCACTTGAGGCTCACCGCTGAAAAATGTACATGATTTTAGCCAGTGATAAATCATGTATTCAAAAAAAATATGTTTTGATGATTTTATTTTTGTTTTAAAGTCGACGCCAACAGTAACTTTTCAATTCATAGCTTTTCCAATTTCAATTTTTTTCAGGCAGCGCTACAAAATCTTAAACAAACAAATTTGCTTTAGCCCATTACAGAAACATCTACAATTACAAGAACCGCCCTCCTCCCCGGGCCAAATCGAGTATTTATGGTACTTGGTAAAGTAGTGCCCCAAAATTGATTAAAAAAGCTGCCACTGGGAGAGGCCAAAATAGAAGAGTGATTAATAGAGCCGTGGCGAGGCAGGCCTTGTTAGGGAATGGGGGGAGGTGGGTGTTGCCTACAAAATTTCCTGAGTGAAAATAAATTCCTGCAGTAAAGAATTTTCGAAATTACTTGAAGAAGGCCTGGTTTTTTTCGATTTAGTACCAACAAAAAAACTTGAAACCTTCGCGGGAATATCATCAGGGTCGGATTTCAGCGGCAATGATTGGGGGTGTTTGATTGGATTTTGGTGCCACACCTTTCAGGTAACTGGAAAAATGATGGAAAGGCCCATTTTAGAATTTAAACTTCTCTCTTCAAGGTTAAGAAGTTAAGAAGATAAAAAAGTAAATTGTTCCATTATTTTTTCGCTACTGACTACCAAAAATATTTTTAACCGAATCAAAACAAAACTTACCAAAGGACACAAAAATATTGGGGGGTGGTGCACCCCCTACAGCCCCGTCCTGGTAAATCTCTGTCCCTGAATATCATATTAACCAACGGAGTAACAATCATTGCCTGATTCTTTATTGCTCGCTGAAGACGTCGGGGCTCTGAACTACATACAATCTTTCTTCCATTGAACTGATTTTCCCTGAAAATTCCATTTAAAACTACTATTGGGGGGCTGTGGCAACCCAAACCCCACACCCTTTGTTCGAGACACCCTCGGTGATGAGAAGAAGCAATAAGGCATCAATCTGAATAAGAAATCGAGCTTTAAAAACATGTCCAACTGTTCTGTAAAACATCTAGTCATGCTTTAACTCGTATTTTCATGGAGCCTGAGAAACTAAAACCGTTGATGTCTCAGATTGGCTATTACCTGCTGATTTGGGTGTTTCGAGAAAGAAATTTGAACAATAAGATAAAGTGAATTTAAGAGAGAGGCTTATAATAGCATATATTTATGATGCTTCTAGCTTTGAAAAATTATTTGAAACTGATAGCTCTTTAAGCATTCATCAGTTGAACCTGTATTTGCTTTTGGTAGAGGTCTACAAATCAATATCACATCTATGTTCTAGCTTCATAAAGCTATCTTTGGCGGGAAAAAATCCTTACAATCTAACGTCTCTTGATGAACTAAAATTGTCAACTTGCCTTGGAATCAATATCGAACGATCATTTTTGTAGGAAAAAGTACGAGAAACACTGTGACCAGAGCTGAAAAACTCAGACTCCCTTTAGATATTCAAAATATAAATTTATAAAAGCCCATAAATGCAAAGCTTGCAAAAGCAGATAGTGTAAGATATTTTATTCAAATTTTGGTTTGTTTATTGTAACAAGTATTTCACTAATTTTATGTTTTTAATAGTAAATTTTATATTTTTGTAAGTGATTGGTAAGCATTTTCAGCCTTATTTATTTGCAAACCTTAAACTATTACAGAAAATAGAGCTGTGGAGGATGTAAATCAACTACTTCTGGTTTACTTTTTTATCAGAATGGCTGGAATTCTATACCATCTGTGATTTATTCGAAAATTGCCCAGAATTTGATTCCTTGACCTGTGTAACAAGTTGATCTGGTTCTTTAGCCAAAAGAATAGTCGTTTATCAGCAACTAATTTTATATCGTTAGCTTTGAATTATGGGAATCATTTTGGAGGAAGCTCTTTGTGTAAATCTGCATAATTTTATTCGTATAACGCATGATATTATCACATATTCTTAGCTATATGTTAGCTAGTTGCTGTTTTCTAACTTACAAGTCTAAACTTGTTATTGAGGTTTTGTGGGGATGGATCATTTCACAAACCTTTATTAAAAGTTGTTAGGAAACGCACATCCGTTGAAACACATTTTTGTCCAGTCTAACGCATATGCTCTTCACGCTATTCACAGCTAGGCCCTGCATGTCCGCCATTACACTGTAACACTTGAAACGCATATGCGTCTCGGCCCATGCAGAAGCGGCCCATGACCAATGCAGAAACGCATAGTACACCGGCGTCCCTGCTCATATTTCATATATTTTCATATATTTCATATTTCATTTCTAGGATTGTCCTTTAACAAAGTTGATTTACAAGGGGCCCTAACTAAAAAATAACAATTACAATTAATAATACTTTAAAAAACCATCATTATAAAACCCTATTTAAAGCAGATTACAGATTAACACAAAGTAATATAAAGGAGTTATAATGGAAATAAAAAAAACAAATGTCCACTAAGTAGAACGATTAAAACTACTCAGTGTTGTTGCCTGCTTAGAATCAGCTGAGAGGCTATTCCACAGTTTTGCACCTCTATAAGAAAAACATTTTTGCCCATTTGCTGTGTTTTTCCTAGGCAGTCTCAGGTCTGTTTTAGTATTACGGAGGCTGTGGGAAGCACACTGTGAGTTACGGGTGAAAAAGCTACAGAGGAAGTCTGGAGCCAGCTTATGCAATGACTTGTAAACTATTGTTTTTATTTCACAGTTTATAAGTCCTTCAATGGTCTTCCATCCCAGCTCTTGGATAAGTGGTCTGCTTGGGGCATTAAAGCTACTATTTGTTATTACCCTTGCAGCACGATTTTGAAGTTTTTGCAATTTGGAAATTTCCGTTGAACCACAGCAGCCCCAAACAGAGCAACAATACTAAAAGTGAGGCTCAACTATACCCGTATAAAGAGTTTTCAAGGATTCCTTTGGCAGGAAGGACTTGGCATATTTCAAGAACCCGACAGCTTTGGAGACTTTAGTGGAAACTGCTTTGATTTGCTTTTTTCCAATCAAGAGAACCGTCGATCTGAAGGCCGAGGTATTTAGTTGTTTGGACTATGTCAAGCTATTTGTTATTTTGACATTTAAGCATTTTATGCTTTTGCTTTGCTGCAATAAGCATGGAATGAGTTTTGGCAACATTCAAAGTAAGTTTGTTGCCTTGCAGCCAGATGTCTAATTTACTGAGTTCATTGTCAATAGCATCATTCAGCTCAGAAATATCAGAGGATCGGTAAAACAGGCTGGTTTTATCAGCATACATGGATACAACTGAATCCTGGACAGCCTGTGGGAGGTCATTCATATAAATGAGGAAAAGTAGGGGGCCAACACATGAGCCCTGTGGCACACCGGTTTCTATGTCCCTAACTTCTGAATCAATGCCGTTGACCCTCAAGACTGTTTGCGCCAAGAAAGGTGAGATTCAATCCAAGAGAGTTCTCTATTTTTTATACCATAATGCTCAAGCTTTAGGCAGAGAATCTCATGGTCAACAGTGTCAAAGGGCTAGTTTCAGGAAGTAGCTAGAAATGTTGTCAACCCAAAAGCTCTTTCCTGCTTTTACTTTGGCAAATGCATCCCTGTTCTGCTGCACCTCGATGGTTTTAAAGTGGAACTCTGTCCTTTTTGTTGATTTCATAATCACCTGACAGAAGGTGGTTGGGAACCAGGTCATTTTTTTCTGCAAGATCCTTCCCCACTGAGCAAAAGGAACTGTTTATAGCATTAGATATATCACTTTTGTGATAAATCACTTAATCACAATCCTTAAGGCAGTCAATATTACTGGACTTGGACCTCATATTAAGAAGCTCATTGATGGTTTTTCATGATTTCTTCATGTTCCCTTCACATGCAGAGATCTTATTAGCCTAGTATTCCTTTTTTAACTGGACATTGAGAGTGATGACCTTATTACGGATTTGCCTATATGAATCCATAAGGAGTGGTGACTTACTTGCAACTGCTGTTTTTTAGCTTATCTCTTGACCGCATTAAATCCTCTCAAGATCTTAGTTAATCCAGGGGCAGTATTTTTCAGAGACGCGCATTTCACATATTGGAGCATGTTTGTCAATGATCAGGGAAAATAGGCTGGACCAGTAATTGATCAGAACATTGATGTCATCGGTCTCAGTGAGCATTTGCTCCCAACATATGGCAGAAACATCAGCAAGGAATGCTTCCTCACTGAAATTTTTCATTTTGCTTGTTTTGATCATTTTGTGGCCCTTTTCCACTGTACCATTAAATTTTCCGATGCAGTAAACCAAATAATGATCACTTAGAGAAACTTTATGCATTCCTGAACCCACTATGTTTCTGGCATTTGTTGTGACAGTGGACTAATATTTTCAGGTTCTAGGGGACGTGGGGAAATTGACCGGGTCAATCGATGACTGAAGTGGGGCAAAAGCTGCAATAAACAAATTTAGGGCCTATTTAGCCAGATCTGTAAATTCTTCTGTAGCTCAAACAAGGTATGTTGTTTGTCAACGAAATACAGATCGACTCGATATAGCATTGTGTTGACTGCTGCACAGCCGATATTGGTTTTCACCATGAGCGCACAGATGCAAAGACAGTCATGTAGGAAGACGCCGCTTTCTAACTTTTTACACAAAAACATTTTTCATCCTCAAAAATTTTTGGACGGGCAAAAAATTCTAGTTGGGCGGGCAATGCTCCCCGTGCCTGCTCTTGGCTTCGTTCCTGGTTGGACACCCTTGATCTAAAGCCCTCATAGCGTTTTTTATAAAGAGCGTTACAGTAACGTGGTCGTCGGAACGTGATGTTTTCCTGAATTGCGTATGACTTCAATCTTTTTTATCAGCAATGATCTTTCTACTCAAGATTCACTTATAGGGGCTTATAGATAAATCTTGGTGAGTTTTTAAAAGCACCTGTATACCCCGCACTGAATTTTGGTGCCTTGCAAAATTCGTTCTTGCAAAAAAGAAGTCCTCTGCAACCGAAGCGAGCAGAAAATGTTAGCAACCAAACCCTTTAAATTAGCTTTAAATACATTTCAGCATATTTCTTGCTGCCAATTTTTTGCAAGCGCTAAAAAAACATTTAACTATTTCTAGGCACACTTACGTTTGTAAATTTTGAGGGTACTTTTTCAAAATTTGTAAAAAGTGGAGTAGAGGGATTCAGCCACCGTCAACAAAAGTCTGCATTGATTTTAATGAAATTTTTTAATCACATTGACATAAGATTAAATACTAAACTAGAACAATATTGCATGACACCTTTGCAGTCAGAAATTTGTACAATGTCATCGACTTCAAACCAATCATTATTACTAAGGACCTGTTTATAAGAGGAAACTTAGCTCATTTTTCAGCACATTGGATGGCAGGTGAGATGAAATCTTCACTCGTTACATGCAAATTCCTTCCCACCTACCAGTTTAAGACCCTGCTTACACGGGCAAAAATAGACCGATCCAGTTTGAGGTCGATAATAGAAGATTTTTATCTTTCAAATGCGCAGGCGCATCTCACGAAACATTCGGTGAATTCACGTGCAGTTTTTCTTTTAAAAACCACCTGGTGGCCCTGGAAGAACCCATGCCTACCACGAATGCTTTGTCTTTTTAATTGGAGGATTGCTAACAAAAGAACTTGAGTTATCTTTGTTTGAGGAAAATATAGAGAATTATCATTTCATAATTAATAAAGTGATTGTAAGGAATGATAGCGGTAGAATCAGAATCATTAGTCGAAAAATGGTTAAAGATGTGCAAAAAATATTAGTAGAGCAGAGAAAAACATCAAATGGAAAACAATTGCTTCAACATATTATTCTGTATTAAATTCCCTCCGAAACCAACATTCTCTTCGGCAGGCTAGAAGAAACCTTCGATTAAAGCTACAACATCATTTCGCCTAATTTTGCGCAAACACTCGTTTAAAAATTTAACTTTCATATCAGGCCTGTCCTTTTTAACAGCTCTGAACAGCTCCTCCGTGGGGCTGAATTTGTTCGGCTGCGATATTGTTGTCTCCAAACTTTGAATTTCTACTGTTGAATAGCCAAAGTTGCTGGCAATATGCTTCCAGCAACTCAGTATGGGAACTGAACTTGGATTTAGTCTCTCTGCCAATCCTATGATGATGGTCTGAGGTAAATCCGAAATCTTAGTTTTCAATGTCACCAGTGAATTGTTGCATTGGGCGTCTATGTATCTGACAACGTCAAAGCGATTCATTGTCTGACATATGCGTTTTAAAGCTTCCACATCATCTTCTTTTACCTTACGGGTCTAGAATCCGAACGTGATCAATAGAACGAAGAATGAAGAATGGAAAAGAAAAAGAGGAGTCAAAGGTTTGTTCAAAACCGACGAGCGAGCCACACTTGAAACTTCGTTTCTTGGGCTGACATGTTCATTTTAAAAATTTGCGACCGCGCGCCTGAAATCACACACATTTAGAAATTTGTATTGTTAACAATATGAAATACTTTGTTAACTAGGGACTCAATTCTGGCGAACGAGTTGGAACGGGGAAGGATAGATAGTGTATGCTTTGGCTAGGAATAGACACACAGGTATGTCACAAAATGGGAGAGGGTTCATATTGTCACGATAAGAAGAATCGTTTGTATCGAAACCCTGTACCCAGAAGGCATTTCCTATTGCTAAAGAGACTCTTGTGTGTGAATAATATGTCGAGGGAGAGGGAGAGGGAGAGAAAGAGAAGGAGAATGAGAAAGGGGTAATAAGAGATGATGACAAATTTTTAGAAAAAAAATTGGAAAAAAGTGATTTGGGAATAAAGAGAATATGAATGGGTGAACAAGAAGCAGACAAAATTGAATTCTTATAATAACTGTATATATTAACTGAATATGGACTGCCTGTGCAGTAAAGACCTTTTGTCTATATTCTTTGTCTTGATTGATTATTTGGTTAAGCGACGATATTGATGGTATTGGTGATATTGATGACAAATTGACTTGTTCTTCTTCTCTTGTTTTCTGATGTGAATTTAAGGAATATAACATGGTTGAGGAAACTTTGCTGAGTAAATAATACGCGATGCAGGTGCTATTATCAAAACAATTGAACTATTATCAACATTTTCTTCCGAAATACCTTGAGAGAAATGAAAAAATTCAAGGCAGGACTGCCACCACCACAATATGCACGCTGGAATGCCGCTCTTTCTAGCTCGTCGAAGCCAAGGTAATGAGCCAAGTCGTGCCAGTTTTTCGATACGACACCAGGGGGGTCTAGCCGAATTGCTATCTCTCTGACTTCATTGTCTGTCAAGTCATGTACTTAAAAAGAAGAGTATAAGATAATAACGACGCACAACAGTGATAAAATCCTTAGACAGAAATCCTTACGCGAGAAGTTGGTTGAAAATATTACTTTAAGCAGTGGGAAAAAAGACAAAACAATTCACTCAACTTTTGTATTAGAAAAAATTTGTGGAAAGTTTATTTGTTTTGCCACCCTGTTTAGTGTTGTTTAGTCATGCTGAGTGTTGTTGAGCAAAGTTTGATTCTGCTAAAAAATGTTTAGCATTGTTGAGTGTTGTTGAGCAAAGTTTATATCTGGTCAAAAATGTTTAGCGTTGTTAAGTGTTGTTTAGCAAATGTCGAGTCGTTTTGCCACCCTGTTTTGTGCAATATCTGTGGAAATCAAACGTTTTCCTCAGTCTACCTGTTTCCACGTGACCAAAAATCTCTAGAATGTCTTCATGGCCTTCATGAGACATCATCTCATTGTACGCAACATACAACAGAACAAACGGAAAGCAAATTCATATACAAGATCCCCTACAAACCCCACAGCGTTCTACACAGCTCGCAGTTCAAACAAGTTGAGTGAAGTTTAGTGAAACATTGAGTCATGTTTTGCCAGGGCTTTAAAAGGAGGAATTCACAATGGAAGGTTGCTAATGCACAAAATTATTTACAATAACATCTTGACGGAATTTGATGTCGATTGGCATAATTCAATTTGTGGCCTCTGTTTAAAAACGAGGCTACCAACAGTGTTTTTGCCAGAGCCCTGTGAACACTAACCGTATTTATAGCGTATTCATTTAAAAACAGATCAGTGTGAGCGGACATCATTTTCACCGACAAAAACGGAGAGAAACGAACACGGAGCAGTGTGAAAGTAGCTTTAGAAGAATTGATTTGAAAGTATGCTGTCAATAGACTGTAGTTTAAAATGAAACAATTGATAGGTCTATACTAGACCTAATAAAATGACAATTTGCATTTTGTTTCCATTCAACTGGTGATCAACGTTATCAGTGTCCTTCAATTTGGGTTGATTTCTCGCAGCTCCTCTATCGAAGCTTGTTGTAAAAAGTGCCGTACAAGCTCCACAATGAGCCCTTTAAATCCCAGCAGATCCCCGCTCATTGCTTCTTTTTCCTAGCATGTGTAGGCGTCCTATCAACCACCTTAACATGATACCAGCCTCAACCAAACTATCTGTATGAAAACATCAGTCTACAAGCATCAGCCAGGTTTCCGATCTCTATACTCAGTCATCTGTAGCCGAATTGCTGGTACAAATGACTTGAATGAAAATATAGATCAAGGCAAGAGCACTGGTTTGATTTTCGTTAATCTAAAAAAGCATTTGATGCAGTAAATCATAATATCTTACTGAATAAGCTGGGAAAATACATAATAAGTGGACTAGAGCTATGTTTGCTCACTTCCTACTTGCAGGAGTAAAAGCAATTCTGCAAGGTCAATTCAACCTCTAAGTCTCTAGCATCAAGTATCAACGATAAAAGTGGTGGTGTCCCCTTAGGGTACTGTCTTGGACAATGGACCACTTCTGTTCCTTATTTACAAAGGATCTTTCATTCTGCTTCAAAATGGAAAGGTCACTATGTACGATATGATACTGTGATTTCGTATTCCTCGCAATGCCTTTCTCAAATGCAGAGCGATTGAAACCGGAGCTTAACAAGACTGGAGCTATAGACTTCAACAAAGTCTATTGACTATGTTTTCAAATTGGATAGGTTTCAATAGGTCAATATTCAAAGAATATATTTCTAGACGAACCTTGTTACCTATATAAATACATAAAAATGAAAACTGAAAAATGACATACCGAGACATGTTTCAATATTCCTTTGCTGTCTAAGTAAGTTCCCAGTTTCCGTCATACTTGCTCCGTCTTCCTCCATCTGCAGACATTTAGAATCATCCCGAAAAAGAAAATTGACAAAATCAACAGTCGGTAAAGGAAAACTTCAGAAATCTAAATATAATCTCCAAAAAAAACAAAGCATATAACAGACTGGACACTGGTAACGTATTACTATTAAAAAATTGGTATTGCTAGATTATCATGTGATCAGGTTTCGTAAATTTAAAGTTTCATCTCAGTTTGAGAAGTCTTTGTCAAGACTGCTTTGTCTGTGTGGCCTAGTCGGGTCTATTTCGTTGAAATGATCAACATCAGAGACCGAGATACAGCTTTTTGTCTTATTTTGGAGGGGACCCTGATAAATAAGTGTAACAACAACCATATTTTACAAAATAAAAGTAATCAACTTATGCTACTTGAGTTTTTTGAGAGGGGGCCATGGCTCCCCCCGGCCCTAAATAGTAGACAAAATCATCAGTCGAATAAATATTGGTAAAGCAAAACCACATAAAGCTAGATATAATCTTCCATATATTATTAATTTTCTATTGGTACAGAAAAACGAAACATAGCATACAAAATTGCTTTTCGCTCGACCCTCATCAGAGTATTTAACGTCTGGTAACGGCCAAAAGGAAAGAAAGTTTATAAGGAGAGAATGGAAAGTAAAGCCCCAGATTTGCAAGCAATTTTCCTTGACAGGCTTCCTTGGTTGTGTAAACTTAAAACCCATTTTTAGCAATTTTAAATTGCTCATTCAGATTAATCCAGCGGAGTCTGCACTTTTTCTGACCACAAAGATTTAGGACATACAGCTCCGTTAGCGGATAAGAAACAATGAACTGATGTAACCAAAATGATGAAAAGATTGGCTCAACGAATGGCAACCCATCATCGGGGTAGGCCATAATTCGAAGAAATTGCATAAAATCAAGATAAATTGAAAAGGACAAGAGAAAATGTCGAATGCTCGTGTAGATGAGGAAGAATGGAAGAATGAACACGAGAAGAAGAATGAAACCTTTAATAGGTTCATTGTTTTTGACCAGTCAACAACTGTGAACCCCTCGACATTGTTTGCTCAACGATTTTGAAATTTTTCATTCATTACAAATTCAGCAATCTGTTGTTACAAACTCAGCAATTATGGTATTCATGAAACTTTCGCTAATTTTTGTTCAGTATGGAATGTGACTGTTTCCATAAATAGCTTCATTGGTTCCATCCAGCTCTCATATCTTAACGAAACTGGATATCTTAAGGTCTGACCAAACGAATGAAACAGCCTTTTGCAACAAAACTTTTGCAACAATGTTTTTCAACAATGTTGCACCTTTATTTTCGAAAGGCATTGGACGGAAATTACGTCATAAAACTTACACATTAAAATCATTCAAGCTATATACATTTTTTATGAGAACAATTTTATAAGAACACGAGTCTCAAAATTGGTCAAAAGTTGAGAACAAATTAAGAACAAGCTGAGGCTGAGCTACGGTAAAATGCAAATTTGAACAAATTTTTATCTCAAAAACAAAAGTTTTTAGCCATGTGTGGGTGCCTTACGGCGAATATTCAAACTTGTTGTCAAATGAAGGTTGTCTCACTTACTTTGTTGGCAAATGAGGCCTGAGCACCTCCCTAGAGCGGAGAAGGTTAGCTATCGCACTGCTTACACCCTTTTAATTTAAGAACAAATTAATAACAATCCAGCCTCAGAATTTCAAAAAAATTAGCTTGACCTCAACAATTTGTGATATGATTTTCATGCTGGTTTTTTTACTAGTTTGGTTTTCTATTACACTTAGTAGTTAGTATATAACCTTTATATAACTGTGGGCAATTGCATATATTTTGGTATTATAAGAAAAATGTTTGTCCAGTTTTTTGTGAGAAAGTCTTTGTTCCAAAGTTGTTTTTCTGAAACCTTTCGGTCAAAAAGTTTTCGATTTTAATGTAACGTATAATTTGACCACACGTACCTGGCAGCCTTGACAAAACTGAGCGAATGTTTCACCCTTCACAAACACCCTAAACCCTTCATATAATATAATATTTTTTATCTTAGGAAATGAGCAGGGCCATCAAAATGACAATCGCAGCAATCAGAGAAGACTACAGCAAACAGGCATTCTTAAAACAATTTCTTCTACTATCTCCTTCATTACTGTCATTTATTTCGGCTATCTTTAGGCATCTTAAAAATGGGCTAATTTCTGGTATAAGAAATTTATTACAAATATTTTAAGTGATGAAATTTTCAGAAATTTCATTTTGAACAATGCACTGCAGTCAGAGTTTGATAAAAATTAATATGACAATGACAAAGGCCATTGTCAAGTGCACTTTCACGATAAGGGAATTTTCCTGAGAAATGCCACCTTGGCCCTTTTTGCCCCATCAAAGGCAAGAGGGACTTTGGCCCTTTCATTTCGACTCTAAGACTTCGTCAGATCCATTGAAATCATTTAGACATAATCGAAAGGCAAAGGATGACAGGAGGGAAATTTTTTCCACAAGGGTTCTGCCCAGTTGTTTGGAACCAACAAGGTGCTGCCCAGTTTTGAAACATACTTATATAACATAAACAAAATATGCAATTGAGAAACGGTAGCATTTTCAATACAGTACTTGTCGTCTCCCCCTTTAAGCCTGGTGAGGAGGGAAGGGTGGGGGGGGGGGAGCTTCCATACACACATTTACGGTATGTGCTGAGGTACCATTATTTAAGAAAAAAAAAAAATTTAATGAAAGTAAATTGTAGGTTTTTTGGAGAATATATAAATTTTTGGGTATGTTTTAATATTTGAAAATGGCACACCCTCTTCCTCTGCCTATTGAAGTTACTCCCCGGGTCTTTAAATGAATGGCTAAAATAAGAAATAAAAAAGGTGTGGCATGGATAGATCTATTTTTAACTTTATCGAACAAAGTTCAGGGTGTGCCGTACACCTGGATACACTGTACCTCAGAATTGATGATTTCCGGAGACAAATCAGTCACAATCTCCTCGTCGCTTTCTTTGGGTTGAATGGACTAGGAATAAAAATATATGTAATACGTACTAAACCTTCTAAAATGTTGGATGAAGTGATGGAGAGCAAACAAATAAATAATTATTGGGAATAGGGAGCTACCCTCCTACCGTAAAACAATAAAGTTGATTAAGAACTGATAGGGTACAAGAAAAGAGTTTCCTGGGTTATTTATTCTAGTAATTTCTCCCAGTTCTTTGCATTAAGTCACTGGAATACCGACAAAACAGATAACCAAGCAAATTGTATTATAATATTGGCCACTGATAAATGTCCACTAAAGTAGTATTTGATAATATTTGACCGATACATACTTGGAACTCATTAAGATTCATTTTCTGCATTTTTTGCCTTGTTTCAACCTCCATTTTCTTGAGTGTTCCCGCCATCATAACAAAACCAATGCTAAAAATTCCTGTAGAAAGGAGAAAGCAGTTGAAAATTTTCTAATATTTACAAGGATGGAAAAATACAAATACAATATTGATCATTATTTATTAAAACCATTTGGTTGAAGTGCACATTCAAACAACATTGGCCTTTTCACAGCCTAAAAGGTTGACAGTGGCACGGATTAGACAGCGTATGTTACATACCAGATGCAGGGCCATCTTTAGCGAGGAGGTGGGATATGGACACCCTATGACTTCTTAGCACGTGATTGATGGGTGTAGTCAATTATAAGTCAGTTCGTTTGCTTCAGCATGGTAAAAAGAAGCATTATGTAGTGTATATATTCATTCGCGTGTTTGTTTCAACATCATGGGTTAAACTTATAACCATCGTATTTTCTTTGTGTGTTTTACCTTCGAGATGTAAGGATCAGAGACCTTCGTGTACGTTTAACGTACGCACTCATCACAATCGATTAATTTACAACATGGGGGTTGGAGTGCGAGTGTGCCGCACCCCCCTCTAGGAAACTCTTGTCGGCAAGTTTTCGAAACGAAGAGTTTTTTCGGGTTTTTTTCTCCAAGTTCCCAAAGCAATAGCTTTAGCAAAAAGTGTGGATGAGATCAGGATAAGGCCGAAAAAGAATCACCCAAAAGCTCTCAGCAATTCTAAATAGATACTGATAGCGCTATGGGTATCACGGATGGGCAAATGTCCCCAAAAAGTTTCAAATGACCCTGTGTCGGCAGCCGGGGTCTAGAACCGAGCAGACAACTGTCGGCATATTCAGGCCCATCTAACTTCCACCTCAAGATTGGGTAAAGGTCAGAGTTTATTGAAAATCTCTGGAAGCCCCTGTGAGCAGGATGGACTAGAGGAGGGGCAAATGGGAAAGGGAAAAGGGAAAAGTGCCCCCGGGCCTCGAGGTATAGGGGCCTTAAAAAGTAAAAAACTAGCAAAAGTATGCCTAAAAATAGCAAAACGTTCTAAAAGATTGCAAGAAATGACTGCAAGAAATATTCCGAAATGCATTTTAAGATATTTAAAGGGCGAGGTCGCAAGAAATTTCTGCTCGCTCCGCTAGAAGGGGGCCTCGTCTTTCGGTTTTGCCCCAAGGCCTCCGAAACTTCTCAGCGGTCCTGCCCTTAACCTAAAATCATCTCAGCTTTTGATCTTGGCTGTTTATTTCTTCTTTTGCATCCTTATCAGGCATAATCTTCATCATTTGCATCCTTATCAGGCATAATCTTCATCATTTGCATTCTTATCAGGTAAAATCGCACCAACCTCCATACCCCGTAAATATCTCCAATGTCAATCCCAACAATGAAGTCAACAAATGACTTATTTTTTTAGATCAATGGTTTTCATTCTACCGTTGTTTCGGTTCGTTGTTTGAATTTGTGGTGTTGTAAATTTTTCTTAGAATAAGACCTGCCTTATCTAAACTCTCGTCGAAAGGATTCAATACTCTTCTTTCAGAGCCTTGGCGAAGTTGCTAGCCAGCTTTTTTGATTTCAATAATCTGTTAAGGATGAAGTGGCTTGTACACAGCTGCAAAAAAGATTTTGCAAAAAGTGATTTATTGCAAAAAAGAGCCAGGACCTCCTCATAAGGTCATGGGTAAATTGTGATCATGTGATCATACTCAAAAATGGTCTTACATACCGTTGTGAAACAAATAATGTAATTTGTTTTGTATCCAAAAGGAAATATTCCGTTTTCTTTCTCCGCAGAGGCATTACGTCTGAGCGCTAACTCTTTCACCCCCGTTTTCACCCCTTAGGTCCCAGCAGATCACCCTTCACCATCATTTTTCTGAACCCCTACATATGAGGGTACTTGAAAATAACAATTTGTTCGCTTTCAGGTGGCATCTACCTCAAAATTTAGCTGGTCTATGAGATCCGGTGTATAATGGCAAAATTTCAACAACGATATCAATTAAGAAGGGAATATAAGCAAAGAAATTAAATGTACATGATTGATCGTTATTTTATTATCGAACCAATGCAATATTAGGTCATAGACAGGGAAATTGTTATGACAAACTAAGCAAGTGCCTAATACCAAATCTGACTTCAGAATATGGTTTTATATCGTAAACTGATTGATTTTACGAGATGGGCCAAAAAGTATTGTCTGGAAGTCACGTGATCGATGACGTCAATAGTTGCCTTATTACAGTCATATAAACGACCATAACTTTTGAAATACTGTGCTTATGACAATAAAAATAGTCAATATTTCTTTAGCTTATACAGGCCTTTCATTTGGTACATTGTCTTTTTAAATTTGCTGCTGTTAGCATTTTTGTTGATGATGTTGTCATTTTTTTCATTCTCTGGTTTGATTTGCAAAAGGCGTAAAGACAAAGGTTTATGGTTATTCCACGCTTTGAGTTGAAAACTTTGCTTGATGTAACCTCAAAACTTTTTCTTCTTCAGTTCCCCCCTTTCCCATAACGTACTTAGCGATAAACAAAGGATCTACTCATATAAGATTAAAAGTACAAAAATGATAATAATGAGAAAAACAATATTTTTTAATTTGAAACGATGCAAAAAAAGTTTTTCAAAACTAAGAAAATACGGTGTAATACCATCCTCAACCTGTTGCACTTGGCGCTGTCACAAATGGACCGTTAGAAGATCTCTGGTCCAATTTGTTGTTGACTTAATATGTGGGTGTCTGGATCGATATACTTTTCTGTTCAATACATTTATATGTAATTTCTTCAATAGAATTATATTTCTTTCTTTAAAGGAGGGCAGCCCTTGAGAATAAGCTGTTTTTAAGGGGCCCTTTGACAAAACTTTATTACATTATAAAATTTAAGTATGATTAGTATTTAAAAGAGCCATAATATATTCAATAAAAGAGCCAAAATATATTCAATAGATTTTTGAAACTATATAGGATGCCGTAAAATTTAGCTATTCCATAGCTCTGCCGCCAGCACCCGGAAGGAAAAGCAATTTTGCCCATCAGCTGAATCTTTCTATGGCAACCTTAGCTATGCCACTTTACACCTGGATACCCAAATCCCTGGGCCTAGGGATGATGCCAGCAAAGGTGTATTAAAGTTTGGTAGCAATATATACATGATGAAGAAAAAATTAATTCTATATGCATGTGTACGATTTTGTTGATACGGTGTACCTGTAGAGGCATAAACAATTTTTTGCATACAAAGTAATTTATTCATATAGCTATAATACACATGGAGAAGATAACATTTGGGTTTGATATAAGGTGATATATGCACTAAGGGTGTGGCAGTGCGACATCTTGTAATACAATGTAAATATTAAACCTTAGAGTGTGTTAACCAACCTTTACTATGCCTTTGTGGAGCTAAAATAGGGTTTGCAACTACATACATACTTTTATAATTGTCTGTCTTATTAAACCATACTTTAATATAAATCTCAACCTGATTGTACTCGAGCTATCTCGCAATCTTGTGACGTAAGGAGATCTGGGATCTAACTTGCTGTTACAGCAAAAGGGGCAGGTGTCCGTATAGTATATACTATACTGTTTTAAATGTAAATATATATATATTGCATATACACAAGTTTATATACTTAAACATGTATGTATGTCGTGTTTTGTAATTTTGCATCCTTGCAGGCACAAGGCACTTATGATCAGTCCTTAGGAAACAATAGAAAACACACTACAATATAAATGCATCCTCCATGTGGATCGAGTTAGAATTTTTAGGCCTTTGACAAACCATGCAATTGTCTGACTACATCAAATGGTTCCTTTTGACCCTTCATACTGCAATATGATAATTCACATCTAGTAACATCTGATTATTGTAAAGTTCAAAGAAAAACTAGGTAAATGGTCACAAACCTCTTTTCAGCCTTACAAAGACAAAATTATCTTAGAGCATTGTTAACTTTCTCTATGTTCTGAGATAGTATGGTATGGTACAGTAAAGTAGGGCATGGTTTGGCAAAGTGTGGTATATTTTGGTATAGTATGGTATGGTATGTGGTATGGTATGTAGTATGGTATGTGGTATGGTATGTGGTATGGTATGTGGTATGGTATGTGGTTATGGTATGTGGTATGGTATGTGGTATGGTATGTGGTATGGTATGTGGTATGGTATGTGGTATGGTATGCGGTATGGTATGTGGTATGGTATGTGGTATGGTATGTGGTATCAGGGGCAGATCCAGAACAAACTTGAAGGAGGGGCAGTTGGTAGTGGGGTCGCTGAAAAATTTTGAAAAATTGATGACGAGAATAAGGTGTATACAACAATTTCAGATACATTTTCGGAATAAACAACATAACCTTGAGGTAATCCTTGAAGCAAATTAACCTACCAGTCTCAGAAACTTTTTCACCTGATTCCCATTCTTCAAAAGGGGCCCATAATTTCCAAAAAGGGGCGCCAGACTTGCTTCAACTCGTTATGTTATGTTATGCTATGCTATGCTATGTTATGTTATGTTATGTTATGTTATGTTATGTTATGTTATGTTATGTTATGTTATGTTATGTTATGTTATGTTATGTTATGTTTTGTTATGTTATGTTATGTTATGTTATGTTATGTTATGTTATGTTATGTTATGTTATGTTATGTTATGAAATGGTATGGTATGTTATGTTATGTTATGTTATGTTATGTTATGGTATGTTATGTTATGGTATGAAATAGTATGGTATTGTATGAAATGGTATGCTATGATATGGTTTGGTAGTATGGTATGGTATGTAAAGTGTAGTATGCATTGTTAAGCATGGTAGGTATGGTAAGTATCATATAGGATGTTATGGTATCATAATTCATATAGGTTAGCCATTTTTCACAAAAATCTATAACCATGGTATAAAAAGAACTTCAAAAATCTTCAATTTGCGGAAAACCTTTTTTGCTCAAAATAACCTTAAGTGCCTTCAAACATGCATTTATAATATATATACCCAAGCAGAATAGAATATCATCAGTACAGATACACACCCCGTTTATTTAGACACACAACGCTAGCAAAAAACTGGAACCCAGATCTCCTAACAGCATAAGATTGCATAACAGCACTCAATGCTATCCGGCTGATGATTACAAAAAATTTTCAGCTTTCTGACAAACTGTGCTTCTCTTTTTTATGGTTTTCAACAAATATGTGACAGATTTACTTTTTATTGATTAAGCAGTACCTAAGACTGAAATGTTCTTTGTTGTTTGTGAGTGTCATGGGTCGTGAAAGGATTGTATCAAATGGTATACACTCATTTTTTTTATAAAAAACTAGCTATAATAAACAAGTACTGGACAGTCAGAAAAAATTAAGAAACTCCAGTACTCGATGCAAAAAAATTAAGAAACTATTAAATCCTGACAAAACTGAGAACAACGAAATTTTGTAAAATCCAAGAACATGATTGCCCAGTTGGCCTAGAATTTAAGACACAAGAGATAAAAATATACTTCCCACATCTAAATACAGCATCAGAACAGAAGCAAATCTCAGACATGATAAAAAGGTCATGAACATTTCATAACATCATTCATGACATCATAATTAAGAAATTCTTAAGAAATAATGTGTATTGAAATTTCCAGAACAGTAACAAACTGGAGTACTCAACATCCACCTTTGTTTCTTATAAAAAAATGAGTGTATTTACAAAGAAGATAACATTGTTACTGTATTATAATAATGCTAAATAAGCAAAATTGAAATATCAATAAACAAGAAATGTCACGATTGCCTTATTTTACCTATTGAGACTTTTAAGCTGAATGTGCGAAACTCTGCAAATCAAAAAAAACGAATGCATAAAATGATGACATCATCAACAGAAATTCAGATATCAACAAAATAAGAGCATTTTTCAGGGCCGGCAAAACCAGGGGCCGGGGGGCCATGCCCTCCCCCACTTTCCTGCACAGCTTAAGAAAAATTTTAGGCAAGTGGAAATTAATGTAGTATATGATTCTGTAAGTAACTTTGCCAGTATTCTCTTAAATGTGTCCTTAGCTTTACCATAGAAGACATTCATAAACTGAATCTGGGAATGAGATCGAAAAAATCGGTCATTGTCTAAGTTTTACAATGAGTAACAGCTTGGCTTAGCAAATAGATCGAGCAACCTAGTCCAGAATAACTTGGTGCCAGGACAAATTGACGAAGTTTCGTTTTTTCCATTGCCTAAACCTGGCACACAAGGTCTATTTGTTAACGAAAATTTTCTCAGAAACATTACAAAAAAAGAGAAATCAGCTGTTGAAGGAAAGGAAACAGCTGGAAAGAACATTTTCGAGGATATAAGAAATAAAGTATTGTCACACCCAACCACGCCCAGTAGTTTCAGGAATGTAACACAAAATATAGAGAAGATAAAATACTGAAGTTATCAATGTGAAAGTATAATATTTAATACTAATGTAAATAAGGTAACGGGACTCAAGCCAACGTTCTCAGAAAATACCCTTCTGACCGGCCTCAGAGCTCCCCGCTCACATCTGTCTCTGCATCTTCAGCTACCCCCTTTTATACAAGTTAAGGTTTACATGTCCAAAATAGAATGCTTCGATACGATAAACAGTTTTCTTAACAACCGTGACGATTACAAGATATTTCAAAGGAATTACGTAAGATCAAGCAGCGTTATCTCGTTTTGTTGCTGTGGCCACAGCGTCTATTGTCAACAGTCCAGTCAATCCTAAAAATATCTAATTACAGCAAGCCTGCATAAAAGCATTGCATCAGCGCTAAAAGTAAACACATTACAGTATGGGCAGATTTGTTCTTAAAAAGTAGCATCAAGAAAACTTCAGAGTTTGATCGTTTGGATAATACATTCCTACTAAGAAAGAGAAAATATTTAAACTCGTTTTGACAAGACCAGTTTGAAGGTTTTTCAAATTTTTGTTAAAGCACTTAATTTCAACCATATTGGTAACGTTTCCCCCAGTATAAGGCGCCCCAGTATACGGTCCAGCCCCAGTATAGGGATTGTCAATCAAGATTATGTTCTTAAGTGCCGCCAAAGCCGTTTCGGTTCGTTATCGTCGCGATGATAGATAGAAGTTATTTCAAGTCACAGCGGCTTCTCGGCCAGTAGACATTCAGCCATACACTTTCAGCAAGCGGCCATGTTGTAACAGCCGTACTTGAAAGACATTCGCGTAGCTCACCTTTAAAATATTATACCTTTAAAACTCATACAAAATATAAGTTTAGCTGTTTAAGTTTCGTTTTATTTTGCTCGTAACAAGTTTTGGTGCGACTATCGAGCCGAGTAACGTGGGAGCCTTTAGCAAGAATATAGGGCTCGCTCGTTCAGCTGACAACTACGGGGGTCAAATTGTTTCTAAGATACAGTTTTGAAAAAATCTTGACTGAAACTGTTTCGCCGGCCAATTGAAATCGGTGCACTTGCGTTTAGACTTTATTTGTTTTATTGTTTCGTGGGGTTCCTGGTGTTTAATGTTGCTTGCCTTGTTTATATGACGAGCATTGACTGGGGATTTTTATGAACTAGAAGTTAGAAGAAAGAGGGTTTCGCTATGTTCACAAGGTTGCAAATCAACCTTTTGATTATATGCAGCATTCTGAAAATCAAGTTCACATGTCACATTTCATTACGACGAGGTATATGATAGTGGTTATTCTAAAACTTTGCAAAACTTTTCTATTTCAAGTCAACATCACAATAGACGGCACTATGCGGCACTATCAGCCAAAATTCATTTTAGATACAATTTCTGGCCATGCCTAAGACACAATAATTCTAAAATTTTCTTGCCGCCAACCTGTGGCGGCCTTTCCTAATCCCTTTCAAGACTTTAATATTTTGGCCCCTCCATTTTCAAATAATAAGGCCTGTATAAGCTGAAGATTGTATAGGACGTTTACATGATAGACTATAGGACTTTCAATTCAATAAAAATACAAACAAATTTTACCTGAGAGTTAATATTTCCAACAGCCTGAATCCTAAAGTTAGTTGACGGTGACTCATGTTTTCAGTTCTCGGAAGCCAGAAGTGTGGAACAACAGGAAGCCTGTGTTCCAGACCTCTACTTCCAAGTTAGGAGCACAGGCTAAAAAACAGTGTGTGAGAAGGAAGAACCGCAGGATAGGCTGTCCGCCGGATTCTGTGAATCTTGCAATGAGATTTTAAAATGAAAGATATACAGGAACAAAGCAATACGACGACGAATCCAATGTAGAACCGCTATAACCTTGGGTAATGACGTAATGACAAAATCGTATGACTTTTATTGTTAAAAAGCGGTCATAAAATCTGTAAAATCTGTCATATTTTGCCAGAACAACTACCGTAAAAGCTCTATTAAGCCCCCGGGGGCTTATTTGTTTCTTCCTAGAGGAGGGGCTTATTAGAGAGAGGGGGATTATCGAAAATTTGAATTCAAAAACTTTTTTTTGAGAAATTATCGTCATATTCTTTTAAAGAAAGGAATCCCTGGTAACTGGGTTAGAACCAAACTAAGTTTTAATGTGTTCTTGCAACAAACCTCAGCCACTCTATGGCATGGTGTCAAGCGTAAGTTGACGATTGTTGGTGGTAGTTATTTATGTTTGCAGAGTGGTGTCGAGTCAGTGATGATGCCCATGTGAGGGACTAGCCCCAAATATCACCCCTTGAATAAATCTCAAAAACATGCAAGAAAAGAATCGTCTACACATATTTTCACAAACCCACATTACATATATTTTCATTACACCCCTTTTTATAAAAGTCCAAACTCAAAGCCTAAGTCCTAAAGTTCCGAATTTTTGAACCTCTATTACTCGAACTGCGTTACCAAAACCTCCATAATAGTTCCTTAATTTTAACTGCACATTCAATGACATAATAATAGCAAAGATACAAAAAATGATATCCTGAGTTTTGCTTTTAACTATAGCTAGGAACAAGACCAAAAGACAAAAAGGGAAAGAAGTAAAATTAATTTCCGTAAAAGTACCACGTCAACAAAGAAGTTCTTTTGCATGTAAAATAGAGAGAAGCAATGACTACACTCTTTATTATAAGAATGCTACTGGGAGATGCTTTTCTAGCTATTTAGAACGTATGATTTAAAAATTTTTCTATCGCGTCGACCCCTATCATGGTGGGTCCTCCTACATCACTAAGCGCGATTCTCAGTCCCTCAGGCTTAATTTCCTCAAGCTGTCTCTGAAAAATGTTATCAACTCAATTATAAAAAAGTCAACGTGCTAAGAAATACCTTCTATAGAGCTGAAAAAACCTTACAAAATCTAATAATATTTCTTTTTGTTTTTTAAGTCGTTTGCCGCTCAAGCTGTTTCCATATCACATATTGGTGGTGCCATGACCCATTGCACACTTTATATTCATTTGCTCTGCTGACCCCCCCCCCCCAATTGACATGACAGATTTACGGCCCTGGATTTGAAGATTTGAAGATTTCTTCTTGGCACTAAATCTAAAAACCTAGGCCCTTTTTAGGTAAAATTGTATCTTGTGTCCATTTCCCCTAAAGTTTCTCGGTAGAAGCGTCAACTACAATTCACTATGAGCTCAAGACTTTTTTTTAAACATTCAAAAGGCATGCTAAGATGGAAAGAGGGATCTAAAATGACAACCAGTGCTGCTTGTTATCTAGCTTTAGAAGTAACTGACAACATGGTATTTTTCAAGACCACTGTGAAATTGTTCAGTTTCAAACCAGTTGTTCAATTTGTTTGCAAAAAATAATTTTCAATAGGATTAGGGGGACTGCTTTAGTGAAATGTTCTCAGAAGAGTGCATTTTCTAGGGAACTAGAAGCATCAAAATTTGAAAACTTCCTCCTACTTCGGCAGCAACCATTAAGGTTTGATAACTATAAGGCATGTAATCGTAAGTTTAGTCAGGGATCCTCAGTACCTCAGGCGGAATTTTTTAGGCACTTTTCTGGAGAAGGCCACCGGGGATTTCTGCAGGATATAAGGGTTAGTATAATTGATAGGTTTACTGGGGAGAATAGGATGTGAGAAAGCTTCTGGCAGTATAAGCTAGATAGTTTTCCTTCTAAGGGCTTAAACACTAGACATGTTGATACATAGATTTTAGGCTTTTTCTTTGCATACTTTTTATTCCTTCTTTTTCTTTTATATTATCTTTTGTCTCTTTTTTTCTCCTGCCACTAGCACATGTTTTTTACGTTCTTTGCATATATATTGTTCTTCTTAAACAGGTGTTCTTTTCTGCTACACATATCATTTGAGCCCCCCTGAGAATTGCATTGCCGTCTACTTTAGCAGCACCTTCTCATGTGCTTTCTTCTAACCCTTCCATTGAGTTACACTTTTAACAATAACTATTGTAATAGGCAATTTTCCCTTAAACCTCCTCATTGTATTCACTTTATTGTACCAACTCTATTGTATTAATTCTATTGTATTGATTTTGTATATGTTAGCTCCATATGATTTGTAAAGTATTACTGACGAAGACTTCGGTCGAAACGTTTAAGCGATAGTGTTTTTTCTGAATATCTATATATATATATTATATGTCTCATTTCTAGTCTATATTCTATCTTATTATATAGTATATATATATAGATGCTCAATAAAAAAACAACTTGGTTGACGTTTCGCTTGGTTGACCTTTCATAGCGAAACGTCAACCAAGTTGTTTTTTATTGAGCATCTATTTAATATTTTAAAAAAACTTTATAGATAGGAGCTATTGAATATATACACTAGGTTATAAAAAGTATTGCACTACCTTGTTCAAAATGGCGGCACTTTTTGCAAACTTTTTGGCAGTACAAAACATTTGAATGCAAGAACTGGGTGAAATAGGCGTATTTTGTAGCAAATTTCGGCGGGAAAAGGTTGCAAATTTTGCTGACGCCATAGAAAACTTAGTTAGAAATATTTAAATTACGCAAATACATGTTGCTTTGTAAAAAAGTAGACCATGCCTAAGGAAGAAAAATTATCAAATGAAAGGCGAGTCGCTATAAAATATTTACGGAGAAGTGGTCTTCAATTTAAAAAATATGTTGACCAAGTTAGATGCAGCTACACAACAGCGGCGGGAAATTATAAAAGATTCCTCGAGAGTGTTACAGTAGTAAAGAAACCAAGTTTTGAACAAATACAAAAGAAAAATTTACCTGAGTAGAGGGAAATCATTTTTTTACAAAGAATTATTTCCAAACAAAAGAAATTAAAGTTTTGACACAATCTGAGTAAAATCCAATCTTTAACATCGCTAACAAAGTTTGACTTCAAATGAAAAATGTTACAAACCGTGATCCAAATAGTCGTTCAAAAGCCAGAGAATCATTAATTGTAAGAATTTTCACCTTCCTCTCCAGAGACACAAAACTGGGCAACATTGTGATATTTTTCCCCTTTATCCAACCAGCCGTTAGAGGCCTCAAACGTCTTTGACCCTAAACCATTTGCTATAGATTTGGCTTCTTCTTGGATCATTGGTCCGCTAATAAGAATGTTTGATCCCCTTGCCCCACAAAACAAGTCAAAGACAGCTCTATTTACATCAGCAAATTCTGCAGGTCTTGTCTCCTTAGCGTTTGCTGAACTTTCGTTGGACTCCCAAAAATCATGATCTCACATTTATTTTCAATATGCATGAAACTTGTGTTTTCCCTATTCCAATTTTTTCTGCGCTATGACGTATACCGATAGATCTATGTTCCTTTTTGAACGTTATTAGTTGGACTTTTTCTTCAAGAGATAAAAACTTGCGCTTCTGACCCAAGCGTGTAGCCATGGCGAAGAAATACTGTAACAGTAAAATTATCGAATTCAACGGCTTCAGTACTCGAGTTTAATGTAGAGAGTTTCTTATAATAAAGAGTGTAAAGTACTGGTCGTCAGCATTTTTTTTACTGTCATTGCATCACTGCTGATATCCGGCAAGGTTCTTCTCACATGCGTGAATAAAGAAAAGGTCACGATAGCAGTCTACTCGATGGGCTCCAAGGAGTTCTTGCGGCGAAAATCGATGAAAATGTAGCAAATAAGAAACACCGCAATGCGACGAGAATGAGCAACAATAAATACACGTAAATCAGTGAAGGCAAATATTTTGCCCCGGCATACGGGGCTTCATCAGAGCAAAAGTAAACGAACTAAAAATGTACACATTCTTCTCACATCCCGCCCAGGAAACCATATTGTATTTAGATTATTATTTGGGTTATGTAAACTTCAAGATCTATGAGTAAAATTGTCTTCATATTAAGAGCAGCTCCGTTCAGTTTAGTCCTTAATACAGTGTTTGTTGGGGAGACGAGCAAGAGAAAGTTTTTTAAAAAGTGAGGCAACCCTCCGTCATGGAGTCAAAGAGCATGCGCACAGAACGAAGTTATTATTACGCATGCTCTCTGAATCTAGGACGGAGGGCTGCCTCACTCATTTGAAAATTTTCGCTCGCTCGTCTCCCCAACAAGTGTTTCATTCAACTTTAAAGGCGCTAGATCACGTTAAGAAAACAATCTTCATTCTCAGCAAGGTCTTTCGTTTTAAAATGGCATCGCAACCAGTTGTTGAAAATCTTGCATATTTTGAGTTTAATGCATTTAGTAGAGGCTACCATGCCTTCTCCAATGTTTGGACACCTATTATCGGAGACGTCTTGCTTTGCTACAGAGAGCCAGCAAATGAAAAGGATGCCAATGCAGTGTGTTTAACTAAAACAAAAGACAAGGGTGTCCATGGTCATCTGCATATTTACTTTTGCAAATGGATGAAACATTGGCTGAAGTGACTGGAAAAAACGTTAATCGAGATGCTGGATTGTAAATTCCATGCAAATACAAATTTTATGAAGAAGAAACATCAATGGAATGGCTATGATCAATTAGACATTAATTAAAAAATAAATTGGAACATGAAGAGGAAACATTTAAAAAACATGTTCTGCCGCTCTGGAAGTCGAAGAAAGAGAAAACATCCCTCAGACAATTAAGTTTATAATAATGTTTTTTCAAATTTGATCGTGTTATTTAAAATGAAACAGCTATTGTCCGCTATAAGGGGGTTTTTCTTTATGAATATGTTTTTTCTGGGCAGATAAGGCTGTCCGTTGTCCGTTGGAGAGAGGTGTCCGCTGTAAAGAGGTTTCTTTTACAAAGAAATGACCATGTGTGACTCAAATATCTGTCCGTTGTTTGGAGGTGTCCGTTGTATAGAGATGTCCGTTGATGGAAGTTCCACTGTGTCACCATTGTTCATCAAAATCACAGTGTCAATACGTTTTTCCCTCCAAAAGACTTTTGCTGTTGCTGTTTTTGTTAGCTTGGTCTTTGTTTGCTTTCCTTCACATACATAATAACGTCAATTCGCTTCTTGAGTATAAGGAATCACAAAGATCAGATAAATCAAAAGACTTAACATTAACATTAACTGAAAACCGGAAAGTCGACCCAAATAACGTCGAAAACCATTAACGAAGGCAATATTAAAAGCCGAAAAACTGAGCGATTTTCAGGCAGAACCCGACAAAAACGAACCGGAATATGAAAGATAAGATCATAGTATGATTTAGTCTTGTATTGAAAATCATTGTATGATTTAGTCTTTCTTGGGTCATCGCTGCTCAAAGATATGTTTTGACTTTGACTCAATGGTGCAACAAGAAGCAACTTGACCAAAGCTACAATTTTTCACAAAAGTTCTATTTGAGGCGACAATAACTGACGAAGGCGATTTATGATCAATGATTCTATTTTAATAGTTGCCTTTACATCTCCTCGTTAATAGTTGATCAATGAATTAATAGTTGCCTTTACATCTCCTCGTTATCATGAAGTTTTGTTGCTGCCTCTCCTTTAGAAAATCTTGCTGGGCGCTCTTTCTTACTTGGCAAAACAGGACCCCCATGCTTTTAAGTAAGGGGTCTAGAACACTGGCAACGATGTCCATACTTTTTGCTGCTTGCTTTGAATATGTATGCTTCTCAATCGTGGTTCGGTAAAATATCCAGCGATTTCGAATTGGCTTATTTTCAAGGGTCGGCGTTTTTGGGGAAATACGGTGGGCAAAACATAAAATACTATTCATTCACACTGATGGCTCATACAGGCTGGCGGCCCCTTGAACTCGTTTATTATATCTACAATACCAGCTTCAGAGTAAAATAACGTAGAGCAACTTTTTGTTTTGGGCTCCTTAGTTTTTCAACTAAAGGTAACCTTAGTTCATTTCGCCACTGCTTATGGGCGATTTTATCAGCCTAGTGTCATCATATATATGATGTATCATACACAAGTATGGCTCAAGTTTGTCATTGAATTGCACCATTGAATCGGGCAGAGGCGGCGCACACGAAATTGAATCTAGCGTTGGGCTAAGAATCAAGTTTAGTGACGTGGAAGAACCCACCATTGTTGGGTCCAATGCGAATGAAATTTTTGAAATCAAGCCTTCTAGAATTGCTAAAAATGCATCTCCAGACAAAAATTTAACAAATTACTATACCGCTCAGAATAGACACTTCGACGATGCTCAGAAAAACATTGATTTCCAATTTTTAGATAAAATTTTTGGAGGGGAGGATTCATGCGTTGGGAAAAGAAAGAAAAGGTGACCTTTGGTTCAGAGTGCACATCAATGTTAATAACAAGAAGCTGCTGTATTGATTGCCAGGGTGGATTCCATGTACTTAGGCCCAAATAGTACACTCAGGTTTTTTTGGCTTTCTGAGTGCAAACTAATAGAAAACATTTTTGGCATATGTGAAATTTTCGTTAGTTGGCATGCTAAACATGAAGCCACGGACATAGTTAACACGAAAACATATGACACAAATGTTGATTGGGTCATGGCAGCGCAACGTGCTTCGTTTGTAGAATCACATGTTTTATTAGATTGTTCACAGTAAATTACAGCGAAGCGTTCTACCCGTGTACAGTCAATTTTGATGCCACCTTACCTCCATTTGCGCCCATATTCAGGGGGAACCATGGCCCCTCTAGCCCCCCTGCCACCACGCCACTCTCTCCATATGAAGGTTCTACACGTAGGCTACATTTTAAGGAAGCGGCACGAAAGAGGGACAACTAAGTTAGGCACAATGGTCAGAAAACTGACATTTCAGGGTAAAAACCTTTTTATTTAACTCGTTGAAATAAGCATTCCTATTCGACGAATATTTAAAGAATTTAATTTCTGAAGTTGCAAGGAATGATGGTGGCGATGTGCGAATATAGACTTTGCCTTCCACCCACTTGTATAACAGTTGTTTGTTACCAAACAAACGATGAATCTGAATCAAATGTTGATTGCAAAAAAGAGCTATGTGAATTATTGCGCATTCTTGAGGCTTACCATTATGCTCCCCTACTGTCCAAAAGTATTGAACCTTCACAGGACACAGGGCCCACGCCATGGGAGTTGTCTAGTTTCCATCCGCTATGGGATTTGTCTGGTTACCTGATGACGTAATTAGTTTCCCTAAACCTAAACCCAACCCTAAACCTAACCCTAAACCTAACCATAACCAAAGTCCTAACCCTCCATTTTAAAATGATTAATCATGCTAATTCATGACTATTAATCATGCTTATTTATGAATAGCAGGCCGAGCAGTATGGAAACTAGACAATTCCCACGCCATGCCCCCTAAAAATGCTTCCCCAGCCTCGAAACATCAGAAGCCTTTCCAGGGTCCGACGAATGCGAGGTCATACTTTGAAAGGCACCTTCATATCTGAAGATAGTCGATGTTGAGTAGAAAATGCATTGAAGTTCTCAGAAGCCCAAGGTAATTAAATTTGACCTTCTGAGAATTTTGACATTTTATAAAGTATTACAAAATAAGTTGATTAATGTTGAAATATCGTGCAACTGATAAACACAAACTAATAATAAAAAAACGATTTGTTTTTGGCCTAAATATATCCTAAAAATCCACACGGTTCAGAAAACCTTCATGTTAGGGATACTAATTGCTGTAAATAATGATAGTTACTTAATTGGAGAATATACTCAGAGTGAGGATTATAAGTTGCTAAAGAATGGTAGAGCACAGGTTAAATATGGCCGGTACTTTAACGAAATTAATTCTCTGCTGCGAATCCTCCATGATTTTTTCCCAGCCCGCATGAAAAATAGGCACTTTTAGGTTGTAACCTGCTTAGAAATTAATCAAAATATCATGGTTACAACGGTAGAACAATCTAGTTTAAACTTGAAATTTTACGATTATAAATCATATAAAACAAAAACCTGTCTTTTTGTCACACAAAGCATGTCTGTGATATATTCACTTCCATTTCGTCACAAATAATTTTTATTAATTAGAAACTGCAGACTGCCCTTAAAACTCCATGTGGGCAATATCTGGTGGGTGCAGAGACAATTTTCTTGTTTTGATCAAACAAATAATTTTACTTATTGTATTAATAGTTTGTATCTGCTTCTTTCTATATTTATGACTTCCGCTTGCTATGTGTGCAGTTCATTTGTTTCCACTGTTGTTGTGTTGGCATCTTAACATCTTGCACTCTACCCAGTCAATGCATGAATAAATGTTTATAGACTTAACAGATCCACAGTATGAAAGAATATAGAGTGTGCAGTGGGCCATGGTACCACCAAGCAATTTATGTTAGGCATTATGACCACAGTTGAAGGGTAAATGAATTGAAAAACAATAATCAATGTTATTCATTTACTAAGATCTTTTCAGCTCAATAAGAGGGATTTACAGATATTCTTTATTTCTTTAAACAACTTTTTTATAATTGGATTGATAACATCTTTTTTATTCACAAGGAGCCACTTTGTAAGGGACATGTAGAGGACTGAAAAAGGTTTCTCTTGGGAACTTTCGGTTTTTGAACATTTTTATGACTGCAAATAATCAAGGATTGGAATACCATTTCCATTGTGCAACCAAAATTGCATCCATCAGGTGCTTTATTGAAAAGTTTTGGGCTCTGCTGTCTCTGTTTATAATACATCTTTATAAGAGTATTCAGGCTCAGAATCATCCAGTTCTTAAGAATATCATAAGAATATTACTCAGCCTAAAATTGCATGTTTCTGTAATATTTTTAGCAGTTCCTTTTTATGGAATGTTCACAAAATAGATTTGCAATACTAACATTTCACAATTTTTAAAATCATGTTTTCCACTCAAGAGCAATGATATTTTCCTGAAACCATCACAGATTTTCAAAAATAAGAATAATTGAAGAATTTAATCAGGCTCATATAAGAAAATTTCTTAAGAATGTAAAGGCCAGGCAAAATTTCAGTATTCTTATGAAGAAAGTAATTATTGGCCCTATCACTTTAAGATGCAAATGTAGTTCTTGATTGACATTGTGCTTTTACAATTAATTTTCTTTTTTGCCACTTTGTTTTTTGGCAGTTTTTTCTAGCTACATCTAAAAGCAAATTTAGGAATTTCTATTTTTTGTGTGTCAATGATATTTCATGGCACTATATGTGCAGTTAGAACCAAGGAGCTATTATGGAGGTCTAGATAAATAACACTAAAAGACAGTCAATCTTGTGACAAACAAAGAGTATTGTGCTTGATTGAGTTCTCCTTGCTCATCTAATACGGTATAAACAAAACAACTGCTCTTAGACACAGTCACAGACTCAACACAACTCTGCTTACATAAATAAAGGCCATCAGAAATAGTCACCTTGAGCTTGACACCATGACCTAGTGGCTGAGGTTTGGTGCAATAATGTGGACAAACTTTGTTTAGTTCTAACCCAGCTACCATAGATTCCATTTCTTCACAAGGAAATGACAAAAATTTCTCAAACAAAGTTGTTTTGCTCCAGATATATTTTGAGGGGTCCAGCCCCCCATCCCCCTGGGATTTATGACCCTATGCTAATTTGATTTTATTTAATCTGATTTTATCTAATGAAGACAAACTTGCCAAACAGGTGTTGGACTAAACAAATTTCGTGAGGGGGGTGTTCAGTGCCAGGTTGCCAAGACTTCTCTGAGATAAAAATCAAAGGCACCCTCTGCCTCCTTTATTAATTTTTGAAAATCTGCCAGCGTCTCATTAGACATTATTTAAAGTTCAATTTTGTTGTTTTTATGATTCTTTGATGAATGTACTAATGTCAATGTAAAAACATTCCTAATTTTATAAATTTTTTTGAATGTTGACCCGTTTTTAAAACCCGCTCTGTTTATTCCTGCTCTGTTTATATTATATTGAAAATTTGATTTGATAAGTCTTAAGTCAGTCTAAGCAGTCTAAAGCAACATTATATTCTGAAGCCACCTCCCTTTGGGGGCACCATCTGAAGGAGGGGAAATTTATGACTTTTGATTATTCCAGTTTGTGGAAAATGCACTCGTTGCAGCAATTTATCTACCTTGAAACCCTAACAACCCTACTCTTTAGAATAAGAATTAAATACTTTAGAATAAAAATGATGGTTTTGATCATTTATTTGGTGTCATTGTTATGTTTTAATCTCTTAACGTAACGCGATGGATTCCCTTGAGATAGGACAAAATATCTCAAATGGGACAAAGTCCTAATGTCGGGAAAGTTAAATGAATTCGCATCACCTGTTAGCCTACCATTGTCACCATGTTGCTTTTAAGAATGTGGTTCTGACAACATGTGAATTTACATTTATCTACAATTGTCCAAAATCCAGATGACCCTGAAGCATGTTGAGTTTGCATTCTAAGGAGCATTCTTATTTTATCTTTCACAGCCAGAGTGAAAAAGATCGCGAAACTGAAAGGCTGAAAGGGCATACAATGTTTGATAGCCTCGCATTCATTAAGAAGTAAATCAATGCTTATTTCAATAGTTTCATTAAGCAAGGTATTAGGATTGTCTTGAATGAAAATGTTTAAGCAGTTTCAACGTTTTAAATGCAATCACAATAGTTGAGAATGACGATGCCAGAAGGGAGATGGATTAGGTCGAAAGAGGATGCCAGTATGATTAGCTGGGTTTCGAATGGAATATTTGAATTTTGTTATCCTGTGTACCTGTCATTTTCATGGAATGTCACCACTTAAGGCTATTTTGTAAATTTAGCATGCTTAAGCATATGGCCTAAGCAATATGGCAAAGAAGAATCAGGGCTGTATTGCTCGAGCTTCCTTTCATAATAATCTGAAAATCAGTACTCAAATTTACCAATGAACTCTCTTTCAAGTTCAGTCTTTTATCTTCAGCAATAAGCTAAGCAAAGGTTCGTGTTTGATGTTGATTTTATTATAAACGTAATGAGAGCTAACGGTTCACGCTCTTTTTGGTATTAAAAAGATGAGAAATCAGTTCTTTCCATCTTGAAATAGATTTAAACAATTCAATGTTGAAATATGGAAATAAATTTTTGCAGGGTTAATCAAGGATGTCTTCTGAAAGTGGAAATGGTGATAAGAAGTTCCCATGTACTTACCAGGGTTGCAACCGTATATACAAAACAAAAGGGAATTTGAAAACACACCTGAGGATACACAATGGTGACTTCAGCTACAGATGTGAATACGATGGTTGTGAAAAATCGTTTGTATCATCATATAGCTACAAAATACACCACAGAATCCACACAAAGGAAAGGCCGTATCAATGTGAAAGTGATGGGTGTGAGAAGAAATTTAATACAAGATACAGATTGCGAGCCCATATGCGAATACACAATGGAGATACTTTTGACTGTACATTTGATAACTGCAACAAAGGGTTTACTACCAAGAGCGACTTACAAAAGCACGAAAGAACACATTCGGGAGAGCGACCTTATAGATGCGTTATAGAAAATTGTGGGCAGACTTTCACGGCCTCTCACCATCTTAAAATTCATACTCGTAAGCACACCGGTGAAAAACCTTTTGAATGTAAAGCTGGTGGCTGCGAGAAGTCATTTAGTACAAAATTTGCATTGAAGTCACACCAACAGATCCATTTCAAAAAGCTGGAAAAAACAGATTTTGACTCAAGCCAGGATGTAAACAGTGAACTGGATGAAAATTCATCGGGCCTATTTTCGGGTCCAGTAGCACACCATTTCAAAAGCGAGTTCACTCCAGATTCATCTTGTAACGCCATTTGTGTCAGTGGAACATCAACTATCACAAGCGTACATAGTGTTGGCAACGAGCATGATGTTATCCTAGACATTCGCTCGAGCGCAAACTTTCAAGAAAATCTCGATGTGATTCCTCAAGAGCTGCTTGCTCTGTCACTGCTTGCAGGTTTTGTCCAGGAGGGAAGTTTCTTTACCGATACCTCTTTAGCAAATGCCGATAGCTTTGAGAGCGACATCAGGACAGTAGATCAAGGCTTAATGTCAGAAAACTCTGGAATCACAACTTCATTGGTCCCAATACCTAATGCAATATCCATTGGAGAGGTCCCTGTCAACCACAAGGTGTCTAGTGATATAACAATTGATGTTCTCTCATCTCAGGATGGCTTTTCGTACTTGAGCAGCTTGAACGATATTGCTGATGTTAAAACTGATGGGCGGAATGGATCCGAGGTTGGCAGTGTTGGCTGCATAGATATTGTTTCTTTAGCAGAGAAAAGTAACGTTGATGCTTTGAATTTTAGTCAGAGTGTCATTGACAGCCGTGTAGAGCAAGTGTTCTCAAAAACGTTCAGTCAGTATCAATTAGCACCAAATGTTCTTGCCCAAGGGACTAGTACAACAACTACTCAAGGGACATTGATGGTAACAGGCAGTACCCAGACTTCTGATTGCATTCCAACCACTGAGTCAGTTCAGCCAACAACCAATGGCATTATAGATACTTTACTTGAGAAAGAAGTTATATCGCTACTTAAGGGGCAGGGCCATTCTTCTAAAGATGATGTACTATCTAGTTTTCCAAACAATTACATACACAATTCATCATCGGCATTTGTTCCAGAAGTTACTTCTAGTGACCAAGCAAATGATAAAATTTCTTTACAGTCGGGAGATTCACAGATTACCGACGTAGTTTCGTTGTGCCTCGATGCTGTCCAAAGTACAAACAACAACTTCTCTACCATTGCTGAGAATGGCCTAGTTAGTAACAGCTCGGAAAAACAAAAGCTACCGCCTGTTATTATAGATGGTGGAGGGAGACAAGTTGTCGTGATAAATAGCCCAGTTATTCATGGAAATACAACTGAAATAACAAAGATTGATTTGCCAGGGCACCGACAGGCTAATGATATCACGCCGTCTGATTCCAGACCAATTATCATAAACATCTGGCCACAGGTTGAGAGTAAAAGCGGCTAAGATCATTGAAACACACCTTCCTCGAAGTTGTTGTTGGATGACTTGTAGATCATCCAATTTATTATGTTTTACGCCCGCGCATTTAAAGTCATATAGTACTTTTGCCAGACAGTTGTAAATGCAAGTTATGAGTTCAACTCTTTTCTGGGAGGCTCCCTACGTCAGTTTTATTGATATTAAGTGTTTACAGAGTATAGTCGTTTGAGAGCTTTTATATAACCTGGGGCTATTTTAGATAGCAGAGCATGTCTATTTGCATGTGTGTTTTTGTGTGGTAACTGCCCATAAGAAAACCCAATTGTGAATCGCACACCTTGGAGTACTGTTTGAATAACCTTGAAGAGATTAGGCAGTATGCTTTACCCTACACCGCATACAAAAATGACGTTGAGATGGGCAGCATTTATATATAAATATATACATGAAACAACAAATGCGTAATGGTTTGCTAGAAAAATAGCCCAGTTACCAAGTTTTCTACGTCTTTCTCGCAATACTTTAGACATAAAACTTTTGATTTTCCTAGAAACCTAATTTAATTGTTAGTAGATATATATAGGTCATGGCAGTCTACGGTACCCTTAAAAGGATTTCTTATTGTTTCAATTTTTTATTGTCCCATGTCTTACGAATTTTAAGGCAATCGTCACCAGATACTGTTTCAAAGGAAAACATTTGCCCTGCGAGCGTAATGTATGTCAATTTGTTCTGCCTAGCAAAGTTTAATCAGCTCCCTTGCTTCCAGTTTCTATTTATCGCAAGAAAACCATTAAAAATACCTTTGATGAATTGGTTTGATGTAATTTAAAAACACACCTAGCGCGTTGTCTCTTTTAATGGTGTGGGGCGTCTGGATAATTCAAATTGAAGCGAATATTTCTATTGGAGCAAACATACAGAATCAAGTAGAGAGTGCATATATTGAGCTAGGTCTCAGCAGTATTGACTGTTTAGCTTCGCCTCACAGGTCCTTCTGTCTTTTAAGAAAACATTTGATAAAATTGAATGTTCTCAATCCTACTTCTAAAGGCTTTAAGTAATGCGATATTGTTATATACCGTTACAATGAAATGCGCTAGGATCGCGCAGATTTAAAACAGGCAAGACTCGAGAGAATACAGAGTCTAAAAATCATCAATAACTTAATGTGAATGTAGCATTATCTCTATGTGATAAATTACTTTGCTTTCAAGTAATTACAATGTTTACAAATATGCATCGAAAACAACACAACAAGAAAGCAGGATGGAGCTACAAAAAGAGTTGTTTTGTTTGTAAAGATAAAGAAATTCAAAAATGGATGGAATGGGCACTACTATCACGTGGAACTGTTTACTGGCTGGGTTTATCAAACTGGTTATGGTCTTATGATGCCATTTATATCTTAAATCCCAGGACAATGGTTAAGCAAAGCGTAACTTCGACGCAAAAGCTAGAGTGAGACCAGGGCCAGGAAAGATGTCCTTGCAAATTTGTTATTTCCTTTATGTATCTACGAGTATTTCACAAGCAACGTTCCGAAAACACGCTAAGAGCACTATAAAAACTGACCAACGAAAGTAAAGGAAAATCAACTGCACCTAGATTAAAAATCGCTGGCATTGCCAAAACTCTTTCGGGGGAAGAGGCATACGCCGATGAAAAATAAGTTTTTTCGACGCATCCAAGAGGATCTCCATATGAGAATATGTCCTTATCACTACTACTATAGCAACGACTTCAAGACGGCAAAAAAGGATCTTAGAAGATAATTCAATAGAAATAGGACAACATTTCCACCATCGGAAGACTAAATTAATATAAAAAGAAAAGACACTGCGATACAAAGCATTTTAGGCAACATTATTTCGTCGCAGGAAACGACATTCGATTACCCTTCAGTGGACACCTGATAAAAGAACTACTTTATCCCGTCTTCTGACATTAGGAATCGACGAAATCTGCGTATCTAGAAGCAGCTTTTCTCACCCGTCCTCTACTACTCACTCCAATAATATTGATGTCGTCGTCACTATCCGAACAAACGTCATCCACTGGCGAATTTTCATCATCTTCATTATAGTTAACTTTTAAGCGGGTTCGTTTCGATTTCCGTGAATTGGTTTCATTGCTTACAGACGTTTGTCTATTTCTTTTTCGGGTTGAAGAGTCTTTATAACTATGACTATGTTGGTTTTGTGCTTTATTTTTCCCGTTTTCTCTAGTTCTCCGGTTCGTGCCCTCAGTTTGTTCTATATTATTCTCAACGCTGTTTGTGTCACTATCCCCAACATTGCTTCTACTACTGTTTTCGCCTTCGTCCTCTTCTTCATCATAATCCGATTCATCCTTCTTCGCATGGCACAGTCTCTTTATATTCTTAACCACATTATCTTCATCTAAAAAATCAGACCATCACTCTATTCATAACACAATAATTTGGTGTCCAGGATGTGAATAAAAAAGTTCAAGAGGCCTCAAGACTTTATGATATATCACCCTAAACGAATGAAAAGTCTGTTGATTAGCATTTAGTGCTTTGTGTATAATTCACTAATGCTTATAATTTGAGGGCTCGCTTTTTTGAAAAAACGATTTCAAATCCTTATGATACTACATATTTTTCCACGGCCACATATGGTTATATAAATACATTATCAATTTTTGGTCATTATCGCATGCTTCACATTTGCTGAGAAGGAGATGCCCGGTCATAATTTGTACCATCTTAAAATTTAGCAGTGCACCATGAATAATTAATAATTATTCATATTTATTATAATCATAATTTATCATTTAGCATAATGGCGCAAATAACCAACCTGATATATCTTCTTCAGAGCTTTTGCTATGAAGCCTCCTCCGCATCCGACGCCGATGATGAGGATCGTTTCTTATTCCATTTTCAAGCTTTTGTTTATTTTCTTTTTCAGAGTCCGTTTCCAATCCGAAATGCTTCGGACGGATCCTTCTCCCAGACCGAGTACTATAGACGTGGCATTCGTGATTTGATTCTTCGACTGCCCCCGAAATATCTTCAGTTTTGCTGGTGTTACAAGTAGAATCAATTGCAACGCTAGTTTCACTGCCTTGGGGTCGTCTACGTGAAGAAGCAGTTAGGAATTCTCTCGGCATCACCACCCGTCTGACCTTCTTTCTTTGCACAGCATTATCGCTTTTCTGTGACTTAGCACTTTTTGAGTCTCTTTTTGATGACACTCCGTCCAAATCTGTGTTTGAATCACATTCATCTGACAGCTCTCTCGATTGCCCAGTTCGAAGATTTAACACAATTCCTGTTCTACGGGGTGACGTTTCAGTCGTTGGCCAACTTTCTACAGCAAATGAGGCCTGATTAACGTCTTCGTTTCCGGACCTACGTCGAGATGTGTTTGATTCACTGCGAACTGCATTCCTACGTAAAACTAGCCGCAAAGAATTTTCGTGCATTTCTTGGCTTGCGTCCGATTGTTCAGTTTTAGACAAAGCCTTTGAGCTATCTTTACATTCAACCACATTGTCTAAAAACGAAGTGCTCTTTCTATTCGATTGTTTACGTCGTTTTCGATTGCTTGATAAAGAAAGCAAGGCCTGCACTCGGTCTTCAAACAAGGCAGACAGCCGCAATGTCATACCGTAAATCTAGAAACATACAAAAACAATTCTCATTCGTATTCACTTCAATAGAAAGGAAATGAGTTATTTTCTTGCTCAAGAGATTTTTCTTAAGTTAACAGATACGATTTAAAAATAACCTTGAAATAACTATCTAACTTGTTGAATAAAGGTAATTGTGAAAATAGTACGAAGGAGACAGAAGCAATCACAATGACCTTGAGAGTTCTGTCTGCAAATATCGCATCTGCCGGTAGAACTAAAACGAAACACTCTCTTTGCAGATAAGGTGCTAAAAAGCGATGTTAAGAGCATTTCACAAGACCTAATAAAATGAGAATGTAAAACGCAAAAGGATGAACATACCCTAGAGCGCTTGTTTGTGTTGTAAAGCCGGGAATTGAAAAACACGAGTCTAACATCACGAACCAGCGCCTCCGCATCGTCATAAAGTCTGTTATCCAGTTGCTGTCGCACAGTGCTTAAGTCCATTGGTTCACTCACAATGCTCGTGTAGTCCTATATCCGAAAGAGAAATCAGACATCATTTCTTTCATACAAAAAATTATTATACAGAAAATGCATAGTTTTCGACCATCACCACTAAATCTCCGTATTTACTATTCACCATTATATATCCTTTGAGTTGAATATATATTAAAAGTGCATATTTAGGAAAGAAATAAAGAAAATATACAGCATGCTACCTCTCCATGAGATGTCAGTAGCATTCAAAACCTATTGTAAAAATTCTAAAATGATATTGAAAGAAGTTAAAAAGAAATTGATTGCGAATTTAGGATCTTTAGCTTTAATGTTTACTGAAACATAAATAATACATCTAAATAATTTCTGGACGCAACATCAGCACGTGTGCATAAGAGCAAATCTTGGTTTCATAGAGAGATCTTGGTGAAAGGTTTTGGGAGTTGATTGTACCCCTTTTTGTAATAAAAAAATTAATTTAACATTGAATCAAAACGTAAAATATGTATTTGCGAGTCTTCTAAACTGAAAAGGAGAGTTAAGATGCAAGCATACTGGATATCGGTCTGTATCCACAGGCATTCTGAAAGGATCCGAGTCTTCTCTTGACATGAGGAAATCAAGCAAATCACCAGCTATGGAAATCCAGGACTAGAAAAGTAAAATAGAAATTTGCATATATTTCTGCAAACAAGAAACCAATTTATATGACCAAAATATAACAATCGTGAAGTTGATGACTATCTTACAAAAATCAAGGGGCTGGCTGTAAAAAAAACCTAGTCTTTTGCCCACAAAGAAATAGCAAACAGTGGAAATTACGAAGCCTGCGGCTCACAAGGAAATTTCAAAAAAGCCCAGAATCAATAAAAAAAGAATATCAAGAACATATTTGTGATTACCTGGCCAGCAGAAGATGAGCCTGCGGATGTAGATTCAAAAGAGCCTGCAGTATTGTCTTCACCCTGAAATAGACGCAAAATCAATGCCAAGGTTTTCATAAAAATATCTTTAGATAGGCTTGGATATAAGGGGAAGGGGTATAGGGGTAAGTGACAGAAGCCGGTTGGCAATTTTTTGGGGCGAATTGTACTGCGCACACATCTTTAAAGGTATCACCAATGTCGTGCAATTTGTTTTTATGAGATCATACCGTTAAACTAAGAAATAACTGCTAACGTCAATACCCTTTGGTAACATTCTCTAATAACAATTTGTCTCAGCTGTTCCTATACTTGAAACATTGACAACCACGCCTAAAAACCACGCCTAGAAGTACGGCAGTCGTCGGTATAATGATGAGCTACAGCCGTTGTGACCCTGTTTTCAGAACGGAATTGCTCTTTGCAGAGGAAGATAACCATATGGTGCCAAGGGATACAAACACATGCCTTAACACAAGTCTACAAAAAGCGTGTTTCGGGGCTAGACGAGGCTAACGAACAGATGGGTCATGGAAAAATCATTTTAAATATGTCACAACCCTTTCTTAACCTTTGTCTAGCAGACTAGAATATCTATATAATCCGCGCCAAAGAAATATTTATAAGTTTACCTTGGACCTGTTTTTCCTTTTCGATGACTAAAAACAAAATTAAGTGATATAATGAAAAAGAAATCAACAAATGGTCTAAATTGAAAAATGAAGAAAACCCATATATTTCGTGCTACGCTGCACGGATCATAAAACATAACAAGACGTTTGCAAAAACAAGTAAGTGCAGATGACTACCCGTAGCCATGTATTAAAGGAGGCAATGTACATAATTAGCCGGGTTCCCAGGTACAAAAAGACATTATTAATCCAGATAACAAAGAATCACAGGCCATCTCATTGTAAATTGTTCAAACACAATGGGATGATGGCTCAGTGCTATTCTCCAATCTTACCTTTGATTTCCGGGAGGAAGATCGCCTGCTTTCCGGTACTTTTTCGTGGGATATCTAAGAGAGAACATGATAAATTGCAATACCAGAGTCATGTGTTAGTTAAGCATGGAAGCAGGTCATCGTAATACTATTTGGGCCAGAGAGAATACTCTGAAAAAGAGTTGAAAATTTTGAAATGCAGGGTCCATAAAGGCAAACTATAAGCGAATTTTTTTGGCCAAGTTAAGTATATCATATTTTCACGTTGACATGGGTAATGAATAAACCAAAGATCAAAGGAATCAAAAATCGGCAACTCGATTTTTTAAAAATGATTATCAAGCTCACCTCATTTTCAAAAACTCCACTTTCCATACTTTGATTATAAAATGCTATCAGGTCTCTACAATTATGATCGCTAAAAATAAGAGGAAAGTCATTCATTCTTTCTGGCTCATCAAGCACAATTTAACAAATATTTTGATCCAAGGGGCAACAAAAGTAACGATATAAATGTAGTCAGAAGCAAAAAGCATATCGGTATTGACACAGCAGTGCATCTCTCTTTCCCAAGACGGGAAACAAGACTTACAAAATTAGAATTTACGCAGATAAAGATAACATAATAGTGTTTCAAAATCTAATATAAAAGGTAACACAGTGTGAAAAATGCTTGCGACTTAAATCTAAAGCAAAGTAGATTCAAAATGCAATGCGAAACAGCCTAGAAACTGAAGAACTCACAAGAAGAAGAACAAGTCACAGTGAGCTCTGGCCTGTTACTTCGTACATCGCTAGCTATTAGCAGAAGGGGCAATAGGAGTATAATGTGGACGAAGGATCATGGACAGTGAGTGAATTATGATTTCGGTTAGAGAGGCTATTCGGCTAGACTTACCATATAAATTCAATCAAAAGTTTCGTTACCAACGAAGAATTCCTCGAAATCTCACTGCGATCTTCATTGTACAACTTTGCATTCTGCTCAATAAGTCTCACTTCCCAGAGTAATGCATTGCGTCTTCTGTTTTCGTAGGAAAATCGAAATACATGGGTAAAAATGCTGAGGAACAACTCAAAGCGTAAAGACACATGCTAGATGATGTCAAAATATAACCTGACTTTGAATTCTATATCATTGTAAGATATCATTGTAAGTTACCTGAACGTTTGCAGAATCCCCTGGCAGACACAGAGAAAGGTGGCAGTGTAGACAAGAAAAGTATTTAGCAAAGACAACCCTATGAGTACAAATCAAGAAAAATATTGCGATAAATATACCTGTAGAACTTATTGACAAGCCGTTGCCGAATGGTATTCAGATCAGTGGGGTGGGGTACTGTTGCCAAGTAGTCAGCGTAGCTGCTCACGTCAACAGGGTATGCAAAGGCTCCAGCAATGGCTAGCTCACTGAACTGTTCAATGCCTGTGACAAATAACATATTTGTAACTATTCACTATGCAATGCACTGAGAATCTGATTTCAACTAACAAAAGAACACAAAAAAACGCTTCCCTACGAGTACATTAAACTTCCTAGATTTCAACAGGATAATTTATGATATTTGAAAAGTAACTTTATGACAACATAAAATACATTCCAAAGTTCTATAGTTCTGGCAAGACAAAGAGGTGAATCTCTCTGAAATTGATTGAATAATAATAGAATCTTTCCCTAAAAGCACTTTTGAATTTTGAAGGACTTTGATTTTGAAAAGAAGGAGACTAGAAAGAGAGAGATACGAGATAAAGTTTTAAGTATCCCGTGGAAAGGAGAAGGCAAAGCCCACGCTCCTTAGATGACCTTTTACAAACATTATAAATGTGAGGACAAATAAAAGTGGTTTAAAAGTGGTTTAAAGAATCTTAAGAACAAAACTAAAACAACAGTAATCCATTAGCACATTTAAAGTCTTTTACTGGCCGTATATCCGGCCATTGGGAACATATTCAGCTGACTTTGTACATTTGCAGGCATCCTATGTCGTTATATGAGATTATAAGGTAAAAAACAAACAATTCTTGTAAATAAATTCTTATGACATCGGCGCTTTACCATAGAAATTTTTATAAAAAAGTACAAGAAGATGAGCGACCCAGGAAGCCTACCATTTGAGATGCGGTCTATGGCCTGGTCTCTCCCCTCGTCAGGCCAGTCGGAGGTCGACGGGGTATAATCAAATAGCGTTCGGTCTTCCAGCGTTAGCGGGATATCGCTGGTGAGAGAAGCACGATCTTCGTCTTCTGGTGCTCTCGGATCTACGAGGAATTCAAGAGATTTGACAAAGAACCCAGAAAATCGTGTGCAGTTCTTAAAAATATCATTCTTAAACAAAGGCTTAAATAAAGAGCCTCACACCATCGTCAAAAGTGTAGCAATTGTGTCGATAATTTCACTGGCAAAATATGAATTTTTGGAAGCATGGTTATGGAGCAATTTACTTATAAAATGATTGATTAACGAATCAATGCGCGTACCGTTTTCGGTTACAGGTTCCATGTCCCAAGGGCTCAGTCTTTCTTCTTCACCGGTATCCCATCTGCGTGGTAGATTGCACAATGTTATTAGATTTGAATCAAATAAATGGCACAAGAAAGTACACTGTTTTGTATTGATAATCAAGAAGGGACGAAAGCTCACAAAATGTGATGGATAAAACGGTATGAAGACTTGATTTCGGATGTCAATTGTATAACTAGTGCAATCGCTGAAAGATGACGTTGATTTGCAGGTCTTCTAACGGAACACCTGTAATAAAGAGAACTGGCAGAGTGTCACACACCTTACTACTGCAGAATTGAAACAACTTTCTGGGAAATCATCCTGAAACGGACCCTTTTCAACGATTGTTCCCCACCACCATCGATCTTCAATCACACTACGGAAGCGGTCGCCTGCGAAGGAGATTCACATTCGATTCAATTCGATCCACGTTCACACGAGAATGGAACGGACAAAAACCTTTCAAGAAGTATTCTTATTTTAACAAGTAATTTAATAATTCCAAATAGCTGCCTCTCTACGAATTTCTGTCATTCGCCTATAGCTACAAAGAGAATTGAATGCCACAGCAAAGATTTTCAAAAACTTCCTATGCAATAGTCACCTATTGAAACGCTGGTTAATCAAAAAAAACTATCAACCGTCTTCAGGCAGTCTTAAAAGCGTATCGTTGGAAGATCTTAATCGAAATCATAACTCACAAAAGCCACAAATTGAAGAGCAACTGTTCCGAAAATACTTTAAAGGAAACTCGTGTCGTTTTATTCTGCTTCGTTCTATTTTCCGACGCTTAACTTGATAGACACGTTTAATTTTTCGTTCCGTTCTCTCATTGTGTGATGAAGAATATTAGTGACTGACGTATTAATAGAGTTTCCTGGATGGCCCGAAAGGATATCTTGTTTACAAAACGAAATGGCTACCTGGTTGCCAGTCTCTTGCCTTTGCTTGCTCGTAGTGGTGCCTCAACACAAAGAAGTCTAATACATTTTCCATATCGTGGTACCTGGGAAATAAACAGAGATACTTATTAACACTTATTAATAATATTAATCATGTAACATTACATATCATAAGCAAGCCCTAATAAAAAATAACGATAAAGAAGACAAAATAATTGAAAATAAACGAAACATTACATACTTGACATTGAATGATCCACCTGTGTTTGTGTTTGTTTCAGGGTTCATCAAAGCTAAAAAGCAAGAAGAAAATACTTGGAAACAATTCGAATTTTGCCAACCAACGATAGGAAGGGAATGACCATGTCGAATAAATGGACCATAAATGTGACAGAACGATGCTGCTCTTACCAAGTCGCAGGGAGCAGGTTCTCGGTGGTCCAACATTGTAGTGCACATTCACCACTCTGCATAACTCCTCGGCCTAAAAATTGATAAATTCCAAAACGAACACTGAGGACAATAAAAAATACAGCAAGGATTTATCACTGAATTGCACCACGCTGTCCAGAACATGGCTATAGCGAAAATGCCTGGAAGGAAGAGCCTACAGCACAAAAAATGATCGCACGAGCCTAAAATAATATACACAGTTTCATACAAAGTGATGAATGTAGCTACCTAGGCCGTAGTGAGAACAGCAAGGTATTCAGAAACGAACACGTGACGTACATGGTTAATTACCTAGACAGTGTCGTTAACATTGACAAAGCGGTGAAATACATATGTGCAGAAAAATCAGTTGAAACAATACGATGTAACAAATACCTTGAGGTTGTACTTCATGTAGCACTGTTTTTTTGGATTAATGTCGAGCAGATCACTTTCCAGCACAGCTTTGACATAAATCTCGTGGCCTTGACGAAAGTAATATACCTGAAAAAAGAAACATTGTGTTGAAACTGCATTAATTAGTGGTCAGTTGGCCTAACTCGCGGGGCGAGGACTGTACCAACCTATCAATTGAAGAAATCTAATTACCAATGATCATTTCTTTTTCGAAGGGCACTACTGTATCACTTAACGTCAAATCGTTCATGTATTCGTGGTTAAATTCAAGTTTCTTAAAAAAGAAATGTCATAAATGGCTCCTTTTTTCAAGTGAGCCTTGACCGATAAACAGTGCAAAAAACGGTTTTCTCGATACCTCCGGAATTAGAAAATTACTTTTAACAGGAAATAATGAAAGGTGTCGGTTTGTCAAGCAAACACATACTTGATTATAAATAATGTGACGGAGTCACTGAGTGCCACGAAGACACGTGATGCAAACTTACATAATCTTTAGAACTTACTTTAGAAACATTACTTATGTGGTTGTTTTGTTTAGACTTCCTTTGTTTATCCCCCGCTGACATTGCTTGTAATTATAATTCATGGTATGATTAGTATGCGTAGAAATTTCTGGAACATTCGATGGTAATCTAGCAAGTATGATGTAATCACGGTAGGTATTTTAGTAAAGTGACGTAATTATAAGTAGCAGTATAAATAGAGGCTGTGTGCCCGTGAAGAGGGAATTCTTTTCTTAGTGGTGGTTAGAGAGTAGAGTTGTAATGATTTAAGTGATTATTTCGGCGTGGTAAAATTAAAGAAGGTCTATTTCTTGCTTCGTGGACTGTTCAAGTAGTTGTTGCGCTCGAAGCAATATTGAGTTCACGACAATTATGACTTAATCTCATTTGGGTATAAGTATTGGCTATATTACCTCATCGCCAACTTGTGGTACATATGGCGATTTTTGTGGCAACATGCTTGTTAGCCAGTCTGGCATTTTGTACATCTCCATATATTCCTCTGTATTTTCAATCGATTTGGCATCACTCTGTAATTATGAACACATTAAAGACATTAACATGCAGCCAGGCCATAAAATAAAACCTTTGAGTTTATTATAAAATGTATTGACATCAAAATTGGATTGACTTTGTAATAGGAACAAAAAAACTCAAGGCAAGGACATAAGCTTAAGGCCACCTCCGCTTTTTTCGATGATTTCTTTTTGGTCGCTGTACACTTCTTCGAAGGTGCCTCCTTTTCATTCCCAGATTGCTCGTCCTCTTTCTCGCTGGCAACAATCTCGATCTCACTTTCGTTCTCTGTTCCATTTTCGTCCACAGCCTCGTCTCCGCTGCTGAAAACTCTTCTTAAGCGCCTAAGAAACGAATAAGAAGACAATTAAAGGCCATACTAGTCATGATCAATCACGTTCAGTTATCTTTATTATATTTTTCTGTGATAAGCTACAAAGCCGAGGACGAATGAAATCAAAATAAAGAGGAGAAACTGTGTAAAATACCTTCTAAATAGAACAAACGGATAAATAGGTACTAGATATACCTTCTTCTACTCTCGCGCTGTTCTTTTTTAAGACCAACCTCAGCAGTCCAGTCAGAGTCTTCGCTGGAATCGCTATGAGCAAAAACACTTTTCAAAAGGAGCGCAATTATTCAACAGAAAATAGTATACAAAGTTTTAAACACGTGAAATTTACTTTGGGACATCACTGAATTCTCTTGGTATCCTCGCAAAAACGTGAAAAGGGGTAAAAAACCCTCTTGTGTCGAATGAGCTAAACTACAAATGCAGCGAAGAAAAGGAAAAGGCTTGTGAATGGGGCAGGAGGGCTCAAAGTTGTGAATCCGGGTTTCAATGCTTAATGCGATCATCAGGCAACCGTAAAAGGGCAATACATGACAATTAATGAACAAAGGCACCTCCAAAAACGTTTGAATATTATAGTCAGATACCCAATTTTAGCTTAGTCAAAGCTACACATAGCTCTTCACTTCAATCCCTATTATGGCTACGTCACCTGCTATCGCTGTTCCAGTCTGAGTCACTCCCGCTACTAATAAACTGCTCGACATCGATAATTCCCTCCTCCTCATCGTCATCATCTTCATAATTCGGCTGCTGCACCATTTCAGATGGAACAGTGTAGCTGATTCTCTGTCTGGGCGCTGCGCGGCCTCGTCCACCCTTTGTCGCTTTCTTCGCGCTTTTCCCTTCAATTTCTTGGCTGATTATTTTTGAAAGCTGAAGATAGAAATCAGTAAATTTAAAAGAGATATTAGAACCGTAATAGGCATATGTAGGAGGTTATTTGCTGCAGCAGTAAAAATTCACATTAAAAGATTTTCAAAACTTGGATTTACTTATCTAAGATAACTGATTTTCATAAAACGGAAAGTCATGATGATTGTAAGTAATGTCCTTAACGATTTAATGAGGAGAAAGACTCACTCGTTGCGAGGTTGAAAGTGGTCTTCGTTTCTTTTCCCGTGTATACTTCTCGATCTCTTCCTTTCCTTTTTCTTGTCGATACAACTCATTTTGCCTTGAAACAAAGACATCAAACATAAATCAAAAGATTAGTTTAAGAAACACCTTAAAAGACTATACGTATGTAGTGGGACGCAAAAAGTCAAATTTAATCAAAATAACCAAGTTACAATAGAGATGGTCAATAAAAACTGAGAGAAATATTTTTGAGCGGTTCTGCAGTGGGTTTGCTACTCAACCGCGAAGCCATTTGAGCAATGATTCAACTTACTTTTTAAAACAAAACTTTTGAGAGGGAAAGATCTTTCGATTCCTCCACAGGGCTAGTTCAGAGGCAGAAACATCTTGTGAAATGAATACATTGCTGTCCACCTGACGCACTCCTTCGACGTCACCAGTCTGTCTCAGGCCCACTCCACCCCCACCTCCACCCCCCGCGGGGCTGCGAAGAGGTGACCTTGAGCCTCGCTGTCTTCTTTCTGGCGATAGCAAGTTCTGCCGTCCTAAAAAACAAATTAGCTATCAAGTTTACCTAGAAGTTAATTGGCAACACTAACGTAAAGATATATCAAAATTTTTCTTTAAGCACGATTAATGTTTACGAAGCAGTTTCTTCTTAGAAGTTCTTGCAATGTTGTGGCTGTATCTTTCTATCGCCCTCATTGCTAGTATCGACTGATTCGCTATCTCATCCGTGGTTCCGAAAGAAAAACAATTCGCCCTCATCAGTAAGGAAATAAGGCACGCACTCTTACCTGTGGCAGCAGCCTCCTCTGCAGCAATTTCTGCCAGCAATGGTGGAAGGTCAGACACGGGTATTTCCACTCTCCTTGTCGGCAAATTATTCGCGTTTCGTCCAGGAATGAGCAGTTGGTAAAACGGAGGATGTGGGTTGCCATCAACGTCAACAAGAAATGGAGGCGGCATAAGATGAGGTGCCATCTGCGTCTATGTAAATAATTGTGTATCGAAAAGTAGAGCACGAATAGATTTTTCGCCTAGGAATTTCACAAAATATGCCAAAATTCACTTTTTCTTCTTCTCAAATTTGGATACATCATTCCATTCTGAAGAAAATTAGTTATTGTGAGCATAAAGACCATTCAAAATTGTACAATTTGAAAGATTGCTAAATTTGCCTCAACGCTCAAAGGAGCTGAACTAAAGAGCTTGGCCGAAATAAACAAAATATTAGAGTTTCTGATAAACATATAGTGATACTAATGAAAATAAACCCTTTTCAATAGGAGTGCTTCACCGCTTTTATTAGGAGAACTGCTGGTTACTAATATTTATGGGCAGCAATCCTCTCAATAAAGTTTTGAAACAAATTACAAAAAAGATAAAATAATAGACCCATTCGACTTACGGCCTCATTTTGAAAAAAATTTCAAATTATTTTGTACAAAATTTCTGACCTCAGATTCGGATTGCGAGCAATGATTTTAGTATACTTTGAAGTTTTCATTATGGTATTGCTCACGATATTGATTTTATGACGACAAAAAGATGAAAATTTGATAAGGGATTTGACCGTGATTGGCGACTAGGGGGGGTAAAGTTTCCCCCCGAATAATTTTTTGCGGTCAAATCCCTTACAAGTCTTCAAACTTCATTTCTCCGTAAAATCTATAATACAAGCACAAACAATATGAAAAATTGCATCCAGCCTAAAATTATGGTGATAAAACCAAATCTGAGCTTTAGAAAGTCGTATAATTAGGTTAGGAGAAATTTTCAAAACGAGGCCGTAAGTCGAATTGGTGTATTAAGACTCCGTTTCGTTTGAGTAAAAGGAAGGAAATTTATTTCCGTTATTTTTTTGGTACGATGCACTTTTTCCCTCACGTTCATAATGAAAAATAAATAAAAGTCGTTTATGTTAGCCAAAACTATAAAAGAACCTTCTCGCGAAGAAGCAGATGCAGTAGCTGGATTGAGAATTTGCGATTAATGTTCCCAATTAAAATCTGTTTCCAGTAAAAAATCAACCCTCTTTTCCATCGTATCCAAAAATGTCGGTTCCCAACCGTTTACACTGCAGACAACAAACACGATTTGATTCAGTTTCTCTTCCTAGAGTAAAGGGGTTCTTAAAGTCTAGCTTTAAATGAATAGTAGCCAAAAGCCAAACCTGTTCATCTAGAATAAAATTGTTCGCATCCCTGATCAATGGTCTGTAATCTGTATGAAAAAACTGCTCGTACGGAACCTTGAAAAAAAGAGCAAAACGAGATTATAGATTTTCAGAAAAGCTACAGAAACTTGAAACCTGAAAGAGTACAAATTTCAAAAGTCATCATAAATGAAGTCTATCATAGCCTTACCTTTTTAAAAGGTTCATCGGAACCAAATCCAAAAATGCAAAGATGACCATGGCTGTCTGAAACTGCAAAACTCATTCCATCGGGCGCGAAACGTGAATCAAATATTGCTCCATGTCCCTGGCCCTCAAGCTAGAACGAAATGGCAACCAAATAACAAATACCAATTAACATAAAACAACCAATTCGTTGAGTAATAACGAATGGATTTTCTCATCTCGGTTAAATGCACGTAAACCTAAAAATAACAGAGCATTAACCTCGAAAAAAAGCTAGAAGTAAATGGATAAGAAAAGGTACTCACCAAATTAAAGAAACTTTTTATCATGACGCCTTTCAAAATATCCCATAAAATAACATTGCCATCGTGTCCTGCAAGAATCACAGGATATCAAATGGCCTTGCGGATGCGATATTAATTAGATATGTATTATCTATTTTATAATAAAATGAATTATTATATATTAGATATTTATTACGGATTACACTAAAGAAACTGATCAGCTAGTTATTTAAACCAACAGAAAACTAGTTGTTTAATTCCTCCTTACGTACACTATTTAGCAAAATGTGAATTATTATAAAATGTTAAGAGAATAAAATTAGAAAACAAATGAATTAGTTCTATTTTAATGATGCTCTACTGTGACAAAGAACAATGTGATTTCAAGATAAGGCCTTACCAGCACTTAGGTAGATGTATGGCTCATGGGGATGGCACTCAAGAACAAATACTTCATCTGAATGACCCTTAAAAAGAAATAGACTTTGGTCGAAATTTGAGCACAAAAAATTGCGCGAAGACACAGAGGCAGAAAGGACAGGCAGAAAGGACCGGAAGAAAAGGCAGGCAGAAAGACAAGTAGACAAGTTAAAGGAGAATTGTAAATAAATGAGCAAAGCCATACAAAAACTACAACATCAACACAGAAAGCAATTGTTTTGGACTTACAACCAAAATGTGAATCAGTTCGCCAGAAAATGAATCCCAAACTTTCAGCGAATGATCAGTAATTGCGGTTACCAGAAACTGATCGTCGACATTCCAACCAACCTGAAACAGCAAGGCATCAGTTAACAATAAATGGAATAACCTATTAATTTCAATTGTAATACTCCCTTCATTGTCCTAGCTTCAATTCAATAATAGACACCTCTAGCTTGACACCATGGATGAAAGAACCTATAATAAAGAATTATTTTGCTACTGATTCACTTCAGTTTCTAATAAATTGGAGTGTACGCAAAATACAACCACCAAAGAATTTATAGTAACGTAAAGGTGAGCTTTCTATAAGAGATCTGTGTGGACCCTTGTCCTCTGCCCTGAGCACGAAGAAGAAAGGCCGCTAGCTTCCTTTCTCACTATATTTATCTTTCCCAGTGTTGCTAACGTGTATCAATTTGTTGCTGGGTGAACAGGAAGCTAGCGTCCAAGATATCGTTTGAGCCAGGCTCTGAACCTGCAATCTTCTGCACGTGAAACAACAAGTAGAAACGCTTCCACTAGTTGCACTGGTTGGTCACGCTTCCAGTAGTTTTACTGGCTGGAATGCAGGAAAATTGCTACATAAGAAATGATTTTAACAATGTCTTTGTTTTGTGACCAACACAAACAAACCACTGTCAATGCACTTACCATTGTCACCTTAAGTTTCAGGGACTTGAGCGATTCTTCGTCCAGGAAACTCGGGGCGCTAAAAGGAAGTAGAATTTATACTGTTGTAATAATAACCAAAGAAATTGTGTGATGAATTATATCAAGTGCTCTATTGTTTATTATCGTATGAAAATTATAAAACTACGGAAAAATCAAGGCATACCGCTTTGAATGTCATTGACAATTAGATTTGGTTAAGGAGAGGGCTGGTGGCGTGGCTACTGACAACACATTTCTTCTTACGACCATAAATACATTTTCTTTCTCTAAGCGAAAATATCATAAAATCGTGTTTTGAAAAATAGCAAATTAGGAAATAGTTATGCATCTTGTTGTGCTAATTGCAAGTTGCGGTATTTCAAGTAGCCATGAAGTTAAAGTAAATGAAGTTAGGCTCTGTGGCTGTTGTTTCTGATAAATCGACCAATGTTAGATGAAATGATTCACTGGTGTGGCCACACGCATATCCAACAATGTCAAGCAATCCCCAACAAGACGTCTAAAAATATTTGTATATATTGGATAAAATGTTGCAATGGTTTAGTTTTGGCCTTTATATAACAAATAAACGAGCAAATAGACAACCTTTTCAGTCGTTCATATGCATTCAATGCAATGTGCTTCCATTCGTTTCTCTGAAACTGCCATATTCTTGCTGTCCCGTCCCTTGATCCCGTCGCAAACCTGAACAAGACGTCGAGTTCCATTAAAATGCAATTCGCATCTAATTACAAGATGCAAGCCGTATGGAACACAAGATGTTTGGCAAGCAGTACATAGTTTAGCAGGATATCTCCTGACAAAATAGGGGAAACAGACGAAAGGAGAAAACTTTCAACCATAGAGAGGTAGATGGGATATAAAAATTACTTAAATTTATAGAAATGACATTTCAAAGAGCAGGAGATAAGCAGGAGATAAGGTGCCGGTACGAACCTGAAACCTGAATTGCTGAACTGGATACTATCGACATGATCCTGCAAAAACAGGTAGTTAAAACCATAAAGATTTGCCACTCCAGTAGTCATAGTTTAAATTTAAGTAAAGTTGACGAAATTAAGCTCTCAATCTTTTTTCATTCAAAAGTATTCATTTATCTATCCAAATTTAAGGGAATGACGTCAAAATTCTCAGTTGAAAAATTCATGCAACCACAATTTGAAAAATGTCTTGAGCAAAACGATTCCAATATATTCTAGCATCGCTAAGACAATAGATTGATAAAGTTGTTAGGGTATGAACAAGTATACATAAAACAGAAAATTGGGCACTTTAACGTGCAATAACTGCTACCAAGAAACAAAGGAAACATTTCAATCTTACTGTGTGAGCAGATAACTCAGCTATCTTCTCCACTGGGGCTGGCATCATTTGATAGACACGAATAATGTTGTCAGAACTGCCAGTGACCAGAAAACCACCACCTTAAATCGAAATGGTCACCTTCAGCGACATTTGTTTTACTCATTCAACAGCAAAAAGGGCGGTGGACCATGGTCCCTGCCATTGTCTGTTTATAGATACCCAAAGTTTTCTATCCTGTAGCCCTTATACATCTAACTTCTAGGCAATACCCTGGGATGAAGTGGTTAGAATTTGACAAATTAATATTGACAGCTTAAAGTATGTTGCCTACATTAAGTGACTTAGATTAAACATAGTTTCTTTCCAGATTCTCAACACAAGCTGAAGTTCCAAATAGAAATCTCCCAATCCATGTTTCCTGGGATTGTTTGAATACAGACCGCAGTCAAAATTTGAATAAACTGAGCCCGCTTCACAGACTTCTTTCTCGATTCTGCGCCAATGTTGGCTCGTTTAATATAGAGATTAAGGAGGACGATAATCGAATATTTCAAGCTAGATGTTTCAGCCAGATAGGACATAGATATCATCCTCGTTCATAATATAAAATATACAAAAGAAAAACAAAAACGATAAACTGGTATTGATAGAAACGAGGAATCTTCGTTCAAAACGGCAGCAATGAAACATGTATTCAATTTATAGGCACGCATTTACCTGGACTGAACGAAGAGCAAAGCATCTGTGCACCTGGACGTGATTTCTCGTTGAATTTCACAGGTGTTGACCTGAAAAGCGATTATGAAACATGTAATTGACAATTTATGACCTGGACTGAACGAAGAGCAAAGCATCTGTGCACCTGGACGTGATTTCTCGTTGAATTTCACAGGTGTTGACCTGAAAAGCGATTAAATTTGAATTAATGACGCTGATAAAGATGCTGAATGTGACAGATGGTTTTGGAAATTGGAATAATTCCGATAATAGAGAATATAAACAATGACATTATTTTAGGAGTCTAAATTTCAGAATTCAAAGAAAAAGTCAACAAAATAATCTCGTTGCTTGCTAAAGTAGAAATGTACAGATAAGAGAATCGAAAATACCTGCCAAAATCTGAACGAAGCAAAAAGAACACTTCTGCTCAAAGGAAAAGCGGCCTAAATATACTTACATAAGAATACCCTTACAAAAGCTGGGTTTGAGTTTTTTAGATTATCAGACAGAAATATGATTTAATAGCACGGTACTTAAAAAAATTAATTTTCAAAAATCAACTTCAAAATAAATTGAATACTTTCTTGCCAAAACAAAGAGAATATGGGCGTTGCAAATCTGCAACTGCAAAACTGTGTCAAAAGATTAGTTGCCTTCGTAAAACATGATGTTTCGACATGAAAGCAATCAAAGCTATTTTGCTTTATACATTTTCTTAATGTAAATTTGGGTTGACCTCTTTTAGTAAAATTCAGGATTTGCGTGACTATTTTACGCCAGAAATACAAGGTTTATCTCCGGTCTCAAAACTAATCTCATAATCGCTGCTAAAAAACATTTTCTGAATCCTGTAAAATACTCACTCAAAACTATTTCCTTTTATGTCCCACTTCCAAAAACAAACCGTACCATCACCCCCAGTAGACATCAAATACCTAAAGGAAAGATTTAAACGTTACACATTACACAACAATGCAGCAAAAAGTGTGACAAGAATAGCGAAATGGAACACGAAAAGCACACCAACTTGAATATGGTAATGTATGTACATGCAACTGCAGAAGTCAAAAAAGTAATAAAAAAATAATACCTTGCATCTTCATGTGCAGAAGGGCAAAACTGGAAAAAGAGAAAAACTCAATGATTACTTAAGATATGAGAAACACCTTTCTTAATGGAAATAGAGCGAATTACCTTTTTAATAAGAAAAGGTTGCGTTCCTTGAAATTTTTTTTTGCTTTTTGTTTCAATTGATGGAATCACTCTAAACTTCATTTCATTCAACTTTGCTGAAATATACTGAAAAAAGTAAAAATCTATTTTATTACACATCTATTTACAGCGATGTCACGTTGCAACTCTTTTTTGATTATCGCTTTGCATGCCTAGCAGGACAGATCCGTTTTTGCATTCAAAATTTGACCATTCTAGGGACTGTCCTGATGGTGTGCAACGGGTTTGTGGCTATTAACTGATTTTGATCAAAAAGAGAGAATTGCAAATAGATTACTTTTAGGAAATATGTTTCCAAAATTCTCGATTCTATTTGATGTCGCCCAAAAATCTACGAAACGTGACTGCAAAGGGACTGTGGTTTAGAACAAGCTTCTTTGTCTACCAAAGCTAGGTCCTTCCCTATAAAAAGTAGCATGAAGACAACCCTATACGTTGTCTACATATATACAATATATACAAAAAAGTTGCTTTTAACATGACAAACCTGAAGGGAAGTGATCATTCCAGTATGTCCTTGTAAAACAGCAACAGGGGCTGTGTTGATCAAACTCCACACCCTTATTGTCTGTCGAAACAATTTGTTGAATTAAAACATCACAAAGTAAAAATCAAGCAAAGGTCGAAGGATAGTCAAAATTTAAATAGAGGAAAGTGTAAATCTTTATTTACGAATGTTTAAGTATACAATTACCATTGATATGAAACAATCACTTCAAAATTTCATAAAGCAAATCGTTATTGGCGTTGCAGCTTTGATATATCTAGTTTTAGGCTGTAAAATGGAAATGTGGCCAGCGACAAAATTGAGAATAGCCATTAGTGGAGAAATAATAAACTGATTTTTTTAATAACGATTGATTCAACAGCACAAGACTGGACGTGTTTCTTTTAAGATAAAGTAACGAAATATGATTCTTCAGGAAATCTATATAAAATATAATAACTTGGTGCAGCACAGCTTTCCAAAAGCAGTGTCTCACTTAAAGTAAAATGAGATACAATGGAGTCTAATAACCCTAGACAACAAATGCTTTCAGCACGCCCTTGAGCTATACAGCAAGCAACCCTTCAACTGCTTAAAAAATAAAGGAAAGAAGAAAGCGAGAACTTTTTACAAAAAAATGACCTAGAAATCTTACCAGGCAAATATTTACGTATATCATGTTTGTCTAAACATTCACAAACGACAACAACCTATGACTGGTACTCTTTGTTGCTGTTATACCATGTCCGAAAGCATTTCAACAAAACATTGTCTAGCAGTCCCCTATTGTTTTCAGAATCTCTTTTCATGACCACGATATTCACCCATCACTGATTTAATACACAAATATTCGATCAGAACGAAGATCCACCACAGTGTCCTCTCCCTGAGCGAGTTGCTGTGAATTTTGTTTTGGTTTCAAAGGTCTAACAATGATTTAAAATTAGGCATTTTTTGTCGGGTTCACCCACAATAACTAATGTCGAATGCTGAAAAGGCAGATGAAGTCCCTCTTTTAAGGCGAGGCCTTTAAAGCAGCCTGTTCAACTTTATTCCCAATAGCTTGACCAATCTTGTTTTCAGTAACTTTGCAAAGGGCTGCAAACTCAACTAAAGCAAAATAACTGAACCATACCTTGTCACAACTACCTGCAGCAATTAAGGAATTTTCCTGATTGATCGCCAAATCTGAAATTTCGCCAGAGTGACCTCTCAATGTTGCTAGAAGCCTGCCATCGAAACTTGACCATAATTTGACAAGATTGTCATCTGCACCCTAAGCAAAAGATTACAAAATTTTACCGATCTTCTTGCATACTGCTGCAAACCAAGAAATATTCATATGGCAAAAATTCAACATACAGCAAGATAATTGCTAGGGTTTTTCTGAAGCGCTTAAATCTTTGGTTATTTGTTCGGCCCCATTCTCTAATTTAAAAACAGAAGCCAATCTCTTGCTTATGAACAAAAAAACATCTTTGAAACTTCAAAACATGCAATAATTATCTGCATTATTTGAAGTTTAACTACTGGCGTTCTCACAACAGTCTAGCTTTAAACATATACTTTCACTGAGGTAGGACTGTTATTTTGACTATCTTGTACAAATTCTCAATAAAAATTATGGCAAAAAAACAAATATTTAAGAATAAGGTTAGTTGTCAAACGATAAATGAGAGACATCGGAAATTTTATGACTGGTTAGAGAAAAGTAAAAAAAGACAAACTTCTTGTCTTTGAAAATTGATAAATAATTTTGCTGGAACTTATTTATCTGATTAATCATCTTTGAAATAGACAGAAGCTCAAATATTAGTTGTGGCTTCAAAGAAGATTTGACAAACGAAATCACGCAATCAAATTTTGAATCCACAACAGATTCTGTAATTCCTTATGATAAATAGATATACAAGTGAAATGATGATTTGTATGCTAACTGAAAACGGTTAACACCTCACCGTAGCAATGACATGACCAGTCTTGTCAAATAGTACACAATAAACAGATGCCAAATGCCCAAGTATTCTCTTGTGCTGAACATAAAAACCTCATTATACAACTGGCATAACCCAACAAACAAACATTGTGAACTCTGAAAATACATTTGGCAGAAAAACCAACCAAGGCAATGAATCCACAAAGTGTTTTAAGAAAACATCTGCTCACTCAAATGCGTAAAATGTGTCTAAGTTGAAGTGCTACAAGCATCGTTTTAGTCACTGCATTCCATGTCATATCAAAAAATGAGCATTCATCTCTAATTCAGGGAAATCCGAATCTCATCATCTTAACTTTTAACTTGGAAACATATGATGGAATTACAATTTTTTTTACATTATTGGTGTGCAGAACAACAGGGGTCTTACATGCAACCCCAAGTTTCATGCTTGATGCAGCCATTAAGCAACTAATAAACTACGAGAGTTGAAACATACAAGCCAAGGAAAATCTTGATACCTTCCGGGAAATTAAATATTTCATAACTTTAAAAATTGGCTTTTAATGGCTGCCTGATAATTGCATAAAGCTTTAAACTTGGAAATGCAACTTAGAGCTGGCTTGTTCTATGTGGCAAGCATATATAATACAGCTCTTATCAATACATTAAAACCAGAAGCTAGATAGGACAGCAATGGAGTTTGCCAAGGGTGTGTTATAATAACTTTTATTCTCTTATTGAACTTATGCAAAAAAGAGGATTTTTGCTAGATAAAATTGACACTAAAACCATCTAGCTAAAGAATAATGATAATGATTTGCAGGGCATACAAGGTAAAATAATTGACAAATGGAATGGAATTATGAAAAGGTTCAATGATAACCTGAAGAAGGGAGGGGGGAGAAACAAAAAGTTATGCTAACAGAAAAATTTCTGGCAGTATTGCAATAGGTACCAAGATTTACTAACTGTAAAAAATAAACCTCCTTTTAACATAACGTTGCCCAGGAGAAAGGAAGATACATCTGAAAGGACTTGTTTGACAAACAGGTATAGCTGTATGCTTGTTAAGAAAAAAAGCTTACCATAGACACTTTGCTATAAAGGTTACAGCCACTGACAAAGTTTCTACTTCTTGATGAGCCACACACAGATCTTGCAGTTACTATATTGACTGAAAAAATTTACAGTATATTATACACTATTTTGAGATATAGAAACATAAGAAAAGTTCAGCAAATAAAGATGTAGTATATATTTAGAGATTAATTTTTTAACTTAACTTCAAAATAGGTTTATGTCAAGTCTTACCCTAATCCCATCCAAATCCAGTCATAAAATTCCAATCAAAATTGTCAGTTAGGATGAGCACAAAAATTTCAAATTCTTACCAAAGTTTGACTTTCCAGATATGCAAGGTGGCAATGCAGGGCATCCATGAAAGCATGCCGCTTCAGTAGTAGAGTTTCTTGGCTGAAGGGAATCTGTGAAGGGAATTTCACAAAGTATATCACACAGTATCTTTCTTTTTACTGAATTGTTGATATACAGACATACAGACATTTATGATAAAAAGATCAATCATAAAAAAATAAGACGGAAAAATAAAAAATTTGATGGTGCCTTTATCAATTTGCTTACCAACTGCTGGGGTGAACCTAGAAAAACTATGCTGGTGTTCTGGGTAAAGTTTGTTGTCTGGGTACAGCTCACATACCCAGGCAAAAAATGATGAATATAGCACCCGTGGTACTTATTTAAAAAATAAACAGGGGCGCTTATTAATTTTTGCTCAAACCAAATTTATTTCCATTGTTTTCAAATTCTTTCTGAAGAAGATCATAACAAACGTAATACACACTTGGTGAAAAAAATTGAAAGCTATAAAATGTCAATTTCTTCATCCTTTTCATGATCTGAAGCAACCATTAGAAATTTAGGCCCTGCTGCTAGAACATGCAGTACAATATAAAGATATAATAACAATCAATGTAAGTAAATTGTACCAGAAAAATTTTTTTTTAAAACAAATAATGACGTTTCGAGCATAGCCCGCTATCAAATAAAATTGAACAGTGATGATAGAACGAAAAAACGTTAAAGGAATATGGAATTGGACAAATGGAAAAGGAAGACGGATATAAGAGCATGGAAAAGAAATATATAGAAAGAGCTAATAATAATATATACATAAATATATATACACAAATACATAATTTATGTATATGTATATGTATGCACACTAATATGAAGAAAAGAAAAAACAAAGAAAAATGAAGGGGGGGGGGGTTATTGAAGATACGTAAATTGTTTATTAAGTCCAGAAGGATATAAAGTTCCAAGTTTAAAAATGATTCGTTTTTCCAGTGACTTTCTCTTTGTGCTGTCCATTGGGGCAAATAAGAGGCCAAGAACCTGTTCCTTGTCACACAACCTGATGGCTAAATACAAAATTTATACATACCTGATCTTGCTCTAAGCAGTGAAAAATTTCCAGTTGTTAGCAATGAATTCACATTTTCTATCTTGGTTGGAATGACCTTTTCAACAAAGGAACCAAGTCTTGACAAAAGCTTGATGATATGTTCATTTTGTATATGATGATTGAGAGATTCCTAAAAATGAAACCAACAACATATTAATATAACTCAAACAGATTGAGATAGCAACCTTAATGACATACAATATAATTTTACATCATTTAGAAAAAACTGTTTTCCAAAACTGAGCAATGCGAAACGATACAAGCTGTACTAGGTATCACCATGGCCTTATTTTTTCTAGAAATTTGATTGGATGCCTACTGTTTAGTTAGGCATTCTCATTGCAATTAGGACATGTGACTAAGCATGTGTTTATACCTTGTTTGGTTAAAAAAACTGGCCAAACTAGCAGATTTGCATAGGTTAGTTTTCAAAATATAGCTTTCCAAGTACATTTCTGACGGATTTTTCTACAGCTGCAAATCAAATGATCAAGATTTGATAGGGTGCTGTGCTGAGTAACAAAGTGAAATAAACACTCCCCTTTTGTATCTATCTATCATATCTTTTGGAAATTGAAGAAAATTTCTAAATCTTAGAAAAGGTCAGAACAACAAAGAAAGGAAAATATGTTTAGTTTATAGTCGGTTTAAATATTTCCCTACATTTCTAGAAACCACGGGAAATTTGTCGAACACGAATAATTCACGAATACCTTAACTGTTTGAAACACCTATCAACACCCTGTCCTTATAAGCACTACATTTTATTTAAGCCAACCCATAGAAATATTTATTGTTATTGTTATCACCTATAATTTCGTTTATAAAATCGTATATCTGAACATTTTCAGCCCTTATAAGTAAAGCGGCATCAAAATTCAACGAAATTTCACCAGGGTTTTTGAAATGTTAAGGGAACATCGTATACCCTCCAAAACCAAGAATCAAATTTACGAAGAACTCCGTAATCAAGCCCAATTTTACATATCTTACTCTCATCTCATTTCAAAACAGAAGCGCCATGTTTGAAAAATTCAACTTCCGGTTGGCAGAACTCTCGAGCTTGATTGGTTCAAATTAGAAAAACGCTGCATTTGATTGGCTAAGCTGAACTCAACAGACGTGCTGAATTTGTGAAACGAAAACCGCAAACCACACTGGATCGTAGGCAAGTTAGCTCTACCCAGCTGTTATTCAAAAGAAAGCCCAGTTCATGAAAGAGTGTTACAAATAAAAATGACAAGCTGTAAATACACCAAAAGCTTCAACTCTGACGTTTATTATAACATTGAGCTTCAAGTCAATACTAAAACCATAGGAAGTAAAGGATGGCAAGAACTGGCAATTTGAGACAAAACTAGCATAGGACACACTCACCATGTCATCCATTGTCCGGGGATGTGAATTACCAAGCCAGTCTGTTCTTCTTGGAAGAAGCTAAAAAATGTTTTTAAGTGAACAAATTTATAAGTATTCATGTGGGCTTTATTTTACTTTTTTCCTGATTAAAATAATAAATAAAAATAAATTCATAAAAAAATACAATAATAATTTTTTATGGCAATTGGCATTGGAGAATTTCGTTTTAGTCTGAATTAGAGAAAAAGGGGTGCAATTTTACTTACATGATGGGTCCCGATCTCTCTCCGTAGGGCCTAGGAAAAACACAAAAAATTAGACGAAGCTAAAAATAAAAAAAAACGGCAAACGGCGAAATCTAGTATACTTACTTTTGCAGCCTCCTGACACGGGCCATCCTCAAGGAATTTGGCAATAAGAAAATATGTTTCTACGAAAGAAATAAGAGAGGTCAGAGAACGGAAGGATGGGTCTAAACGAGAAGCGAAAGCTGGCAACGGGCAACATAAACTGCAATATTTGTTACCTTGTTCGATTGCTACGGGCTTAGGGTCCATTTCTGTACACGAATTCTGTCTCTCAGCATCTCAAAGTTGTATGCACTAAAAATGAAATAAATTATATTCAGGCTCCAAGATCACTGTTTTCCTCAAGGCTCCATAACTCGGGATTTCAGATTGGCGTGTTCACATCAAAGTTGTTCGCGAACAATAGCTACAGTCTGAACTGGGCATGCGTTGAATTCTGACAATAGGTTGAAAGGAGAAGTCTCATTGGTCAAAAGAAAAATCCAGCATTGTTCTTCATGTGTTTATGGAACAAAAGTTCTTTGTTATTAGATTTTGTGCACATCACTGACAACAACACACGTCAGTTCGCTCACAATGGCGGATGTGTCATTTTTTAGCCGTGGAAGCAACCTAGCAGCCTACTATAGCTAGATTTGACAACTAATTAATTGACCATAACTTGAGCAATATTGCAAAATGTCTTGGTTTCAGGACCAGAAAGAGCTCGGCTTTTTACACAGTCTGGTCTTTAAAATCATTAAAAGTGGAAATATTCCAAAACATGTTGCTATCATTATGGATGGCAATCGACGATTTGCCAGAAAACATTGTCTGGAGAAAAAGGATGGTCATTCCAAAGGGTTTGAAAAACTTGCACAGGTAGTACTTCCATCTATTTTGAAATACCGCTGATCCACCTCCCTATTTTTTATTTACTTAAAACCTTTCTAATTGTCCCATTTTAGACAGATTCTTACTGCAGTGTCTCAGCACTATCACATATTATGTGGTATGGCCTTCACTTCAACACAAATGATGGATTCCTTTGGAGGATTCATTGCTGTTTTTTCAGAACTAAGGTTAACATTAAGGGCTGGATTTTTTTTGGCATTCTGCAAATTTCAGAAACTTAGCTTGAATTCTGAATATGATCACTTTGTTGTTCAAACTTCTTTCATCAAAATTTCCTTATGCGATGTCACATGACTTGGTATTGCCCGAAAATTTTAATTATTTCACATGGTTAGTGCAGATTTTGATACTTCGGTGTTTCATAGGAGGGAAGAGTCCATTCCATTCATTTTTTATTCAAACAACAAGTGATGATTTTTTTACAATACACCAAGAGCATTGTAGGGTAAACTACAAAAATGCACATTACAATACGTATCATACTCATTTGTATTCAGTTAACTAACAAGATAAAAAATTATATCTTATTGTTAACCTTGAAACACATACTTATTGCTAGAAAGACCTACAAAAAATTCAAGAGCTATCATTCATTGAAGAAGATAATAAACCCATTGCACCATCAACAGTGGCATAGCTACAGGGAGTGGATATAGGGCAGTCCTGGCCATAAGAATTCTAGTAGGCAGGGTGAAAAAGCTTGCTCTTTGTTTGAGTCAGGCAGACAATTTTAACAAAAATTAAAATTTATCAATAAAATACTTCCAGCAAATTTATTAAAGACCACACAAGTTAGAAAGAAATTCTTAAAGACGAGAAGTTCTTAAAAGCAAAATACTTGGTATGTGGGAAACAACTTTTGAAAATGCCTCCCTCATTTGGTTTCACTTACATTGTGTGGTTGGCTGATATCCTGTTTTGTTTTTAATTATCTGATTTGAATTACATAATGTTTTGTTCTTTCTGCAATGTTTTAAAAAGATATAAACACATGACATTTTCTCTAGTTTTATCAAAATGACCAAATGTTACTGATAATGCCCTGAATGAGGTCTTGAAAAAAAGTTCTTGCAAGGCAAATTTTGTACTCATCTACAATATTTAAGAGTAGTTGATGAGTGGGCAATGTTTTTAGAATATATGAAAATACCTGCTATATTTTTGAAATATTTAGATACAAGTAGACAGGGCTTGAAAAACCAAAGGTAAACAGCAAATATCTGATTTAGCACTAAGCGTGGAACAAGACATTCAATTTATCCATTGTGACTAATATATATACACAATTTATGGTCTCTTGAATAAATAGACATTAAAGATGTGACAAATATTTTCTAGCTTAAAATGCCAATGCAAATCTAAGACAGGGAGCAGGTGATTGATCACCTTTCTCAAGCAATGGCTATCATCCACCTTAAAATGGACACCCCCACTCCCCCCAGTTCATCATGAGTTGCTCATTAAATTTTCAGTTTGTCCACTAAATTGTTCACTGAAATAACACCTAAATTTTTCTTCACTTATGGCTTTATTTACTATTGATAATCCTCCACCCCTCTAATTTGGAGAGTCAAACTAGGCCACTGAACATCAAATGTTGTTTTATTTGTGTAATATTAAGTTAGAAGAAAGTGTGCAAGACAATGCGGATAAGCTATCAAGTTAGTTTGTAATGAAAATGGTTGATGGTCTATGATTTATTTTGCTTAAAGAACTTAACCTATATTTAACATAGCCAAAACATATGTTTCATGTATTTTCAAATAAATAAATTTCATATATATAATCAGTTTCATGTTTCAAAAACATACATATGTTTCATAAATAATCTATCCTTGTATTTAAATCTATGACCAAGAAAGCTACAAAGGACCCAAACTTGAAGCTTGTTGCACAGCCCTGTCTATTTCCTTTGCACATGTCTGTTGGCTTTTGTGTATCACCATGCAAAATCCCTAACATATCAACACTACAAGCTTGTAAGTTTGCATGATTTCAGGCGTGCAGCCTCAAGTGAACTGACTGCATAAGAAGCAAAAGTTTCCAGTTTGGCAATGGAAACTTCTACTGTACTTAACATAAAAGAAGATGTGCTAAATATTTATATTTTTAAAAAGTGGTTAGTAGTTTTAAGTTTAATAGAAGATCATTTTAAGGTTCAAGTTTAGCAGAAGTCAGTCAGCAGATGTTTTTTGTGAATAATTGGAACAGATGCAACTGCAGTTTTGTGTTTACAACTGCAGATTGCTACTTTTTGTCTCAACTTTAGATGACTGGCTAAAAATGGTTGCCTAGAAGTAACTTCGGTGAAATTTGCATTTAAATTGAGCTGTATCTAAGAACAATGATTATATGCACCTTCTGGTATCAAAATGGAGTTTCATCATGATTGTTGCCCCAGGCCTTGCTTTTAGTAAAATGAAGGTGCTCTATTAAAAGAGCTCCTTAGAAACTTCATATGAACTGTAACATTTATTCAGATAAAAAAAATTATTTTGCCTTTTTTTGAAGGTTTTACATTGGTGCTTTGAACTTGGGATTCCTGAGGTTACAGTTTATGCTTTCAGTACAGAGAACTTTAAAAGGTCAGAAGAAGAAGTAAATGGTTTAATGGCACTTGCAAAAGAGAAGTTTGATAGACTCATGGAGGAAAAGTATGAAGTTATTTCTTTGCAATGTTTTTGTCTTGAGTTCCTAATTATTTCGTTAGATTAAATATAGGTTTTTATATCCAATATCAATGGTTATGTTAGTATTTTCAAACTTGCTGGTGTGATAGGAGAAACATACTTTTCTTTTTCTTACTAAGACTACAGGCCTTTCAGTTGGACATGTGTGATAGCACTTGAGTGTGCAGGCACAGGTCCACAGCTGATCACGAGAGAGGTCAATCATGCATAATACAGTGACAGCACAGGACGATTATTCAGTTTTAAACTGTGAAATGCAAAATGATCACTTTGAAAGGATTTGTTGACTTTGATAATTGAAATGAACAGTTCAAACCCCTAATTTTTGCATGCTTCCTTTGTGGTTCTATTTTACTTATAGCATGTTGGTAAAATTCATTGCCTAGTGGATTCGCAACAGATTCTGAAAGGCGCACTTGGGTTTTGTCCTATTTCAGTTTCCTCATTTAGCTCAGGAAATTAGTAGGCGTTTTTCTTAACAACATTTTTTGTAAAACAGATTATACTCAACTAGAGAGTCAATTGTTACATATATTTTAGGTCAATTGGTAAAGGAATTTTCAGATGGCATTATAGTACAGATTATCTATTGTGAGCAAAAGTTTTGATCAAATGGCGTTTGGTAAAGGAATTACAGTTGAACTGAGTACTTTTAAAAGATAAGAGAAAGTGGGAAGTATTAAATATAAGATGACAGAGAACAGTGGGAGATGTTGTATAATATTCTTTAGAAGCTACTTGCAACTATAAAACTATGGAAGTTTATCATGAGAATTTGATAATTTTTGGAATTCTTCACTGTGGAGTCGAGAGGGAAAGCTACAATCCTCGATAGCATTTTCAAAATCTTTAAAGAAAGAAAGAAAGCTGGGAAAGGAAGGTAAGAACACCATTGGGCAGCAGAGATTATGAAAGTTATTGAAAGGAAAGCAGGAAAAAGTATTGAATAATGTAGTATAGAGAGAGTTTATGACAGCAGATAAAGTACCGACAAAGAACTCTAAAACAACTACTTGTCTGGGCCATCAGAAGCAAGCCCTGCACCCCCAATTATTTAATTATCAAATGAATGGAATTTTGTTCAAGGCCCTCTGAAAAGAACTCCGTTCAGAGAAGCAAATATCTTTTCCCTTCATAATCTTACAGTAACATTTTGGTCAAAAGAAATCAGATTGTTTGAAAATGTTTTATCAGTTCATTTTATTTTAATTACCATGATTTTTATTTTAAATTGGGCATGGTAATTAACTTATAATCAAGCAAGCAAAGAAAGTTTTTTAGAATTCATATTGATCAATTTAGGGATCAATTAAATATGATCATAAAATAACATGAACCTAGCTTATAATTTAAGATATAAAACTCATTGTTTTTAATTGATTTAGTCACAATACAAATAGAATATTATTGATACAGTAAGCAAGGATATGATACTAAGCCTTCAAATTACCAGATTAATGGGGAAAAGTTAACATCAGAATTTATTTTAATTTTTCTTACAAATCAAGATGTCCAGAATGGAAATGTTTTTGCATTCTTCAAAGTTTTTTTAATGACTCACAAATGTAATAATATCATATAATATTATGATGTTAATGAATAAATATATTTCAAAATGTATTTTTACAGGGATATGATAATGAAGTATGGTGTCTGTGTTCGTGTTCTTGGTGATGCTAGTCTTTTGCCAGAAGATGTGCGGACTTCAGTTGCCAGAGTTGTGGATTTCTCAAAAATGAATTCAAAGTAAGAGCATGATTTGTTTTATATTTTTATACTACTAGGCTGAAACTGTTTTTTATTTGACTTCTTCATTGACCTCACATTATTTTTATCACAAATAAGCCATTTGTGCTCCTTGACTCTCTTTACTGATTTCAAAATCAATTCCATGGTAGATCAACCTTGAATGTGGCAATGGCATACTCATCAAGACATGAAATAACTGAAGCTGTCAAGGAAATTGCCGCTGGCATAAAAAATGGCCTTCTCGCGAAAAAGTAAGCAAGTTTACTGCTTTTGACAGTAACATTAATTGTAAGCTCTTTTTGACGAAAGAAATGCGTATGCCTATGAATTTTTGGTGTTTCATGTAATTAACGAACTTTTCATTTATGGCAAAATATCTACTGCTTCATTTTTGGTATGCAAGATCTTGATTACAATCCTGATTTTGCTAACAGCAACAGGCTTTTGATGACTTTTATGTAACATTAAGCTCATTTTCAAAATTTATTCACATTCATCCTAAGTGCATTTGTATTTTTTAATATGGCAATTTTTAATATCACAAAAAAGCAAGGCAAGCAATTCACAGATCATCTAGAAAAAAATAAACAACCAGAACTGAATCTCTGTACTGTATATGCACTGAAAGTAAAGATAAATTAGTTAACTAAGAAATTTGATTACTTTTAAACTTTGTATTTGTATTTGTTTCTACCTAACATCCGAAGGTAGTTTTTAGGACACTGAAAAGCTTATGCTTATGGAGCAGTGTCCTGGTCCTTCTTCTCGATGTGACCACACCTTGTGATTCCTGCGCCTGGAATTACAAAGAGCTGCAACTTTCCTCACTTTCGGTGAAAGTTTGGGCATGCCAGGCACTCGAATCACAGACTCTTGGATCTGTGTTCAGCGCCCCTAACCACTGAGCCATCCTCACACTGCGTGATGATTTATACTAATAATTTCCTAATGTAACCAATGCAGTTCCTTTGAATCTAGGCATACGACTTAAACAATAAAAAGGTGTTACAAAGCCTTCAAATATATTATCTTCATGTTTCTAGTGATTTGAATGAGTTGCTTCTTGAAAAGTGCCTGTATTCAAGAAAATCTGCAGATGTGGATTTGCTAATAAGAACATCTGGTGAAGTTCGATTGAGCGATTTTCTCATGTGGCAGGTATGTCCTAGAATAATTATTCCTTAGTAAGTTTCCAGAAGTCTAGAATGCAGTTCAGTGTTTTTGGCCTTAAAGCATGTACTAGATCAATTGATGTACCGTAAAGAAACTACTCCTCTTAAGCATTTTCACTTGACATTCTCAAATATTGAACTGTATCAAATGTGAATATTTACAACCAGTTTTTATAGGCAAAAAATATCTTGTATTTTATTTTTTGGATAATCTGCTAGTTTTAATGGCTTCGTCTAGGTCTCATCCTTTGGATGCTCTGCTAGTTTAATGACTTTACTCATGTCTCATCCTTTGGATGCTCTGCTAGTTTTAGTGGCTTTGCTCAGATCTCATCCTTTGGATGCTCTGCTTCATCTTTTTCATCATGGCTATTTCAATGCGGTAAAAGGAATGACAAAGTTGACTGTTTTGCAACAGTTGCTGATTAATATATCATTGCTTGATATTAAAAAACCTATTTCTGTTGTCTTCAGTTCAAAATTAAAATCATATCGGAAAACTTTAATGAAGAAAATAATAGTTATGATTGTGTTATTTAGGATCAATGTTTTAACAGGAAAAGAAATATATTTGCCATAAGTTTACAAAACTACGACTTTCTCACCAAAACTTGTTATCATGAAACTCTGTTTCCTTTTTCATGCCTTGTAATGAATCGAGGAGGGGGGCTCTTATTCCTTTTTCTTGAACATGTTAATACACCGTATAATTGCCACACCGTACATCCTCCACTTAAAGCCCCCCCCCCCCTTCGATTAGGCGTTGCCTGAAGAAGTCAAGGTTCGAAATAGGGCTCTCTAGAATACAAATGTTGTGCTCACTACACCATGATCTTATTTTTAATGTTTCCTTTCATTTTTAACAACTATTTTGCCGCATTTCTGTTTTTAATTAATTGTTGAAACTGGATTGGATGCTCAGGAATACTTGGATACTTTCAGGATGAAAAAGCAAGTCTTCCCTAGAGAATCACCTCCAGAGGGCTGGAGAGTCAAGTACGCCTCTTAATGGATCAATAATCAGTTAAAAACAGAAATGTAGTAAAGTAGTTGTTGAAAAATGAACTGAAACATTAAAAATAGAATCATGGTATTTGTATTGTATTGTAGATTATTTAACATTAGTTTTCACAATAGTGAATATACACTAATTAAGACTAACATGAAACAATTTCAAGAATTGCATAAGATAGTTCATTTACTGCAAAACCAGCATGCGCATTTGTTTTCAAGGAACCAAGTTTTGATCAAATTCTTAAATTGTCTAGTATTTTGTGCTGTCTTTATTGATTCCGGGAGTGAATTCCAGATTTCAGGCCCTTGAAAACTTAATGATCTATTACCATTATTGGTAGTTCTGGCTTTTAATATTGGTATAAAGAACACAATTTTCTTATTGAAAATAGTTACTTTAGAAGATAATTATACATCTGCTGTAGATTGCGTAAAAATTAGATTCAATTTAAAGGAAACGGTAGCCTAATATCTTGACTTGTTTCTATCCAGTCCTCCTACTCTATGTTGGCGTTTGTTGATGAACTTTGGCCAGAATTTACAATATGGCAGTTCTTGAAATGTGTCCTTTCTTATCAACTTGGGTATAGCGTTTTACAAGTAAGTATAATTTTGTTCATTAATGGCAGCCAGTAGTTAGTCTTCTAGGTTTCAAATATCATTCCTAAAATCCTGATGTGAATGTAAAAGGTAAAGGTTCAACCTTCTTCAAAATGTTGGAAGTCATTCAGAAAGCCATTGGCCGGTTGGTTCACATATTCAGCTGTCCTATGTTATTGTAGGATTTGTTGAAAGTTTTAGTTTTTATATTGTATTCAATGCTTGTAGTTATGATATTTTGTCATTTGTGTGGCAATTTGGTTATCTTTAAAGCCTTATTCAATTTTAATTTGTTTTTTAAGGATACACGAAAGACATTACAGCAGAGGCAAATTCATGACATAACGATACAAGACATGATTCAAGCTCAAAGAAATATTTTAGAGACAGTTGAAAGAGGGGAGCATATGGGTGAAAATGCAGGGAGCACTGAACAAATTTGGCTAAATGATGAACTAAAAAAGGTGACTCTGGATAGGGAATGTAGAGTTGAGAGGTTTTTGGCCAATTTGGAGCAAAAAAGAAATTCATTGATGCAAAGTTAGCTAATTTAATTCGAGTTTATTGGAATAGGGTCTAATGATTAAATTAATTTTTGCGTACTTATTTCCTCGATATATTCTAATGGGCCAGATACCAAAGAGCTATTACTACAATGCTTATAATTAAGATATTTTGTCATTTGTGTGGCAATTTGGTTATCTTTGAAGATTGTTTTTCTTATATGACATAACGCAGTGTTGTACATCTATGGAGATATTTGATTGGCTCAGAAGGATAAACTTGCAAATTTTACGTCCTCTTCAATAAGGCACACCAGACTTTTTTACTGCATCTTCAGTAGCAAGATCTATAGCCACGTTTTCGTCTCTGTTTTACGTTTTTGCATTTTGCGACACTTGATATCGTTAAAATCTTCTCGTTAAAATCTTCTCTTAGCTCCAAAACCACTACTGTTACTGAAATTCTAATTAGCCAAGTATTTCAGGATCATAACTTCATCAATAAAATATTAAAAAAGTTTTGAATAAGTTGGTTTGCCAGTAAGTTGGTCTAGAAAACTCTTTCTGTGGTAGTAACAAAGTATGATTACGGCAACTGATCTTGAATAACCGGATCAAAGAAACGGCAAACCCAAGAACACATGGGTGACAGGAAGGTTGTTCTGTTCAAAAGATTTAAGAGCTTTTGATTTTTTAATCTACGGAGCAGAAAGTCATGTTTCCATTGCAATTTATTCCTAGTTCTGCACGCTGTGCCTTCATGGTACATTTTGCTGGACCCGGTATGTCAGTCAGACACAAAGCACTCTTGTTGTCAAGGGGAAGCAATAAATACATTGCCATGCTGAAAAACGTGTCCACCAAATACTACAGGAATCGGCAAAAATGGTTAACGTTCACATTGCAGTTCAAAAGAGATACATGAAGTAAATGCCGTATTTTCTCAGTTACATAAAGTAAATGCCGTGTTTTCTCAGTTACATAAAGTAAATGCCGTATTTTCTCAGTTACATAAAGTAAATGCCGTGTTTTCTCAGTTACATAAAGTAAATGCCGTGTTTTCTCTTAACCTAAACGACTTGCCGAAAAAGGCACACACGGCAAGGTAAAGGAAATAAGAAGGAAAAAGTCCTCCAAAAAAACACCATGTGTGCTGTCAAAAATAATTTGTAATCTGGTTTTACATTAGGTTGATTTTGATTCAGAAATCATAATTATTCGCATTACAAAACATTCATCAACACGGGAACTTGGTAAAATAATCTGAGAATTGCAATGATCTAAAACGTTTCATTAAGTTTAAAAGACAAAATTCGAACAATAATAAATGCAACCAATACATTTCTTGGTACAAAACTACTATCAAGTGAGGTCTAGCTGTCCGGACGCGCTTTGCATACAATGCCATTTGGGCAAATTTCACTGTCATAAGATTTTCGATATAGAGACTGTCTTTGCCCCTGGCCTAAAGGTGATCCAGCTGTATCATTCCAGAAGTAAAATAAATTTAGGTTGCAAATGGATAATTTCAAAAATGCTATGAATCTTAAAAATCCTAGTCTGAATTCTGGTTTTCCTTTGGTTATTAAATATACTTTAAAACGGCTATAATAACTAATTTTCTTTCGAAGGAATTAATTTTACGCCTACCAAAAAGCAAGTAACAAACACTAAGAATACAGAAATCCTGTCTACAAACGTCTTTCTCCAAGAATAAACCACCGAATTTATCTTTACATCAACAATAAAACCACAAAACAGAATGTGTACGTGTGTACCTGTCGGTTTGGAGTGGAAGACGTAGAAGGGAAAGGAAGGGGACGGGAGGGGTGGAAAGGGGTAGAAGGCCTTGATTCGCGTACCTTTCATGCCCCTAATTCACGACATGACAGTGCATACTCAGCCCTACCCCGAATATTTTTTATACTCTTCACAACAACGTCTTCCAGGAATGAGGGATGAGTATTTCCTGTTTCATTAAGTCGAAACACAAATGTACAAGTATAAAATCAAAGTGGAATGCTGACTTTTGAAGTGAATTGATACAAACAAAATTAAAATCCAAATGTTCAAATAGACTTCTGAAGTCTCAAAATACAAAAATGGATTTTGATGAACGTCTTCCCTCCATAATAAACCGTTTCTATATGAGAACTGATTCTGAAAAGAAAAATTGAAGTTTATAGAATATGAAAAAGAAAGTCAAGGAAAATCGTCAAGGAAAAAGAAGAATATCTGCCAAATTGTGAGCAACCATGCAAGTTTTCCGCTAAATTAGCCAAATCAGGTATTCAAATGCAGCTGAGACCTTGATATTTTCACATTTTAAAGAGCTTTAGATATACTCGAATGCTTCAGTATTGCAACTACCTCCATTTGCTGCTAGTATCTTTGAATTGGCAGTGTTACCAAACCGAAACTGACTTTTCTCGTAATTCAATTTTCGAGAGGCATGTACTTGATACTTAAAAAATATAACTTACTTGAAAACAAATACAAAATTTATGATCAAGTACAAGAGGATTGCATTTTTTTGCTGTAATGATCTTTTAACATCCTAATTTCCTGTTTCAACGTTTCTTACGAATCATATAGAGATTTGTGAAAGTCTTCAGTCTTTTTTCAAACTAATGACATCAGACCAATGGTGTCAGGCATACTGGCGGAAGCAACTGGAGCTTAACAATATATTGGAGCCAAGTTGGTTTCTTCATATCATGGAAAGGTCAGTAATAAAGTCTTCAGTATCAAGTAGTTTAGTATCCAGGTAGCGACATGTTTCATTACCAAGGAAACTTACAACTAATTCGGCTCTTGATTTTTACCCAGCCTCCTCTACAGCAGCATCAGGTCCTTTGGACTCAGGGTCATCTGAAGCCGTGGAAGGTTCATCGGATAAGGCAGCTGGGTCTTCTGTTGCTGCGACTGGCTCTTCGGCTGCGGCAGCAGGCTCCTCAGTTGCGGCAGCAGGCTCTTCACTTGCGGGAGCAGGCTCTTCATTTTCGGCAGCAGGCTCTTCACTTGCGGGAGCAGGCTCTTCATTTTCGGCAGCAGGCTCTTCACTTGCGGGAGCAGGCTCTTCATTTTCGGCAGCAGGCTCTTCACTTGCGGGAGCAGGCTCTTCATTTTCGGCAGCAGGCTCTTCACTTGCGGGAGCAGGCTCTTCATTTTCGGCAGCAGGCTCTTCACTTGCGGGAGCAGGCTCTTCATTTTCGGCAGCAGGCTCTTCACTTGCGGGAGCAGGCTCTTCAGCTGCAGCAGCAGGCTCTTCATTTGCAGCAGCAGGCTCTTCATTTGCAGCAGCAGGCTCTTCATTTTCGGCAGCGGGCTCTTCACTTGCGGGAGCAGGCTCTTCAGCTGCAGCAGCAGGCTCTTCATTTGCAGCAGCAGGCTCTTCATTTTCGGCAGCAGGCTCTTCACTTGCGGGAGCAGGCTCTTCAGCTGCAGGAGCAGGCTCTTCATTTGCAGCAGCAGGCTCTTCATTTGCGGCAGCAGGCTCTTCAGATACTGGAGCTGGTTCTTCCGACAAAGCAGCTGGTTCTTCTGATACTGCAGCTGGCTCTTCGTTTTTGATAACAGGCTCTTCTGGTACAGAGACTGAATCTTCAGCAGTAGCAGCTGGCTCTTCAACAATAGCCACTGGCTCTTCAGAAGTGACAACTGGCTCATCAGCTACTTGAGCTGGCTCTTCAGATACTGGCGTTGGCTCTTCAGATATGGCAGCTGACTCTTCTGAAACTGCATCTGATTCCTCAGAGGCTGCGGCTGGTTCTTCAGACGCTTCAGGAGTAGCAGAGGGCTCTTCAGATACTGCAGCTGGTTCTTCAGATGATGCAGCTGGTTCCTCAGAATCTGCAGCTGGTTCTTCTGGAGTAGCAGAGGGCTCTTCAGATACTGCAGCTGGTTCTTCCGATGATGCAGCTGGTTCTTCTGGTGCAGCAGCAGGCTCTTCAGAATCTGCAGCTGGTTCTTCTGGAGTACCAGCAGGCTCTTCAGAAGCTGCAGCTGGTTCGTCAGGAGTAGCAGAAGGCTCTTCAAATGCTGCGACTGGTTCTTCGTTAGTGGCAGCAGGCTCTTCAGATTCTGCGGCTGGTTCTTCAGATGCTGCGGCTGGTTCTTCAGATACTTCAGGAGTAGCAGAGGGCTCTTCAGATCCTGCGACTGGTTCTTCATTAGTAGCAGCAGGCTCATCAGAAGCTGCAGCTGGTTCGTCAGGAGTAGCAGAAGGCTCTTCAAATGCTGCGACTGGTTCTTCATTAGTGGCAGCAGGCTCTTCAGATTCTGCGGCTGGTTCTTCAGATGCTGCGGCTGGTTCTTCAGATGCTGCGGCTGGTTCTTCAGATACTTCAGGAGTAGCAGAGGGCTCTTCAGATACTGCAACTGGTTCTTCAGAAAAAGCAGCAGGCTCTTCAGAAGTCGCAGCGGGTTCTTCAGATGCTTCGGGAGTAGCAGCAGGCTCTTCAGATGATGCGGCTGGTTCTTCTGGAGTAGCAGCAGGTTCTTCAGAAGCTGTGGCTGGTTCTTCTGGAGTAGCATCAGGCTCTTCAGAAGCTGAAGCTGGTTCTTCTGGAGTAGCAGCAGGCTCTTCAGATGCTGGTTCTTCAGATGCTGCGGCTGGTTCTTCAGATGCTGCAGCTGGTTCTTCAGATACTAAACCTAGCTCTTCGGAAGCTTGCTCTTTTGATTCTCCTGCTGTGGATTCTGAACTGACTTCCTCTGGTGAAATTACGGGTGTGCCAGAGTCACCCTTCTCTCCTTTCTCACCTTTATAATAAAAATAATTTCATTAAAAGTCATTTCAAATCAAATTTGTTTCAATTTAAAGTTAACAGATGCATTCTTCTCAATGATCTTGTTGGTTCTGATCCACGATGAGTTAATTTAAAGGACTTGTGCCACCTAATTCTGTGCTAAATCCTGTTTTTCTTTTAACTGTAGGTAATATGTACCTGAACAGGTTCAAAAAATATTTTTCACTTTTAACGATTTCCAGTCCTGAAACTCGTATCTAAAGTTTAGTGGCAAACGTGTCAAATATTTTCTACAGAAATTTTCATCGTTTCAAAATGAATTATTTCACACCATGGCCAACAGACTTTCGTTTCATGATACATTGGAGGAGGAGAGAAGGGGAGGTGGATGGACAATCTCTACGTTATTTCGAAATTCCAATTCATCTTTACCGTCTCTCTTAGTAAAAATTCTATTCATAACTGTTATTTAAATGAATCTGACCATGACTAACCAGCAACCTGTTTTTCCCATTACTGTTAATTCACAATCTTTCTTTGTTCAAATTACCTATTTTTCCCCAAGTGTTCTGATAGTAAATGTGATTGAAAGTTCTAGTGCATGCCCATGATACTCTGTAGATTTCTCCAGTAATCTATATTAGTGTCATATACCTTTTTCTAATCGTAGCATGTTAGAATGTATTCAATTGGTTAAGAAATTAGAGAAACAATTCAGCTACAAGTTTCACCATGTTAATATTAAGTTTTACTACTTTGTGAAAGTGATTTGTGTAGCAAAAAGAGAATAATTGACTTTTGACAGCAAGAACAAGATGTCCAAAGATCTTGAAATGATTATTTATTCTGTTTGCGTTGCTGCAGCAAACTATCGGTTGATTGAAGGCTTCCGTGTAAAAAAATTTAGGACAAACTACCAATCTGGGTGGAGCGTGCAAGAGATGGAAATTGTGATTGCTGTTAATGGGTAAAATATTAAAAAAGCTGAAAGTATCATTTATCGTAGTATCAAACAATATCAAGCAATAAAACTGACAGCCATTTCGTTCGTTGCTCCAATAAAATTAAGGACACAATTGCTGTAAATTTTCCTTTTTTGTCTCAAGCTAAAGTTTGTTAAAACTCTATAATGCCAATTTTTTTAGAAAACCATGGTCATTCCAAAGTAATTTTCTGTGGAAGTAGTTCTTTGAAAATTTACCGGTCTTTGCATAATTAAAACTTCACTTTATGTCTCTTATTATAAACAATTTCATATCCTACGTAATGCATATGAAAAAAGTCTTGCAGGCGACTTTTGCAAGACAATTTGCTCGCAGGCAGGAAACATTTTTAGGGAGGTCTGCCCGTGATATCCCAAAGTTGCACTATGAGCCCAACTAGAATTCAATTTTAGTACGTTTCCCATTCATAACATTAAAAGGTATGGCATGCTAGGTGGCAAAAATCCCTTAAACAAAAACACAACAAACAAATTAATCATTAAAACAATGTTAAAAGTCAGCTCACCTTGTGTTCCTTGCTCTCCCATTGGTCCTTGTTCACCCACGGGTCCTGGGGGGCCTATAGGACCCTGGGATCCATCGGCTCCATCGTTCCCTTTATCGCCCCTTTCTCCTAAACAATTAAATTGTCATTATTATAAAAGTCATATAGGTAAGGCAAAAACACAAGAGCATCAAAATGATCTATTTTTTCAATTCTTTGTTCTCAAGATATTGTGTTTCACAACAGTTGGGAGTTCTTCATGGTAGATATGTTTGATTTCCAAAAACGAATTGAGGGACATTCACCATGCCTGCAATTTTGGTGTCTAAAAGTTGAGTCTTTTAGATGTCAATATTAACTTTGAAAGAGGAATTTGTGGGAAAATTGCCTTGTAGGATACAGCTTTTGTGTTAAATTCTCTAAGTTTTTATAAACTCATTAAAGGATATTTCTTTGATTCAAGTTAAACATTGCTTCAAGTGAAAAATGCTTGCAGATGTGGCATTGGGATCTTCATGTTGATGTTTAGGCTGCAAATTACGCTGTTCTCAATATTGAGCTTTGCCTGTACATTTTACTGGAACTTGCTGCTGCAGTGAAAAACATTTCATTTCCATAAGCTATTCCGTATATTAGCATCAACCCAGGCTATTAGCATCAACCCAGAATACTCAGAGAATGTACCACCCGTGTTGGAGAGCGAAATTGAAGCGGCACTCAACCAAATGAAGAATGAGAAAGCACCAGGAGACGACGGCATTGCAATAGAATTAATAAAAGCAGGAGAAGAAGCAACAGTTAAAAAACTCAATGAAATTTTTAACTTATCCCAGGACAAAGAGGCCATCCCAGAAAAATGGAAAAATGCAATAATTATACTAATCTATAAAAAAGGCAAGGCAATAAAAAGGAGATTGGGAACTACAGACCAATAAGTCTCCTCTCTCATTTTCAAACTAAATATGAGAGTTATAAAAAACAAAGTGAACGGAATAATGGATGAAAATCAGCCACCAGAGCAGGCAGCATACAGGAAGGGCTATTCAACAATGGATCACTTACAAACAATCAACCAAATACAAGAAAAGTGCAACGAATACCACATTCCTTTATTCATGGCATTCGTCAACTATAAAAAGCGTTTGATTCGATCAGCCACGGCGCAGTGATAAGGGCTCTACAACATCAAGGAATACTAAAAGCGTATTTTAACACATTGACAAACATGTAAACAGACAGCACAGCGCAAATCAGAACTGACAAACTGAGTGACTCAATTAACATCGAAAAAGGAGTGCACCAGGGAGGAGAAACACTGTCACCAATATTGTTCACGGCAGCACTAGAAGAGATTTTTAAAAGGACAGGTTTAGACAGAATGGGGATTAACATCAATGGCAAGTATCTCAGTAATATGCGATTTGCAGACGATATGGTACTGTTTGCAGGAAGCGAGGAAGAACTAGGGAAGATGCTTGAGGAACTTAACAGAGAAGGAATGAAAGATGGGATGAAAATGAACAAGAAGGAGACCAAGAAGAAATACCAAAGAACGGGAATTTAAATAGACAACGAGAAGATTGAAGAGGTAGAAGAGTACATCTACCTGGGACAGTTAATAACAGCAAACAACGAGATAAACAAGGAAATTGACAGAACAATAACAGCAGGATGGCAGAGATTGGGCCAATATAGCGAGTTCTTGAGAAAAAAATCAACACCGTTGAGCCTGGACACAGTTGGACACTAACAAAAAGGCCGAAGGACAAACTGGCAGTCGCTCAACGAAGCATGGAGAGGGCAATGCTAAACATCACACGGCAAGATAAGTGGAGAAACGAAGAAGTAAGATCATGGACGAAAGTCAAGGACATCCTGGAGAAGGTAGAAAAGCTTAAATGGCAGTGGCAGGACACGTCGCACAAATGGATCTGACAAGAAGCCCACAGAATGGACACCACGAGTGGGAAGATGAAGACCAGGAAGGCCAAAGCGAAGATGGCGTGATGATCTACACAACATTGCAGGTATCACCTAGATGAGGAAAGCACAAGACAGAAAGTCGTGGAAGAGTTTGTGGAGGCCATCGGCCTGCAGTGATCATGATGATGATCATGATGGTGATGATTCCGTATAATATAAAATATAGTACCTTTTTCTCCTGCTTCACCTTGCGGGCCAGGAAAACCTAGAAATGCAAAAGAAATTTAAGGAATGGTTATTAACATTGAATCAAAATTTTGGCTGATCCTTGATTCACAAAAATTACTTATTTACATCATTTTCTTTTTTCTCGAATGGTTTTTGAAATTTTTGCATTAATAAAATCCGCTAGCAGGTAGACTATTGGGCAAAATGAGGCCAGATTATCCAGCCGGATTTCAGATAAAATCCAGTTTCCGCCAGATCCCGAAACTCAAAATCTCTTTTGATTTTATCCATTTACTGTCTTTTTACTGTTACAATTTCGTTTTTTTTCATATTTTTCTCCTGATGACACTGCCTAATGCAGACCTTTTCCCTTTCTCTTCTTGTTTCTTTCCTTTTTTGTTCCCTTCTCTTTTTCATTCCTTTCTGGAAGCACCGCTACCATACTATTTTTAGGCCCTGTACTGTATGAAATATCTAAAGGGGGTGTTTTAATGTCTCATACATTATATAACTCTACACTTAAAATATACTTAAATATAGACAATCAATTTGGATTTGTATTTACCTCTTAGCAAAAACAATGAAATAAAATGTTCAACTTCCATAACAATTTTATCTTGTAACCTAGTATTCAAAACAAGTTTTAATTAGCCAACCCCAACGATTGTAAAGGGCAATAATTCAGATTTGCGTCATCTCAACAAAATCTTACAAACAGTTCTCTTACCCCTTGGTCCATCTGCTCCTTCGGGTCCTGCAGGTCCTTGAAAGCAATTATCAAAAAATTATAAAAATGATAATATGACAAGGTTTTGCTAGACAAAAGACACAAAATGCTACTTGAAAATAACATTTCAACAAAAGAAATGAAATTCATTTATGTACGAGCCTATATTTCTAATTGTGAGAGTGAACTATGTGATAATGATAAGAAAGATTATAAAACATTTTATCACCAAACTTAATTTTATCAATAAATAAATAAATTAGTACAGAACTAAAGTTGACCTGAACTAAAGCAAAGTAGCAGTTGACCTTCAAACTTAAGGTACAGCAAACGGTTTTTACAAGCTGACGTATGAGCAAGCAACATAGAAAAAAAACATGAAAAGATAAGATGTGGATAAATTGCAGGAGAACTCTAAATATTTGATAAAGTTGGGGAGCAATGAAAGGATTTTCTAGAAAACAGCAGGACATTGGAAAAGAATACAGTTTATCATATCTCATCAAGAAAAGTTAGAGTTGACATAAATATGCCAAGATTTATAGATGCTGTAATTTGATAAGAGGCATTCTGCCAAATTCGGTTCCAGGATTAAGGCAAATACAGAAGAATTGAATGAATTTGTGAATAAGTAACCTTTTTCAAGCAACAAGAGAAGAGTAAAACAATCCTGTTTCACTTAACTGCAAATCATTTGTAAATGATTTGACTGAGCAGAAACATCCTGTTAAGAATGCCTTGATGCTACAAAACAATAGCATTACACCTGCCAGCAGCCACCAACACATATTTCAAGGGACAAACTGGCCCTTAGTAAAAAACCTACAGTCTGTGATGACCAACTATGGCTCTAGTTTTTACCATAAGATGACAACATGCGGCATCTTGGAAATTTTTTTACCTCCTCTAGTTAAAAAATAAATAAATAACTACGTAAACAAACAAATAAATAAATAAAAAGAATTTGATAGTAAACTTTAAGTAGTTTATGTAGTAAACCAAAACTTTAAGAAAATGTTATTTGCTTTGGCCTTCAAGATAAACAGATAAACGGTTTGAGTTGCCACCTTCATTTTTTAAAGAAAATTTATGACCCCAGACCTGTATAAAAAGTTGAAAAATCTGAAAATTTTGGAAAATTTTTTTGGAAACAACTTCAATTGTTTGAAAATATGTTTGGAAAAACATGTTTTCCATGAATTTCTAAGTCATAATCAGAAAAAAAGAACAAAGTCATTTTTCAAAACAATCTATGACCCTGGACTTTAGACAAAAGTTGAAAAATCTGTAAATTTTGGAAAAAAATTTCTTTGCTCAAAACAACCTAAATTGCTTGAAACACGTTTGGACCACTATAAGAGCTGTTTTTGATGAATTTCTAAGTCATATTTTGAAAAAAATGAACAAAGTCATTTTTCACGAAAATCTATGACCCAGCGCCTGTAAAAAAACTTATTAAATTGTAGTTATTAAATCAAAGTGTTGTATTAAAGCCTCCTAGAAAAATCAAGCTCCTTGACTTTGAGAGTTGAAGCAATGTGAAAACTTTTGAGGAGAGAAAACAAGAGCAAGCCACTTGCATCCCAAAACCAGTTTTCTTTGAGTAAAACTCGACAGCAAAGTGCCCAACTTTCAGAAATCACCAACCTTCAGCTACAAAAATGCTCAAAGAAGAAATATTGACTGTAACATTGTCACAAACAGCTGAATCAATGTGCATTCTGAACATCTTTGACAAGTGTTGCCACTGGATTTCACCTGTGGGTCCTGGGTTAAGTTTTATGAGCTCTTGCCCGCCTTAACAAACAAAGCTAAACCATCTGCAATTTGAGGTCATGTATATTCTGCTGCCCAGATACTAATTTGATTGCCCTGTTTAACTCTTTAATACTATGATTTACTTCCAAAGCGCCACATGGTTGATCTATGACAATGATCAAATTGAATATAGGATGCCAAGATTGATTTTTAAAAAGCCTTGATTTCCACAAATTTAAAAAAAAACATCCCAACATTTCATGGTGTTAAATTATGGAATTCTCTGCCTCTAGACTTGAAAAATGCTGCAACTAAGCTATCTTTCAAAAGAAACATGAAAAATTACCTTCTAGAGAACCTCTAACCCCATTTATTCCCATTCTAATACAATTGAACTTTTTGTGCATATTGTAAACCACTATTATTTGATTTCTGTTTTTCTTTTTTAAATTGTTGTTTTTTTATTTTTACTGTTCAATAATTTCAAACAAAACTAATATCAAATTATCGTCATTTGGCATCAAATTGGGCACATGGCTCTGACAGCTCCTTCATGAGTATTTACAATGTGTCCATCAGCTGATCTTATACTATCTAATGTTGTTCCTTGTAATGTAATCTTTATTGTTATTAATGATTGTATCTTGATAAGTAACATGCCGTTTCTTGTAATTAATTGATTTGTTGCTGAAAAAGGTTTTGATTTGATTTGTTGATTGTGTAAAAGCCTAATTAAGAATTAAAACAATTTGAAGTAAAATTTGATTTGATAAATCTGAACAAATAATATCTTCTTTGAATTAGATATGAGAGTGTACAAAGATACAAGGATCACTAGAACTGGTGTGTGATATTATCAGGAACTTTATTTCAGAACATTTTCTTCAAATATGAAGGATGTTACTGTTCTTCAAGGGTGGGTTCATTCTTTTGTCTCTTTCAATATGATAATTTAGAAAACATTTTTCCTTTTAAAACTGGTAGGCTTCAAAACATTGGTACAGTCCATTTTTACACATGTCAATAATATTTTTATAGAGTTAATGTAGTGGATGCTGGTTAGACTTGGAAATATTAGTTTTAGCATAAACAAGATGTCTATAGAATTTTTTTCCCTACAACAAAATGTTTTTGCAGTTGCATCCATAAAAAGGTAACTTTGCCAATTTTTGAACACACCTGGTGGACCAGTTTCTCCTTGGGGCCCTTGAGGTCCTAAAACATAACAAAATTTAATATATCAAAAAACTGAGTTACTAAAGAAAAATCTAATGCATTTTGATAAGATAAATAACATTTCAATAAACAATTTTATTTCAGGGAAGAAAGACACAGTCAAAATTTAAAAGTTGCAATGTGACTTAGTCTGTATACACATAGAGCTGCTCTGAGAAAAATCAACCAAGCAATACCAATTTTTAGAAATAGGGTCACTCTACAGAACTATTTTAAATAGCAGGTGTCTCCAAAGGAAAGACTATTTTTTTTCTGAATGCCCTCTTCACAGAGAATAAAGTACCACAGAATAAAGTGGTTGCTCAGAGTTCTCCAGAACCTTTTTAAAACAAAGACAGCTTAATTATTCATGTAATAAAGACATGTAAAATTAAAGCTAGAGGAGTTGATAACCATATTGTTAACAATCTTTTAATTCTATGCCAAAGCAGGAATCTCTGTTACAAAAATGCATTTACATTGAAACATTCAAACATTGAAAGAAAGAAATTGACAAACCTGGAGGCCCAGGTGGTCCTGGAACACCTACACCACCTAATCAAACGATAAAAGAAGAAATATCATATTTCAGCAGGAGAAAAGAACTAAGGACTGCCATAATGCTCCTAAATAAAATTTGCTTTGTATTTTGAACAAAGATTCTGAAGAGAACTTCCCAAAACCTTTATAGTAAATTAACTAGCAAAAACTTTTCAAATAAAATAGAAACCTGATAAAATAACATATTTTCCATGAAAAATGCATTTTCTATACTAAACAATTTTTGGGCTTGAAGGCAGTTTTCATAGCCTTCACACATTGCTGTCAAAGTGTCTGATTAATATCAAAGATTTTGGACCATTTGTATCAACCGGAATTGGAGCATTAGTATCAGCATTAGAGCTGGCATTTGCAATGAAATAAGCATTATTTTATATCTCAGCCATGTCACAAACATGACTCTCCAGAGGCTACATTTTAACAGTGTAGATCTCCCACATGCACAGCCATTTCAAGCTTCTTTATTGTGCACAAACCTTATTTGGTTATTCATATAGCATTCAAAAAGAAGGTTCTCATAATAGTGCTATAGTAAATTTGGTGTACAATTTCAAATTTTGGAGTGCAGCAATACAATAACCTTACACATGCGAAAATGACTTCAGCTCTAATTGTGCTCAAATGTGTTGTATTAATCCTGCTTCGATGGTTTTTGCATGTATAAAGTAAAGCAGATTGTCTATCATTAAAACCCAAGTAATTAATAGCGTAGGAAATTGACAAGCATTATTGCTACCAACAGCAGGCCAACCTTGGAGCAGAATATATCAGGAGAGTAAACAAATTGATACGCATATAAATATAAAAATAACTATTCATTTTACCTTTCTTCTTAATTTACCAAGTGTGGCTCTTATTTTCCCCAAAGGGTTCTAAAAGAATCCTTGACCAGACTCTTTTCCTAAAGTATTCAACAAGTTCCCTTAGCCATTATATAAATTGTCTTATAGGCAACCTCAATCCCCTAAAGACTCGTGTTCTTCTTTAGAAAAATCTAAAATCTCAATGTTTTGGAAATTTTAGGTTGACAGTTCTGACTTCACGATTACATGTTAAAAAATTTTGAATTCATAATCAATGGTTCATCTTATACCAATTAAGCTGAAATTAATTTGTTTTAGTCCGCAGGTAATTTATTTATCTTATTCAAAAACTCACTACCACCCCAATTAACCCCCACTATTATAATGTAGTTTCTTAAATTGTTTTGGTAGGGTGTGGTCCTAACGATTTTTATCTAGGAGCAAATGAAATGCAATTCATCGCTAGTGTACGTTAATGCCTTAGGTACAAGTAAGTATTGATCACTGTTATACCAATACAATATACATCAAACGATCAACAATATTTATACGCGAACATGGAAGAAAATCAGTAGAATAAAAAGGAACCAGTTTAGTCGCAAAAAGGTAATGCAAGATTGCTTCTACAAGTCCACTATTACAATCAACAATATCTGTGACACGTGTACTAGACAGCTCTGATTACACAAAGATTTAACAAAAGGCAACTCATCAAGCTAAAAAAATTTGAACGAATGCTTTTGAACCCTCAACAAAAAATAACAAGCGTTTGAAGCTAGAAACATACAAACAGTTCAAATACAAAAAATAAGGCCTCGGCCACTCACCTTGCAGGGGTATGAAACCATAGATCACTGACACAGTTATTGCTAATGCAGCCGTTGCAACCACGAAAACAATTATCTGGAACAATGATAATTGCGATGGTGCTGGCTCAACAAACAATGGCTGTGTATCCTGCTTTTTGCCACCTTTCCCCATCTTTTTCCTTTGGCCTAAGGCCCCCTCTTCCAATCTATAAGGTGTAAAGGAAAGAGAGCGTTTTTTCGACCTTCTTTATTCTGCATCTATGCGGGATGTTGATATGGAATAATAAATGAAGTTAAACCGCAACAGTTACCCGCCACCCCCATTGGCCAATTCAATGGATTTCCTATTGTTTTAAATCCACTTCCGCTTTGTTTAACAAAACATTTGGGTTGTTAAAATACAAATTGGTTTGTTTTTACAGACACTTTTGTTTTAAGAGGATCTTCCCGGATCTTCCAGTCTTCGCTTGCCACATGGCATAAGAACAACCTCTTTATGACATGGAGAAGCACCATATGGGGCCCTCAAATTTCTCAGCTAAATTTTTAATTACAATATACGAGATAGCAAGAGCTTGGATATGGAAATAATTAATTACGCACAATAAAACTCATAGAGAGATATCTAGATAGTCATGTGTGTTTCACATGGGCTCCGACAAAGGTTGAAAAGTGGGGGGGGGGAGGGGGGCAAGAGAAAATTCAACACCCATAACAAACGATTTTGAAAAAAAACTCTATTGCTTTGCAAAAAAATTGGTTTTGTATGTTATACTGAAGGACACATGAGAAAAACTCTCAAGGAGCTATCGAGTCATATGTCCTAGTGACGTATTTAAACTCAAGATTAAAATTTCCATTTCAGTTTGAAGTAGTGTATAACAGTAAGAGTAAAAAATTAAGAATGTAAGAGTATAGAGAAAAAAATATATACATATATAAAGGCGATAGGCTGGTAAATTTCACTGGTAAGGGACATATCTAAAAAATGTAGGAAGAATTCTTATGGCTTAGGAGTTCTGTAAAAGGTATAGTTTCATCATTTTTTAAAGGCATTTTTGTTGCGGATATTCTTTAGTTTAATTGGCAAGGAGTTCCAATGCTTAACCCCATCAAATGTCAAAAAGTTTTTTTTTGAAGTTTGTAGAGATAGAGGGAAGAGAAAAACCAAGATTGGACGATTGTCTCGTATTATAGCAATGTAATTTACTAGTTTTGATGAATTCCTTTTGAAGAAAGTTATTATTATTTTTCTGGTTGATTTGAAACATAAGTTTCGATGTTTCGAGCTTGTATAGATTTTCTAATTTTAATAACTTGAAACGTTTAAAGATTAGTTCTGTGTAAGCTGTGAAAGAAGCAAAATCTATTACTCTGACAGCTTCACATAGGCTTATTTTCAATGGTTCAAGAGTAGTTTTATTAGCACTTGTATAATCATCAGAATCAATATTTAACAGGTTCATGTCGAAATCTCCAGTAATAAATACTGTTTTCTTTTCGTTTTTGACTTTGTTTGAGATAGTAGTTCAGAAAATCGCTGAGTTGTTTTACTGATGTTTCTAGCTCTTTGTTTACTTGTGATGTTTCTAGATCTTTTGTTAAATCTTTGTTTCTCTTCTCTAATTCCGTATTAACTTTCAGAAGGTTTTCTGTTGTGTGTTTGAAGTTCTCAAATTGACTGTTAATGACCCTGTGAATGGGCCATGGCCCCCCTGAATATGTGGACAATTGGAGTTGAGGGAAAGTAGTCTGTTAAGCTGTGGGTTTTGAATGAAGTGAATTGAAGTGAAGAAAAAGTATGTTGAGTTGGGGCAACCAAAAATTAATCCCACAGGATTTTTTGGAAACCGAAATTTTTTGCTATCGAAATTAGGCTTGCTGACAGCGCTAGAAAAACTCGTTTTACACCGATTGACTTGCAAACTAGCAAACTTGATATTCTTTAGGCATCCAAAACATATCTATTTTCAGTTTTTGACTCTTCTTCGTCATCAACAAATAAGGTATCCAGCTCGTCTTAAATATTTTCTCTGGCTGAGCTGCTGCTTCTTCGGTCTTTTCATAGTTTCTCTTAATTTTTTCTATTGTCACATAAACAATTCTATTGTTCCAGCGGTTTCAATTTCAACGCCTCGATTTGTAAGTCTTAGTTGGTCAGAAATTCTAATTCCCTTCTTGCGATAGGCAATCGAAAATATTGGAAACTGTTAATGCCTCCAATTAATTTTCTTCAGAGACTATAAAAATAAAAAAGACCTACTCTAAATATAAGTTTATGACACTGTTACGACAGAGGGTCTCCACACGGAGAATATCACGTGACAATTACACAATTGCACTGTGATTGCATCAGCGTCTGTATTCATCATCATCAGGTACCATGTTCTATCAAAAGGTTGGCTACCATGACCCTCCAACTATCCCAAAACCTGAGTTTTGGTTTTTTGTCATGGTCATAGATAAAACTAAGGGGCAGGGCCGTCGTGAGGCAAGCCTTGTTGGGGGGGGGGGGTTGTGGACTACAAATTTACCTCTGCAATGCATTTTGTCAATCTAACTCTGTATATAATTCGCAACATTAATTTCAATTTGATAATAACGGAATTTTCCTAATAGTTTTGTCAAATTTCTATGTCGGGACAGGCAAGGATATAATTACTACCTGAGACGGCACCATGGTTGCCGCCGTAGGAGCAGGAAAATTTCGAATTTTGATGCTTCTAGTTCCCTGGAAAATGCACTCTTTTAAGCAAATTCCATTAAAGCAATCCTCCTAATCCCTTTGAAACTTATTTTTTTGCAAACAAATTGAAAAGCAGATAGAAACAACTGGTACAATTTCGCCGTGCTCTTGAGAAATACCATGTTATCAGTTACTTCTAAAGCTAGATAACAAGCAGCACTGGGTGTCTTTTAAGATTCCTCTTTCCCTCTTAGCATACCTTTTGAATATTAAAAAATCTGGAGCTCATAGTGAATTGCAGTTGACGCTTCTACCGAGAAAACACCCCACGGTCGCGACGCCCCTGCTAAGGGGCTAATAGTAGAGTTGGGCCCCCAGAACCACCTCTACAATGTTCTTAAAGGGACACCATCCCTCTTTCCGAGAGTTCTTCCGCCCGAAGCCGTTGACCCCTGGAGTGGTAGCTCCCGCCGAGTTAGCCGTTGGCCATCGCTCGTAGCCCTGAGCTAGGGAACCCTGCCAGGTGGTATCAGTCGGGTCAGGCTGGACCTGTAAGCTAGTGGAGGAAAGGGACGCTTTAATTCCCCATTCATGTCCTGTCGGAGCATGCTACTGCGTCCGTAGTACGTAATCATTATTTTAAGGTTCATCTTAAGATATAAAAGGAATGGTCTTATAGTTAGATTGAGTCTTGCCGTAAGAGTCTCCAACTCAGTGTGTCTTGTCGCTAGCTTGCTGAATGGTGTTTGCCGTTACATTGTCGTCGTTAGCCGTTTAAAGGGGAACTGAAGTGAAAAATGAAAATCATTTAATTAGTAGTTTTCATCGTGCTGATTTCGAATATCGACACGAAATTAGTGTTTTACTTTTCGTTTTCCTGCATTTAACGCGCAAAGTGTGAAATTTCTCCATTTCCGTGGCGGAGAGGTCTGGAGACAAGTTTCAGGCGCTGACGTAAAGTCGTGGACACGTGCCCCGAACCTAACGAAAACAACAGTGTAGTAGAGTGAATCGGAGGGAGGGAATTTGGTTAGTAGGTAAAATTTCAGATCGCAATTTTCACGACAGCTCTTCAGGAATGACAACAGACTTAAGATCGAGCGACGATGAAGTGTTTGGAGCATGTGGTGGTGAAGTACTTGCCCTACCAAGGGCGAACGGGACCTGCGAAAGTGGCGATGAAGATTAGCCTAGGCCCGATGAGATCCCAGAGGATGAGGATGAATTATCTCCCGCGACGTGCTCGTTTTGTTGGTAGAAATGAGGAAGTAAATAAATGGTACGTCGATCCTTGTTTTTTTTCTTGCAATGAAGGCAAGAAATACTCAAACTCAATTTCCTTATTTCCTTATAAAAAGTAAGATACAACAGAGAATGAGTAGGCTTCCTATTATAATCTTTCCATTTCTAAAATCTGAAATAATAAGGATTATTACATGTTACAATTTAATAAATATTTGCTTTGATATAAAAACGTTTATACATAGTTTGATGTGTAGCACGGAACAGGTCGACCTAATCCACTTTTGGTTTAAAAGCTGGTTTGTTTTGTGTACATTGACAAGTATTATTAAATCTTCCTGCAATTCAGATTTTTGGACTGATAATTCGAAAATGTCAAATATTTAATAGAATTGCATAATATGCCTAAAATAGAATAATACCTAAAATTATATCCACTTTGCTAGGTATCTACAAACAGTGGCCGATCAATGTATGGTTTGCTCGTTTTTGGGTATTTGTGCTGGAATAACTGGACAACTTTAAGTATGCATTTATCACAAATGTAAAGAAAAGAACTTTAGTCAAAGAAGACAAGAGTTTCAAAATTCTGCAGAGAGACAATGAAAATGCAAAAATCAGCTACCTACTACATATACAGTGGAGAACATGGTTATATACACGGGGTTATTCAAAAGGATCAGACTTTTAGTTCATAATAGCAAGAAGAGAAATTTGTTGAAACTAGTGGGACAATGGCCAAATCTTGTCAGCCCTAGGCCAAATCACTAGATTAGTCACATCAAGGGGGGGGGGATTGAGCAAGGCTTGATATTTTTAAGATTCCTAAGGTGTACTTTTCAACATAGTTCACTCACATCAAAATGTGTAGAATAGTTTGGATTTGATCAAGATTTTCTCTTACAATAATGGTCCTGTACCACCTTCTTGGTAACATTTTTTATAAATAATCAGAGGAAAATGTTTTACCTTCAGGGTACAATGTTCTGTTAATGTATTCTGTCACTGCCTGTTGTTTAGATACACTGTTTTTAAATTTTGAGAATGAAGTTTTTTTGTGCCCAATGGTTGTATTTTTCTGAAATTCGCTTCAACTCAACATTTAATAAACTTGGAAACATATACATCATTTAATGGTTGTGCTTTAAATCCTCCCCCTTTATGTACATCCTGGTATGAATTGTTTTTTATGCCTGGAGTTAAATCAGAAAGTGCTTTGATATCATATTCTGTAGACAAAGCATGAGAAATCATGTTTGAAGGGGTATTTCTGAAGTGGGGGACCACTTTTATCATTTTCTGCAAGTAAATTGTGTTTGGTTTGCCAAGTTTCATGGCTATATAGTTAACATACTAACGTATTCTGAGTACTGGGCACAAGTATCAAGTCTAAAAATAGTACAAGGGTAGTTCTGAGGATGGGGACCATTTTTATCTTTTTCAGCAAGTCAAATTGTGTAGATTTCCCAAGTTTCATGGCTGTATGGTTAACAGAAATATATTTACCATACTATTGTATTCTGAGTACTGGGCACAAGTACCCCAGTCCAAAAATAGCAAGAGGGGCATTTCTGAGGGTGGGGACCATTCTTATCATTTTCAGAAGCCAAATTGTGTCGGTTTGCCAAGTTTCGTGGCTGTATAGTTAACAGAAATAGATTGACCATACTGACGTATTTTGAGTACTGGGCACAAGTACCCCAGTCAAAAATTGCACAAGGGACATTTTTGAGGGTGGGGACCATTCTTATCATTTTCAGCAAGTCAAATTGTGTCGGTTTGCCAAGTTTCATGGCTGTATAGTTCACAGAAATAGATTGACCATGCCAACATATTCTGAGTACTGGGCACAAGTACCCCAGGCTAAAAATAGCACAAGGGTTTTTTTCCCAAAATGGGTCTATATTCTATCTTGTTACGCATATCGAATTCTGTATTTTCACCAAGTTTCATGCTTTTATCACAATTTTCACGATTGTTACCTGTCATGAACCTTATCAAACTCACTACTACATTTCATCAAAACATCTCTTCGTGTCCACCACTTTACGTCACAAGGTCACGTGACACAGTGGTCTGACCGCGTTCTCGCTCCGCCATCGATGAGGGCAAATTTCGACTTTAAAAACTTAATAACTTAAAAACTACATAACGTATTTAAAAAATTCAAACGGCTTTTGAATCAGCACGGGAACCTTTATCAGTGGTAAAAAAATCGTTTTTCACTTCAGTTCCCCTTTAAGATATTTCTAGTCATTTGCCGTGAACTGGTGAATTAGAAGAAATGTAAATCATTGGAAAATTGGAGAGCAGTTTTTGCCATATTTATCGTGTACGTTTCTGCGAAAAACCTCCGAACTCACGTTGGTAAAACCCCCTTTTAAGCGATTTTGCATTGGTGCCCCGTGTGAGGACAGCCGTGCCGAAGAAAAGGAAGATGAGCACTGATCGATACCTGCGGACCACAGACGACCACAGTGGGACACGTGGTCAAATATTGCAGAAGATGCCCGTTGAAGCAACCATTGCAAGAAAAAGCTCCTGTAGCCGTGGACGCAATGAGCCAAGTTTTTGAAGCCGAAATTCAGACGAGAACGACAACCCAAACCACCACTGACCCCTTCGTTGCCTTGTGCAAGTTGTTCCGCCAGTTAGAAGAGCAAACAAAAGAGCTTGCTAACCTGATGAAAGAACAATTGGGCCAAACAATAGAATTCGACGAGGCAGACATTTTTAAAACGTCCCTGACAACGATATCCAAAGAAATGACGTCAATCACCGATCTACTGTTGGCCCCATCACATTTGTGCAGATCATCATCATCATCATCATCATCATCATCATTCTTATCACCGCAGATCATCATCACCTAAGAATAGCCGTTTAAGATATTTCCAGTCGTTTGTTCTTTTCTTGGTCACCGTTTTCTTCTTTCCCCAACGCATGAATCCTCCCCTCCTAAATTTTTTCTAAAAATCAATAAACAATGTTTTTTCTGAGAATCGTCGAATTGTCTATTGTGAGCGGTTTAATAATTTGTTAAATTTTAGTCTTGGAGATGCATTTTTAGCCCATTAAAGAAGACTTTATTTCAAAATATTTTTTCGCGTCGAACCCAACCATGGTGGGTCCTCTTATGTCACTAAACTTGATTCTTAGCCCCCGATTCAATTTCGTGCGCCCCCCGTCTTTGTCCGATTCAATGCTGCCATTAAATGCTTTAAACTTTCAAGTTGAAAGAACTGCTATTTGATAACTACTAAAGAAACTACTAAATTGCTAAAGAACTAATCTCATAACAAACTTGAGCTATGTTTGTAAATCATACATAATAAATGTGATGACACTAGGCTGATAAAATCGCCCATAAGCAGTGGCGTAATGGACTAAGGTTACCTTTAATTAAAAAACATAGGAGCCCCAAAAAAAGAATTTTTCTGAGTTATTTTACTCTGAAGTTGGTATTCTAGATATAATAAACGGGTTCAAGGGGCCGCCAGCCTGTATGAGATATCAGCAGGGGCGGTCTGGCTCCAAATTTAGGGCCCGGGCAAATTCGTCGAGAAAGGGCCCCGAAATTCATATTAAGTTTGCTTTTACGTGGAACTCTTTTACAGCTGGCTTAAAAGGTTATTGAAATATTGCTATTAGTTTTCCTTAATTCACACTACATAGCTAAAGAAACGCAAGGTTCATCACAGTGGAGCCACATGAAAAAAGAAATACCGTATCATAGAAATGTAGCCAAATATCGAACTTAGTTCCAAACCAAATAAAATACTCGGAATTTTGATCGTTCAATTGAACTTGTGATCTTTGCAAGGAATACGTATGCAACATCTGTTATACTTAATTTACATTATATCTAGCATTGGTAATTCAAATTAATGGGTTTTCATTAGCTTGAGTAAAGCTAAAGATTGTACCAACTTCAAATAAAAAAAGGAAGAAAAAAACCAGGGCTGAAGGCATTGGCGTAAAATATTAACATGGGGACTCTACAATCCTTTTTTGGGTCCGCGTCATTTTCACTGTATTGCTTAGGATTTTATTGTGATGTGGGCTAAAAGGAAAGAGAAAATCATGCCATTGTTGGGGAAAAATTATCGTTTTCTAGCTAAATGACTTTTGAATGGGAGAAGAATGTAGGAAAGAAGATTTAACGGCAGGTTGTGATCGAGAATTTATTTTTTTTATAGTTTATGAATTTCTAGGGTAAAATCTGGCTGCATTATGGGTCGCTGTAGTGTTTCTACCACTAAACCTTTGATTGGTGGAAGGCTAAACCCCTCAAACATAAATGTTTGCAATAAAGTAGTATCATCCAATACAGCAAATCATGGGCCTAATGGAATGTCTCAGTTATTCAAGTAAATCTTGATGTCTATTTTTCCAGTCAAAGCACTTTGGGGACTGATAATTTTTCCGATCATTAGTTGAGCAGCCAGGTTGATTGATTGGTTGAGCAGCAGTCAAGATGGAAACATCAGTAGGCAGGGCTGGCGAAACGTTATTGGGAGGTGGTAATGGGGGGGGGGAGGGGGGTCAAAGTGTTTAGATTGCTCCGGGGTTTACTAAAGATCACCACCATGGTTAGAAATTTTAGCCGAATTCAAGAAAAAGTTCGGAAATATGACATTATAGGGATTGGGCAGTGAATGCATCTAAAATATTTACACCATCAATTTTGACTAAAGGAGGATCCTAGGCAATGCCTGTTAGCTTTCTTTTACAATAATCCCCATGGTTCAAAGGGGTTTGATTTTGACATAACAATGGGAAGGACGTTAGAGTTGGTTTTATAATAAACTTAAAGCGTTTAACAACGCTTGACTACGAAGAACAACATTTTAACAACGAGGAATGAGTTGGAAAAAGTGCAAGCGATCGAATGTGGAGAGTCTGAATCAAAGCAGCTGACAGCTCTAGAGGATAATCTGAACTGAAACAAACAAAACTGGCAAAAATAGAAGGAAATGGAAAAAGGTTTGAAGTACAACAAAAAGAAGCAACGTCTTAATTTATCATTCTGCAAAGATTTCCTTTTCGAATGAGCATGTAGAAAAGGCTACAGCTTTAGCTTTCTCTTCCTTGCACCCTTATTTGTGGCTAAAGATGACAGTTTTTGACCAGTGAAATGTGTTCGAGTAAAGCAAATCTCCTCAAACTTTCCCAGTAACTCTATGAAAATAATTGTCGTCCCTGATGATAATTTGTTCACAATTACCGACAAACCAAGATCAAAATCTCAACTTTTAGCGACAGGTGCAACATTTCCGACACACATAACTTTAAGCAAATTTCTAAATGAAACGATAAAAAACCTTTCTTGCCTGTAGAAGAAAGTACCTGAGTGTTCTCAGTAAGATATCTTCAAAAGTAGAGAGTCATTCTATTCTTTGTTTAGATGCCAAACTGTGTCTACATTTCTATGAGTATAAAGCTTGTAATGCATCTTAATCTTTCAGTTGCATCTCGTCACCTTTTCTTGTTCAGTTTACAATGGCAGACATGTACTGGAGCAAAAATTTCGTCCCAGCTTTCTATGCGTTACACGATTCTTGTCTAACCGAAGAACAAACAAGGAGGGGGGCTGAGCCCTCCGCTGTTTTGATGTATATCTGATTTGCATTAAAGTAATCTACCTTTCTAGAAATTGAGTCAAAAATCTGTTATGTCCTTGCAAACTTCGAAACTGAGGGGCCGAAGAGAAATTTTTCGCGATTTTGGAACTTCCATTAAGTATCCTATTATTGCGTTGGGAACAGTAAGCCCTTGACCTAGAATACTGCATGCTTACATCGGGTCCCAAATGCTTTTTCATTGGAAAACGTTTTTTCAGTACTTAGATACCTCAAAGTGATACTTTTACTTATTCTGTATCTACTTATCTCGAGAGAGTCTAGGTGTAATGGCAAGAGAAGAGGACCCCTACCAAACGATACAAGTTGCCATTCCATAGTAAAATGAAGAAAAATTGCAATAATTTTGGGAGGGCCCACCGGGCGATCGCCCGGTAGCCCGACCGGCCAGTCCGCCCCTGGACATCAGTGTAATTGAATATAATGTCTTTTGATTAGTATTTTATGTTTTGCTTACCGTATTTCATCGAAAAAGCCGACCCTCGAAAATAAGCCAATTCGAATTTGCTGGATATTTTACCGAACCGCGATCGAGAAGGTCAAATGCTAGAATAACATAATTTTTTCAATTCATACTCGCATTTTTAATCTAAACTTATTCATGAAACTTTAAATTCAAGTTGCGAAAATTGATTTCTCTCCCAGAAACATGTGCTTTTATATAACCACGATATATAGATAGGGCGCAAGAATCGACTTGGCCCCCCAGGGAAAACATATCCACCCCGCCACTGAAGACCATAATATAGTTACAACCTTAAAAATAGTTATAATTTTGATGCTTCAATGTCACTGGTAATTGCATTTTTTGGAGCAAATTTTAGCAATAAAAACCTATTCGTAAAAAGAATATTCCAAATCCAAAAAATAATATTTTGTTTTCAATATTATTAATCAGTTTCGATTGGATGTCTAAACTTCCTGATGATGTTGATTTTTCTAGGAAAGAGATTTAATACTTATTATTTTGCTGTATTTGTTAAAACTTGTTAATTCAACGACTGTCGATCAGCATTTCCGGAATCTTGCTATGTATGAATACTAATTTTTTTAAAAATTTTCGGAATCAAAATCATTCAATTTTTAAGAATACGATCAGAATATTGTTCAGCCACAGCTCGCATAATTGTGTCTCATTCTTCAATAGTTGCTTGAAATTATTGGGATCGTAATAATGTCGCTTGACTGAATTGATTTTTGTGTGTTCAAAATTTTGTTGTTAATGATTGTTTGAAATTAATGATTGTAAATAACATTTTTGTTGTTACAATTGCTTAAATTTTACCTTCGTACCATCATTTCCTCGTAAAGACATGAAATTCATTTGAATTATGTTCCCTTTAAACCTTAGTCAGGCTCAAAACAAAAATTTCTTAAGAATATCGAGGCTGGACGAATTGTATGGCATTCTTACTTAAGAAGTGTAATTCCCAGTTTCTAATTTAGATTAACCTTTATGTATATGTAGTTACTGCAAGTTTTCTGTAAACATGCCTTCTCAAAAAGATGAGTTCGCTATTAGACAGAGGGTTTAGATATGGTTGATCGAACTTGTTTAATAAGTTAACAAGAAACAAGTCACAAGAAACATTAGTTTTTTTCGTGGAAACTTTCCATAATATCATTTTGATAATTAAGACTTGGGAGCAACAGGATACGGAACAGAGTGTTGGGGTTAGGACATTTAAATATCTGAGGAATCATAAATTTTGTCAGTGTCTTCATTTTCTGCTTCTGTGACAAAATACTAAACACAATAAAAAGGAATTAGCAATGATATTTTCATCACTAAATTATTTGCAGTTGATGGTTCGATTTGAGCCCTTGGCTGGATATTCTTAGCTTGCAAGTTGATAAAATTTTTCCTTCGAGACCAAGGATTTGTGAATTTTTTGAAATGGATCAGAGTAACAAAAAGAAATGGCACCTCTTACTTTTTCGTTCTAGGTGATAAATTTGGTTTCGATAATATGAATATTTCTGATGTAAGTATCAGAATTCTTACCCATGAGAAAATATTTCAGTCCCTAATTTTACCAACAATCGTCCATGAAATAACTTGTAGCTTTTTGGGTTTCCTATTAACCGATGCATTCGACGTGAACTTTTCCCCGATCATTTTTATTGAAGTTTTATTTGATTCGAAAGAGACATAGCTTTGTTAAGAATGGCCGGCACTATTCCCAACCGTGAAAATGGCACACAACATGAAAGCCAAAAATTAAAATGGCAAAGCTCTTAGATATGGACAAAATAATGAAACGTTGTTCCACATTGCATATATTTAACGCCAAGAATCCCACTCAATTTATGTCGCAAATGCGTCACATAAAATATAAAGAACTTGTGCATTTATGCAACTTAAATATAATCTCGCCGGCACGTGTAGACAGTTAGTACAATCAAAGTAGAAGGAACACAAGGTTTGTGAATTAAGTTTACAAAGTGGCCACTTTTCGCAATATTAAATACAGTTAAGTCCCGATAACTCGATCATCTCCAAGAAAATGGTGAAACTTTTCGAGTTTTCGGTGGTTCCAGCGTATTTGAGAAGGTGCAAGGGGAATATAAATCACTAAAACAATTCGAGTTGTCTGAAGGGGAATAACAAATTTTGCATGTTCAGTATGTAATTTATCATCTTTTTAGAGTCGAGAACTTCTGACAATTAAGAAACAAGGATTTCTTTATGAAACCTTAAAAATAAGGATGAGAACTTAGGGATAAGTACTGTATGAATAGGAAAGTTATGAGAGCGTTCCGGTACTTGAATGAACCAGGAACGACGAGAGATTTCTTTAATAAGAAGGTCAATTTCAAAATATGGAACCAATTTCGACTTGTCGGTTACTTAAACTACATAAATACATCATGAAAATCTCAGACATGAAATGCAAATCTCCAGACTGGCTGGTGCATGCTTGCTTTTGTGCCTTTTTAGCATCTTATCGGAAGGTTTCCAAGTAACCAACATCAAAAGCGTAAAAGGAAAAAATTTGATTAATCATATATATATATTTGTAAATGAAAAAAATCAAAAGTTAAGGGCATATTTCAAAAGTTAATATTTTCGATAATGTCCATAGACAACTGAGTAGTTTCGCAGGGCGGCCTCTTCAAGATCAACACGTTTGTAGCCTTTTGGGTGAATTTTCTTCACAGCTGAAGAAGCAGAGCCACACTTGGAGCGCTGAACAAACAAAGAAATACAAACATAATTCAGTTGTAAAATTGCTTAAAAAGGTTTCGATTGGAGTATTTAGCTAGCAGCATGACTTGACAACAAATATTTACATTTTTTTTAAGAAAAATGATTGCCCATTCAATAAGCTTTCAGGAAATGTATACTTTTCCACAAATGGTTTGCATTTCACTTATAGAAAATTTAAAGAAAATTAAAAGGTAACTTTTTATGGTTTTTCGCATCTACGTCATGGAAGCCAAAGGGTTAAAGCCAGAGGATATGTGGCTTTTTTTTTAAATTCTGTTTGGTAAAAAGATGCTCAATCTATTTTTGGTTAGATTATTTTTATCGTGTTGTGTTGATGATTATTTGTTAACTTTCATTAGAAATTCAATAAAATGCAATCCACCATCTTTGCAAGAAACCCAGAGTGTCTGGTATTCATTGCTTTTTGGTTCCTGTCAGATATCATCTAAACTAGAGGACATTCAGTAAAATCGTCCTTCTTATTTTTAACTGATGCAGATTCACGAAAATAGACAAACAAGTGTTTAAGACAAACATGACGAAAATAGACAAACATGAGTCTTTTGATTGGCTTTCCTTCTAACCTTATTTGGGGGCAGGAGGGTTATTTGGGAATGGGCACTAATTTGGTATTCTGAGGTATGTTAGAAAGCTAATGCCATTTTGGAAAACGGTATGCATGGAAAAGTAGAAGCAGTGCTACAACCACACAACAAACAAGAAAAAAGCACCCTAAAGCACTGACCTCGTTTGCGATCAATGTGACAATGAACTTTCCAGGCTTAAAGGTCTCTAGTACCTTGGTGACAAGCCTGTCATAATTCTCCAGCTGGATGTTGGTTTCGTAGCTGACATAAGAGCAATGGGGCTGAGGGGTAACATGTATTGTTGAGTATGAGTCACCACTGAGACCATTCATAGAATAACCACATGGATCAAAGAGAACACCATCATGGACTGAGCCAGGAATAATATCAGCAATCCCTGATTCCTGTAACATTGTAAGGTCATAAAAGATCAAAGAGTTATACCTCAAATTATCTCCAACTTTCAAAAATAGCTGCCGAACATTTTTCATATCGAAAAATTTATTCAAAAATTTCCTTCGAAGTTTCAGTTTTAAAATTATATATTACAATCTTGTTCCAGAATAAAATGCAAAATGTAATATATAAATTCTAATGAAAACTAGCAAACAGTATAAGACGGAAATAAAACAATAAATAAGCAATAGATGAAGAAGTTAATAATTTGTGTATAGAACCGGACAGTTTGAAGCTGCTTCTAGTTTGAAGTTTCACATCTAATGTGATACACTAAAATAATTTTTTAGGGATTATGTAAATTAAAACCTTTTTTAATTCATGTAAACAGACAATTGTTTGTCTTCTGTTTTAACGATTAGTTTTTTGTGCAGTCAAATTTCAAATGATTGGCCTCAAATAAATGGAGGTCTTGAGTAAACAAATGAAATTTTGAACTTGATGTCAGGGCATTTGTTCCAGTAAATACGATACAAATATACAAACATTTGGCCTTTTTAAGACTTCATTTTGGCAATTTCATCTTGATGTTATTAGTGCAGTGTCAAAATCTAAAGAAAACAACGATGTTCAGATGCTATAGACATATATTTCAGTCAAAATAAAACAAAGCAAGAATTGGATCTTTGAAAAAAACCTTACATAGGTCACTTTCTTGTCATCGACATCTGGATGGGATTTTGTAAACTGTTCCATTTTTTCCTTATCAAGCTCTGACATCAAAATTTCTAAGGTCACATCTGGATCATCTGAGTGCTCAGAGAGGTGGTCTGTTGTATACAAGTACCATTCCTCACCCTTCTCTTTCCCAAATTTGTGGAATGCGCCACCTGTCATGCAAAAATAAGTTCAGTTATACATAACCCACTTACAGTGTTAGCAGGAACAGTGCAATTTACAATGAAGACTTTATATAATAAGGGAAATGTAATGTAGACAAATGCAATACAGTCCCAGTAATTTGAAATTTGCTGACGTGCCTGTAATCACACACCTTGAAAAGTTGAGGTGCGCGATTGTATGCAATCCCTAAAATGTAGACCTGACAATTTTTATAAAGACCTGAGAGTTTTTTGAATATGATATACACTCCTGTGAATATGGTAAAGGGGTGCATCACTGTTTGAAAAAGCGACTTAGGTTTTTATAAACCAAACTATTTCTAAAGAACTTTAGAAGATGTTTCTTGCAAACAAAATAATTTGACATAAAGGAAACAAATTTTTAACTGCTTATGTCTCCAGAATTGTTATCAAAATACTACCAACAAATAAAAGAAAAAGAATAGTTAGTGAAAAAAATAATGCTGCTTGTGGGATAAATAGCACACCTAGGGAGTTTTAGGTGTTTGTGGAGGTTTCTGCATGTGATCTTATCACAGGCCTAATATTACCAGGACTGCAGCTAATATACAAACAAGAAAATGACAAGCAATTTCAATATTGAATGACCAAAATTGAAAATTCAAATAAAAGAAGAGGTTAAAGAAATATATATATTTTTTCATTTGATTGATACATGGCTGATTTTGTCAAATAATATCGCATTTATTTATATTTTTTTGGCATACTTACTTGGAAAAAATGTCTGTAAGAGCTTCATCTACAATGAAACAAAAAAGCAGCCATAGTCACATAATTGCCAGCATGCCAGACCCAGCAAAAAAATTGATCACTGACTGCAAAATCTCAAACATTTAACTTGCCATGTCTCTGGCTTAAAAAGCAGGCCTGGCGGTTCGCATTTTTGTAGGTGAAACGCTTTCTTCATTTACTAGGTGAACGTAATCAGTAACACACTAGTCAAGTGCTTTGTGTAGAAAAAACAGGTCCTGTTGGATATAAGTGTTAAAAGTGATATCTTTTCATTTTATGTGACTTTGAGACATGCTTAATCAGAAGAAATTAGTCTTCATTTTTTTCTTAGGATTTTGTCCCCATTTTTGCAAATTCAAAATGGCAGAAACCTCAATTCTTAAGGAAGGAGTGAAATTAGGTCTTTGATGCAATATCTGAAACTTTTGTTGATTATTCATTTTACATCTATTTATTTAGTGATAGAAAGTTTATAAATCTGAAACCCTCAACCTTTTTCATAAAAATAGACACACTGTGACTGTGGAGGAGCAAGAAATTATTGCCCATAATTCTTTGTGCCTCAAACTACAGGCTTTTTCGAGTTTTGGCCTAACGTATGACATTGCCTTGCTGCTTAGTTGCTTGGCCGATTCATTAGTATTTATGGTATGTTCAATGGTTTTTTAATACCGTTTTCGCATTCAAATTTATACTTAATTCTTGTTCCTTTGTACATTTATTACACAGTACTCTCCTTATAGGAAATATAAACTCAATGACTATCAAAGTCAGATTGGGCCAATGTTTCATATGTGATTGTGAGAACAATGACCTCTCGAGACATCTATCTGACAAAAGAATGATGATTCAGTTGCCAAAGTTCTTGAATATGCCCAAAAGAGAGCAAAGCTTGGAGACTCACTACATCAAATTGGCAAAACGACATGGATATGAGTGCAAGAATTATCACCTCTCTTGTTATTGGAAGCTTGTTAACATAATATCGACATTGGGAGATGCTATGCAGCAGCACTTGACCTTGGTGTTTCTCTTGATTCCCCTCCTTGCCAAGATATCGAAAGTTTAGAGAGATTTACTTGTGCTGCTTACTGGAAAGATTCTAAGTCTAGATCTTTGAAAGAGCTACGATGGGAACTTTTTTGAGGAGGAAAGGAAGTTCAACATCATAAGCAAGATCAGACATCACTAGAAAAAGGAAGTAAAAGTTTCAGACAAACCTCCTGATCAAAATTTTGGTATTCCTCTTCCTGCAAATCTGGTCTGAGATAAACTCTTCTAGAGTAGAACATATTCTGCAAGAGACAATTTTCATGTCTTAAGCTAAGTCCTTTAGAAAATCAGTTTTATGAAATATTGAGCCAAAAATTTGAGATTTTTCTGTAATGAGGTTAGTTGCTTTACATTTACTGAACAAATTCAGTTTCTGTCATGTTAACTTCAGTAGTTTTGTGTTCCTGTTAGGTATTTGAACAGCAACAAAAGAAGCAAGTTCCTTGTTTTTGCTGCAAAATAGCCTTGTTGACCACTAGCATGGTTAACGAGCATTAAAAACCCTCTTGCTTTGTTTGAATGAGAAGCTTATCACCTTCTTGGTTTTTTCAGACACATACCCTTTATTTTTAGCAATTGAGAAATCACAAATTTATGTCTATTATCTCTATGAAAAAGTGTCTAAAAAGCCCTGTGATTTTGGAATATTTTATTGTGTATGATACTAAGCTGCTAAAAAATCTTAAGGGCCTTACCCTCAGCAATTTATTTGCATGTCTCAAAAGCACACTCACCTGAATGTCATTAACCTTCAAGTACTTCTTTGCAAGATGAAGCAAAGGTTCCACGCAGTTCAAAACTTTTGTTTTCCCACAAGTTTTCAACACTATGTGATCTTTAGCAACAAATAAGCTGCTTTCGCTAGAATAAAAGAAGTTTTATAACTATTTTAAATTTGAGATTTGAATTGTTTGAAATAAACCAATCTATAATTTTAATTTTAAATTCAAAGAAAAAGTTAGATATGTACATTTTATCAAGGGTCACTCAATGTCCCTAGTATTAAGGGTCATTACATGCCAGAACATCAGGGCCATGTAACCCAGCATCTCAGATGTTTGTTAATCTGTGGTGCAATGTATAAAAAAGATATCAAATAATTCCAACCTACACTTTAAAATGAAAAAAGAAGCCATTAAGAAAATTTGGTCATTTAAAGTTGACTAGATTTCAGTTAAATTAGTTAACTGTGGCTGCTTGAAATTTCTGTACAGTAAAAGTTTAAATGACAGCTGTGTTGCAGGGGCAGACACTTTGTCAAATTTGCTTTGGGGGGGGGGGGGTGGGGGGGGTGGAGTGGGGGGAGAGGGGCAGCAAGCCTTCCGTTTTGCTAAGATGACATCACAGTTTCCGATTGCTTTTAACCAAAAGACAATTGTCTTCCAAAATATCGGAGGGTGACTGCCCCTGCCCCCTGCTGTGCTGTTAGTTCTGTTATGACTTGCCGAAACAACCAGAGGTTTTTACTGGTTGTAGTTTGCTAATATGTGACCAGAATTACTGTGCTTTGTATGTAAATACACTTTTTCCATGGTAAAAAGCACTTATTAATTTTGCAAAAATAACAAGCTCAAGTTCTATGAACTCTTTTTGGGCTTTCGAGTTTTTGGAGCTAAATCCTAAAGCTAAATCGTTGCTCAAAAGCAGAGATTCTAAAACTGCCTACAACTCCCTTTTGCCTTATCTTATAAGAAACACAATGGAAAACTGAACGGAATCTTTCAGCTTCACTGGGGATCAATCAGATCATTTTTGTGCTCTTTAAGTATATATAATGCCGTTAGATAACTGAATAATTACCGCTATTTTCCTAAAAAAATGGCAGTTAAAAGTGGAAAAAGCTTTAAAACTTACCTTAATACATAGGAATCAATATGTTCATTCTTTGAAGCCTTCACGACTTCTGCATTGCAGTAAGTGACAAGTTTTTTGTATTCTTCGCTGCAAAATAAAAAATTTCAGTATATATGAACATTGAAACTCAATAAAAAACAGCTTGTTTGGCGTTTGGCTGTAAGCTTCTTCAGGATGATTCTGAAGAATAATCATTACTGAGGAAACATGTGAAATCAAAGAAAACACCTTCTTAAGACATTTGCCTTTCGCTTCATCAGTAATAACTTTACAAAATCAGAGGAACCTACTTATCAACCTAAATTATAATAGAACAATACAAAACAATAGAAACCACCTAATAGAATATAAGGGGCACCTGCCTAATAAAATACATATTGTTAAATGTGTATGAACGATAATTGTTATGAGGAACTGGGAGAGAAGTGAATAGAAAGGTAGAAAAAATAATGTGATGGAGATGCTGGTGTTGACAGTCTCACAAGAGATAAATGATAGCCATAAAATTATAAATACAAAAATGAGAAGATAAGCTTTAAACAAAAGAGCTAACATTAAAAAATAAATAAAAAAAATATTAAAAACCAAAGAAGAATATATATATAAATGTCCTATGTATCTACCTGCCTAGTATTGAGACCCATTGGAGAGAAAGTATTTAAGCGATATTGCCAAAAACTTTCCCTCCTCCTATCATTACCTGTTAACCTATCTATGACCTTAACACTTATGTCATTCAGGAACGCCGGATGTCCTTCCTCAGAAAAATGTCTGAAAAATTCCATCTGAGGCTGAAGACCCTAAATTAAATATATATATATATATAATATATATAATATATATTATATAGATAAGTAATATAAAAATCATAAGGCAATGCTGACAGAGGAAAATTCTTTCCACAAGGGTGCGCCCAATTGTATTGAACTTACTCTTGGTCGGAATCGAACTCCAGTTTGTGCGTCGAAAACCCCCGCTCATTCACTGACAGCCAACGGCCCAATGAAATGAGCGATGAATCTCCGAAGCCACCATGGAGATCTCAACCGTAGCCAAGGCAGTTTAGTTTCTTCTGTTTCGCTTAAAGCTTCATCAGAGCCATTTAAACCATAGATATATATAATCATAAGGCAAATGTGACAGGAGGAAAATTCTTTCCACAAGGGTGCTGCCCAATTGTATTGAACTACTCTTGGTCGGAATCGAACTCCAGTTTGCTGCGTCGAAACCCCCGCTCATTCCACTGAGCCAAACGGCCAATGAAAGATCGATGAATCTCCGAAGCCAACACTGGAGATCTCACCGTAGCAAAGGCAGTTTTAGTTTCTTCTGTTTCGGCTTAAAGCCTTCATCAGAGCCATTTAAACCTAGATATATAATCATAAGGCAAATGTAGACAGGAGGAAAATCTTTCCACAAGGTGCTGCCCAATTTGTATGGACTACTCTTGGTCGGAATCGAACTCCAGTTGCTGCGTCGAAACCCCCCGCTCATTCCACTGAGCAAACGGCCCAATGAAATGAGCGATGAATCTCCGAAGCCAACACTGGAGATCTCACCGTAGCCAAGGCAGTTTTAGTTTTTCTTCTGGCTTAAAGCCTTCATCAGAGCCATTTAAACCATAGATATATAATCATAAGGCAAATGCTGAAAGGAGAAAATTCTTTCCACAAGGGTTGCTCCAATTGTATTGAACTATTCTTGGTCGGATCGAACTCCAGTTTGCTGCGTCGAAAACCCCGCTCATTCCGGAGCCAAACGGCCCAATGAAATGAAGCGATGAATCTCCGAGCCAACACTGGAGATCTCACCGTAGCCAGGCAGTTTTAGTTTCTTCTGTTTCGCTTAAAGCCTTCATCAGCCATTTAAACCATAGAATATAATTCATAAGGCAAATGCTGACAGGAGGAAATATTCTTTCCACAAGGGGCTTGCCCAAATATATATATAATATATATATATATATATATATATATATAATATATATAATATTATTTATATTATCTATATATATATATATATATATATTGACAGCTTTATGTAGATATTGAACAACAAACAGTTGATAGATACAATAGCACAAAAAGCAATTAAATATTTATGTATATTCAGCCTCCAGACAGTACTAGGACATTTGAACAACAAAGCAGCTATGCATTTTCTTGCATTCCTAAGCTAAAACAATGCTTGCCAAAAGAACTTTTTTCTTTTTTCAAGCCATGCTAATAAATGTAGCTCAGGTACTGTGAGCATCCAGTATGTAATCAAAGATGAATGTGATGTTTCTTAAATGTTTCTTGAAGACAAAGGCTTCTTTCCTCCAAAGTTTGTCCAAAACATTTGATTTTCTGCTTGGGTGCACACCAGATATTCATTTGCTTTTTAGGGTCTGTATTGAGAGTGGCTAACCATTATTGTCTTCAGAATTATAGCAGTCAAAGGCAGTCTCTCCAACTTTACCAAAATTTAGACAGCGTGACAAGGAATGTGCTGAGCAGCCCGCAGTTGACAGATATAATTTTAAAGTTGACAAGCAAGTTTTGTCTGATTTAGGTACATATCTGACCCTTTGATCAAACAAATTTATGCCATAAAAGGTGAAAATTTACGCAGGGTTAAGGGCGTGGTCATATTTATAGAAAGACTTTGTCTAGAAGGGCATTGTCCCCCTAAATTTTGCTGAGAACTTTGCCCCTAGACCAGTATAGATTCCATGGCAGCTGCTCTCCCGAGAAATTTTTGTAGAACAACAGGTGCACTCTTGCACACATGAAAGATGGGTGTTGTTTGAGCGTGTTTTTGGATGTGGCTCAAACAAAAAGGTTATTTTCAAACATGACAAAATGACTTTCTAAATTTGTATGCAACCCAGATTGGAAAAAAGTGTGTCATTCTAAATTGAGTGATCCACTTGAGATCAGGGCTGCCAAAAAGTTTCAGTAGACCTGGGGCAGAAGGGAAAAAAGCCACTTGCGAGCCGAGTGAGCAGAAAATCTTTGCAACCCCCCTTTTTTAGATTAGCTTAAAATGCACTTCAGAATATTCTTTGCAGTCATTTTCTTGCAATTGTTTCAATGTTACTTTTGTTTCAATTGATTCATTGTAATGTTTTACTATTATCTCCATTCTATAAACTGGTTACTATCATTTAACAATAAACAGATTAACCATATATTCTTAAAATGAAATTCTTAATATGAATTTCCCTAGACATCAAGGTCCTTAGGAAATTTGCCCTCTTGTCCCCCTTTCGGTGGCCCAGCTTGAGATCAGACTTCAGGTCTTAGGATGATCTTGTTTTGGCCTTTTTAAACATTTTTTTATTAATCTTTTTACCTGACAAACCTTAAAGAATTTAGGCAACTGCCACTGATGGTAGTGATAGGTGAGTATAGTTCAACTCTCAATTGTTAATTTCCCTGAGATGTAAAATTGATGTAAACAGGAAAAGTGCCGGACAAAATATGAACACACTCAAAAGAATGACTGAGAAATCTGACGCACACTCAAATGTGCACACTTATCACAAATGCACTCTTGCACTCCCGGGTAATAGCTTGTGCACTCCCGAGATCTCGTCGAGAACTGCCATAAAATCCAGACCGGGTTGATGCTATTTCACAGTGTTCGTGGAAATATAGCATATTGCATCATCGGGTCATTGTGCATGGCAAACGCGAAATCGATAACATTTTTCTTGATTTTCTTTGCTACTGACAATCGGTATAATACAAATTACTGAAATTTTCAGCATATGTAATTAATTTGCATGTCTTCGTGCGTAGTAGACATGCACATGGTCGTCATATGCTCGTTCATGCCTCTTATTTACAGGGCTGCACTCACCTTGGAATCTTTCTCAATCCAGATTTTGAATCACAAAAATCTGGTATTTTGAACCAAATTTCAAGCAGCTTTTCAGTTCCTTCGAAGAACTCCATTTGCTCTAGACTGTGCAACAACATGTTGAATTGAGATCGGCCTGGTGCTGGCCACCAAAATGGCTGTGCCTGAAAGCTGCTCCTTGGGAAGGTCTGTGTACTTCGATTAACAACTGTGCAACGTTGACGGCGATAAGCAGAAACAAACTTTAGCAAATGCTAGGGCATCATTCAATCAAACAGGTCTAAATGGGGTTTAGCAGATGTTAGGGTGGAAATCTCTTGATGTAAGAAGGGACACCTCCTAGATACATTGCCGTAAAGTTGAAAGGGCCTATCTGGTGATCAATCTTGTCTTTAAACCAGCTCACGTTGCCAATATGCGCCTTCGTTGCGTTATATTGTGTAAGAATGACCAATGGAAAGACGTGCGACCGCTGGCAGAAGGGCATCGCATTGCGAACATTGCAAAAATCCATAATCCTTGCTCTGGAAAATACACCAGAATAACAGCTTTCACAAGATACACACAATTCTAGTAAAGAATCCACGAAATGCAGCCAAACTTTAGATTTTATTTAAAAACGACAGCATGCCTCCTAATCTTGACAAAGTTTGAGATTTTAGTGCAAGTCAGCAAAATTTCCATTGTCTTTTGGGAACAGGATCCCTATGGCAACCGTGACTTTAGTGATCATCGCATTTTGATTTGTAATTTTTCTTGTGTCATACACTTCGCTGGGTGATTCACACACCTGAGCGACTGCTGAGGTATGACATTTTAAAGCAATGAATCGTACATCACTGATTATGATTAGGGAGGCAGTGAAGCCTATCGATTTCCGAATTGCACGGCAAGTGGTGACTCGGTGTATGGCTATTGCATCTCGCTTTTGGTTGGTTATTTCGAGCGTTTTTTTGGTGTAAGGATTGACAGACTGATAAGAAAAGGCAGTCTTTTAATAGGGCTGGAAGTAAAACCGATGCCTCCAATATTTCTACGGATATAAGTGGTGATGGATCTATTTTATTTTACTGGTTTGTTTACAATTAGGCCTATCCATACCATCTTGGGTTCTTCAATATTGGCGCTTTTACTTGCTAGATTCATTCTAGTTTCATGACCGATGAATTGCAAGGTGATCACTTGATACACCTTGTCAAAAATATTTGCTTCAAATATTTGACTGTTTGTTTGCGAAGGTCCACCAAAAAAGATTAAAAAAAAGTCATAAATAAGAACAAACCAAATATTCGCCATCAGATCAATAAACTCATTTTGTTTAAAAATGTTTAGGGACTGCAAGAAAGACTGTGAATCCTCCAAAAAACAACGATCGGTACCATCAATATTACACTCTTTTTTATAAGAACAATTTTATAAGAACACGAGCCTTAATGTACGTTGAGTTGTGTTGAGCAGAAAATTCAGAAAACATGAAGATTGTCTTTCTCTAAGAGTTTACTCAAATCATTTATTGAACCTGCGTTAACAAGCAGAGATATTCTCTACATTCCCATTTTCCTTGAAACTCAATTATTCACGTTCGTAGGTGTTTCATATTTTACAGTTAAACTTGTGAATAGATGCAGAAATTTTAGTTTATGAAGTAGCAACTATCTCTTGAGGAGAATAATAGAAAACAGCTAGGCCATTTGTCATGGTTTTATTGCCATTTCTTTATTTGATATCTTGGAAAACTTCCTGAACCTAGTCTTCTGCTTGTGCATGTGGCGAAAAATATTTTTCATATGACGAACCTAGCCTTCTGTATAAAGCATGAGAATTTTGAAAACTTCTGTTCTATAACAGACAAAAATTCCTAAAATCCTCAAAATATACTTTGCCTCTACACCTGGCGTTTGGCAGCTTTGATAGAAACCTATTCGTAATGATGGCAAAAACGGGAGCTCATTTGATGTTGCTAATACTTTTTCAATATGAGTTGTGTTACTAAGCTGTTTTGTTCTGTTATTGTTGATATCCTGGTGATAATCAAGTACTTCTTGTGTTTGTCTTTGTCCATTTCTGTGTACCGCCATTATACAACTTAACTTTGGCATTTTTCCTTTCCTCAAGCGCATGCATTTTATAACGTATCGTTACTTCTAGTCTTTGAAGTAAAATTGTGAAGAATCTGTGAAATCCTTGATAAATGAATAGAAATATACATATTTACAGAATATCCGATTCTACTGACATCAGCAGAAGGCGTTGAAGACTCTCGCGTCCCAGGTGTCTTCATCCTTCAGCATTGAATAAGGTAATGAAAGCGCAGTTTCCATCAGCTTTTTCACTTCACCACAAGAAGGCAGTTCATGCCGAAGATTTCTAAAAAGCATGCCTTTACATGTAAAACAGAATACGAGAATTGCCCTCAAGAGGCTTCAGCCCCTCTGACAATTTTTCGAGAAGGCTTACCCGCTGTTGATAACTTTTAATTGCAGAGCAGCTTTTCGAAGAACAAAATAGCAGTAGAAAGTTGACGCCCGCTTTCTCAAACTCCCAATGAAACTGAATTTTAAGTCAAACTGGTTGAACTAACGGATAACCATCGAAATCCGAAAGATCTAGGTTATAGCTTGCTTACAAAGTAAAGGAAAGAAAAAGTAAAGAAGTAAAGTGCAATATAACTAATACCAATTTCATCAAACAATCAGCTATTCAATATATTTGCTTCAAGAGTCAGTTCCAAAATATCATTGAGTTTGAGATTATGCTGATAAAAAGGAGTTTCCCCTCTAGATTGTATATCTAAAGATCCTCTCCTCTGGTCACCACTTAATCGTTCAAATGTTAGCTGTTCCATTGATTTTTCTTGAAATTTGGTGGGTTATGCAACTAAAGAAGCTCAAGCCATAAATCAGATCAATCATACTTCATCAATCATAAATGGCCGAGACATTGAACAATCTCAGAACTTTCGGTAGCAGTTAAAAAATAATACATTTTGGAGTCAGCAAGCAATCTGCGGGGTTTCCAATGTTTAATCAACATGGATGAGCAATTTGAGTGGTGACAAACCTTTCGTTGAAGACTAGCCTGAAGCTCGTGTAGAATAACCACACGTCCACCAAAGAAACTTTTGTGAATCTTTTCCAAACGATTGCGATGTTGTAAGAGAACATAAATGATGGAAATTGCGTGAAACAACATTTCGTCCTCTCATCAAATGAAAATACCAAAATTCCTGCGATAAACAGGTTCACTCAAGTGCCTCAATAGCTGTAATAGAGTAGGCTTAATAAAATGGCTTAAAATATGCCACTTTTCACCAAATACAAGGTCATTTATGATCAACTTGGTACTCCAACACTTAAATGCGATCTTGCAAATGTTTTTCTGAACTTATCATGTCGCAATTAACAGTACCTGTTACACAACTTTCTGACAAACTCCTAGCAAGCCTCATAAAGGTTTCAAAGCCGCGAGACTGTTCAATAAAAAGTCAAACTTTTTTTACTTTTGAAAAAGTAAACTTTTTCAGTCTTTAAAATTAGAAGTGTTGCCAACAGTTTGAAAATTGATTTGATTGGTTTTTAACTAGAAAAAGACACCTAATGTTCAATATCGATCGCCTTGTTGTTTACAACGCGATCGCCATTACTCATTTGTCAAACCGGTGCAATACTTTTACTCACTTAGTGTACTTGCCAATTACAAAGGACAATGACAACCCCATTGTCATTACATACAACTAGACAAATAAATACTAACGCTACACGTACACATAATGAATGTTAACATAAAAAGATAAGAAATATATATTTATAGGAAATTACAAATAAGTGGGTGAGGCAAAAGATTTAGGGATATTTAATGAAAATGATTACATTATCATTCAAAGCGTTTCGTTCTTGAAATATACAGGATAGTAGATTCCAGAATGGCAATTTTTTGTCTCCGTACAAAAAATCTGCAAAAGGACAGGATTTGGAACGTTTGTAAATTCAAATGAGTGCAGTACTGGAGTGACACAGGCGAGGAGGTCCCGGGCAGATTCACAGTTCACTATAAGAATCTATATACCATGTGAGTTCCAATTTCTACCCCCTTATCTCTGACATAACTGGCATCACAACACATCCTTATCTCTGAAAATTTTAGGTATGTTACACCCCTTTTCTCTGACACAAAAGAAATGTTAAATTAAATCAACCCCATCAACCTCGGCAATAGATTTGATAAAAAGTAAAATGTAGATTGCTTCAATAACTGACTCCAATAATTAGGAAAATTTAATCATAAGAATTAAACAATGTTGATTTTGGTGCTGCAAAAAATCCTTTCTTGATTTTGATATCTTCAGTTTTGATGCTTATGTGTACCCAATGTGAAATTCATGCTAAAGACAGGTCAAGGTCAAGTCAGAACTGTGTCATGGCATGCTGGGATAATGAAAAGAAGAAAATCTGAGCCAAAGATCTTAATCGATGAAGCCTAGTGCTTAGAATACCAAAAAGTACAGACAATAGTAGCCTGTTAAAAAAAATACATGTTTATCAACGAGTCAATCTGAAAACCTGGCACAATTCAAGGTGGTGGAAGTTGTTCTGCAGAGTTTCCCATACTCAAACACAAAATAATACACTGTTTCTGCACAGTTGCACACATGCACATATTTCTATTTGTTTATGCATACACAAGAACTTGTTGATGGCTTCCATACTCTGCAGATTGAACTTTGCAGGTGCTTCTTAACCTGACTCAATCTTAAACTTTCATGTAAGCAACTTTCAAGTAGCTATTGTTTTCATTACATCCGCTATAAAAGACAATCAACAACACTTCATCTCCGTTTAGCTTAAAGTTTACATGTCGACATTCTCTCAAAAGTCATTTCCACCCTTACAATATAAAATGTCATATTTGCATTCATTGTATTGTGACACGAACAGCTTACTGTGAGCTTCATTTTCATCATTGAGATTTTGCTGTTAAAGCTTGAGCATCCTGGGTGATCATATTGAAACAACTTGCAATCAAATTAAGATTCATCTAACACAAAATACGATTCAAAACCGAATAAAATTAATATAAATATTCTTTCCTGTTGCTACAGCGCTTTTTAAACTAATTAGTTAAAAAATATGCTTACTATGGCAAATTTGCTTATTTTGTGGGTTTTTCCTCCCCCTACCCCCACCTGAAAATGAGTTTCTGCCTTTGAACATACATTAAGTGATTTTGGCTTTTGCTATGCATTACTAGAAGTACCTTTCGTTTCAATATTTCTGCGCAGCGCTTCTCCCATCAACTTTATCCGAAAAAAACTGGAGTGAATTGAATTGCATGATTGGCGGGAAAGGCGGGCATTGGACAAAACGCTATTCTGTGACAAGGCTGTTGTCCGAAAAGTCACAGATAAAAGACACCAATAAATGGTCCAGGGAGAGAGTGCTTGCTTGTATTAATATGACGGAGGCTCCGTCCAAAAGTTTTCACGGACACTGGTTGCAGTGAAGCTTGAGTTGAGTGAGGCTAAGTACGGCCTATTATTGAAATTCTTCAAGGCCTAAGCATGAGTTCAGGTATATCTTTTTTAGATTTTCCTCTACGTACAGAGGAACTCAAATTAAGATTTGTAATTAGAATTACAAAATAAAAAGCAGAAAAATTGTAATTATATGTGTTGTTTTATGAACATTTTGTGTTAGACGAAACATCTTGCTAGAATGACTATTGGTGCACGCTGTTTAACACGATGTATTTGTTGACATAGCAGTTGAAATATAATTGAGTTTTGTTCTTTCTTTTGATTTTACCATTAAATTGCTGAGTCATGTTCATATAGATGTTGGGTCAATTTAAACATCTCAGCCGGAAACCTACCAATTTTAGATTCTGGCATGCAGCACAATACTGTTCTTGTGCATGCACCAGCCATACTCTGAAGACTTGTACTCGCCCAAGTTTTATGTTGCAATATTTATTGGAAGTAAGTTGGTATAGACAGTTGTTTTTTAAAACTATCTTTGTTCATTTTACTGGTTGTCTGTCCACTGCAACAAGCTGGAGCGATGACACTATATTGATTTCCTTTTTTGCAACAAAAACTAGCAAGTTTTGTAACCCTAAGTCCTAAAGTCTTAATCTTTTAACCGTGCATAAAAGTTTTCTGCAAGCATAAACCCTTCCCTGACTTGGATGCTCTTTGGTTTTATAGACTAAGGAGCAAAGTTATAAGGCATATTATAACTTCTTGTGTGTTTTTAAAGCAAAGGAAACAAACAAAAGTTATATCATAGCAACAGGACCCTATTTCAAATAATATTCTTGCAAGTAAAGTGTCTTTGAACCATCCAGGTAATCCCCTATAATAGCACTAAGGTATTTGAAACAATTAAAATGATGTTGAAACATACAATATATCCTTTATGTAAGCATATCACATAATGCTTTGACTTTATCTAGCATGGTAAGAATTATGTAAAAACTTATTTGAATGAAATTTGACATTTGTTGGAATGGAACACACTGAAGTACTGCTTTGATGTACTCAAGATTTTTGACCCTTTTTACCAAAATCTCTGAATATATTATTTTGAGAAACAACCCCTTTTTTGAAAATCTATGTCCCAGATGTGTGTCAAATTTATGACCCTTTCACAGAGATTTTTGGAACTCACGTGGTGTATAGGGTCATATGGAATTGAACCCACCGGGCTGAATCGATGAAGATGTTTGGTTGGTCTGTGAAAATTAGATCTATGCATGACTTAGACTCACCAATCATATGTGTTGGCTCCTTAATCAGTTGATTAAAACCAAAGTCGGAAATTACAGGTTCAAATCGTTTCCCTTCTTCGTTTTCATTTTCATCTTTCCACCACTGGGAGGAGCGACAGTTGAAGTCCCCTGATATGATTACAGCGTAAGGATTTACGACAGCTATTTTGGACAACATAAGCTCGAAATTGTTCATGAAACTTTCAAATCTTTTTTAGTCTGACTAGGACTCCTATAGATGATAGCAAAAAAGTATTTCTTACTATTGATTTGGATTTCACAAACAACACATTCTGGAAGCGTGACAAGGTCAGAGTGCTCTTTTTTGGAAAAGTCTCTCTGACATGGAGCCAACACCACCGCTTTTGATATCTAACGGATGATTCTGCTTGATGAAAGAATATCCATTCAGTGCTAGCTTACCTCATCAATGCTACTATCAAGGTGAGTTTCCATCACATCTAATAAATCATAATCATATACAGAATTGTATGCCTCGATGAGCAACACTCGAAGAAAATCTTAATGCTGTTATAGTGTTTAAAATCCAGCACCAAAAATATAGGGTCTCCGGGCCTGGATTTAGTTACATGTCGTCGCTTCGTAAAATCATTCTTGGATCACCCATAATGGCTAGATCAGGTGAATTATATCAGAAACAGCATACCATTGAGTCAGGCTTTCGTCGGAAAGGCGTGCGATCGCACGTGCACGCCTACTACTTTCGAGGAGTGCAAAATATCGCATGCCTTCTTTTATTCTGAGTGCGAAATTCTCTATCAATTATTGGTTTTGTTGGTTTTTGAGACGGTTTAAATGTAAATCTTTCCTTTGTACTATTATTTCATGCCATTTCAAAAAGGCTTAACACCTTGTCAGGCACTCGTGATCGCGTCAGTACTCCCGCAAACCCAACCACGCGAGTGTTTGATCGCTCGTGCAAAATGGTAAATTGTATCTTTTGTGAACCAAGCAAGTGACATAGACAATACAAAGCTGGTATATCAAAACACAGGAAATATAAGTAAGCTGACTTAACTACATCTCAATGAAAAAATGCATTTCCAAATCAATTCTACCGTAAATGTTTAGGAATACTTTGGGTACTTGGTATTTGAACTACAATAGCACTTGGAATATTTTCTGGGCAGTTAAAGCATTTTTGAAAAAGTATGGAACAACATTTTTCGATCATCCGTAAAGAACGTCTTTATGACCTTCGTGATGTACATAAATTTTAAATGAAGCACACTTAAAAAGTGGGTTTAGTCTTTCCCTGGAGTGCATTAAGGTCATCGTAGCAGTCCTTTTTCATTTGGTGTTACCTCAAACAAAGGGTACCTTATAACAGGATCAATTTGTTCAGTATCAGAGCGATCGCTCGCGCAAGAGAAATCACGCGAGCGAAGGGCCACTCGCGTGGGCTATTTCTCACGAAAAGGCCGCATTGCGAATTAAAAAGAAAATTTTGAAATAATCATAGGACTAATCTTCAGTAGAATCCCGATAATATAAAACCCGGCTATAACATTAAAATATTATTATTTTCATCGGTAAAACAGACATTGGCAAATATGCACTTTTTATGATGCAAAAAATGGAAAAGAGATTTGTGCAAAAGTTAACACCTTTACAAGGCTTTATTGCATTTCAGTGAACAAATTCAAACACAGAAGACTATAACAGACATTTTTGTCTCCGAATTTTACAAGGAACATTAAGTGTTGTTAACAAGATTTTCATTTTTGATTGCTAATTTAGCAAAAGTAGCAGACTTGCCAATTATGTGAGAAAAAGTAGCAGATTTGCGGATTTTGCTACCCATATACAGCCCCCTCTTCAGACTTTGCTTTGCTTAAAATCTAGATTTTGGCAACATTTAAATTAATGAAAAATGCCCCATCATTATCTTTTATGCATTATCTTTATGGATTATCGACATCTGGCCAGTGAGGTACATAAAATAGCTGTGATGCTTGATAACCGAGGGCCCTTGGGGCATGGATTTACACGCAAAAATGGTTAATACAACCAGATGAACGCCAAGCCCCAAATGACTCTGCTAAGGGTATATTATCGACGCTGATGAAAACTATGTAGAAACTTGCTCAAGTCTTCAAAAATAACATGTTTTTGTGTTAAAATGTTAATAGTGATACTAAGGATTCAGCGAAATAAATTTCATCAAAATTATTGGTGTCATAATTGTTGTGTTGGCAATTTCTGCGTAGATCTATTATGATAACCATAAACTTTTGCGAAAAAATTTCACACGCCATCACACGCCTGGGTGTTTAGCACGCCTGCCATATTTCCCCACGAAAGCCTGTGAGTGTAGGCTAGGAAAGAATCGCTCAGCGATCGGTACCTTAAGCGAAGAACACGATAAGAAGTAGAAGAAATCCTTTAAGAATTTCGAAAATTGTATATAGGATGATCCTAGTGTATGCATACATCAACAAGAAAAGCGAAAGTAAATTGAACTGAGGGTAGATGGAATGGACAGCAAGGTAAATATAAAATACAGATAAAGAAGAAACAGAAACTGTAAAGCCTAACAATTTGCCAAGCCATCGAGAGATAACCGAATGCAATTGGAAATCTTTCACGTCTGTAAAGCGAAGTACGGAACTCCCTTTTGCCGCGCGCCACTGGTTTACATCAACGTGCATCACCATTTGGGAAACCCCTCGCTAGTGTCATTACAATACCGACACAAAAGAAGAATAGAACATTGCCATTCTCGATGCAAGACCCCTGTACTTGTGCAACAGACCAAATAAAAAACAATATCGCTAAAAAATCAAAGACAAAAACAAATAGTAATACACGTAAAGATACTTTGGTATCGGCGTTTATACTAGAAATTTAGAAAGTTCAACATAAAAGCATGTGATTCTACGGTAAAGCTATATAGATTTAAAAACACTAGTCACAACAGAAAGCTATCAAGGTAATACTACGTAATATTTTGACTGTTACTAAAGGGTAACCTGAAGCGAAAACACCTGCAGTGGAAGTTTCCAGAAATCTCTAAAGAGCGAAAACAAAAATTCCATACTAGCAAAACACAGATGCCTAACGTGCATTAGAAATGTAAACACAAAGGATGCTTATCCAAAACATTCACTGAAGCTAAAAAAACTGTATCGCAAAAAACCCACCAGTCACATACCCTTTACGAAGGCTGTAGGAACCTCTGAACATTTGCAATTAAGAGTTCAAGTCTTAACGCAGGAGTCTAGATTGATTAATACGTTCAAGTAATTCTGGCTCAGTAGAGAAGTAGCAATACTCATGATTTAGCTTTAAACATAGCCTGAAGTTAATGTCAGCAAAGGCAGTTAATGTGAGCAACTGATCCGTTTACGTGTCAAATCAAGTCGTATTTTGAATTTTTTGGCGGCTTTTCTTGGTTTGCATACTTGCGTGCGGTGACGCCAAGTTGCAAAACGAACGATAATTTGACGGTATCTTTTGCCGGTGACCGGATCTTCTATCACAGGGCCATTACGGTGAGCTCGGTCTATCGACATTTCAGGGATCGTTTTTCAAGATGTCTTTTATCTTCTCGAAAAATTCCTGGCCTGGTTCTCCATCATTTCCCTCACTCCGTTCAACACAATTAATTCGTAAGCACAGCCTCCTGTGATATTTCTCATTGTCCCCAACTTAACTGTTTCTCAGCTTAAGTTTCTCTACCATTATTTTCAGACGCTCCTTTTTCTAAACCTACGATGCACTGTTCGTACTTCTCCATAAGAACAACTTTGGCCTCTAGCATTGTGATCTTCAATCGCTGTTGATTAAAAATATTTTTTAAATCACTGACATCATCTTTAGTAGCTAAACTAGCCAATTTGCTGACGAGGATTTCTGAAATTGCCTTAAGCATTTGGTGGTTGGATTGCTCTACCGGATCCTTCAATTCCTTGGCATGGCCTAAACGCTCTTCGGCACAGCGTGCATGTTTCTCGCTAAACTGCGCTTTTCTTGACATTTTCCCTGCTCGGTGGGTTAGCATTTCCACTCAGTCATTCCAACCCTATATGACATTCCCTTTTTGTTTTTGAAGTATATCAAGTGCCACTTTCCCCACTGCAGTCCGGGTTTCACAGAGCTGCGAGTAGCACGTCATCCTATCCGAGACATGTCCGAAACAGGTTGTACGGTTCTGAAAGCAGTAAGAGGGTAGAGTATTCCAAAGTCTACAAGATCTAGGTAGGAAGGAGGAGTTGTGGGAGAGAGCTCTTAAGTTTGGCAAATGATACTTGAAAAGGGTGAGCACTGAATGAGTGTCTGGCATTGCGTACATGTCCCAGGGGACCTGAGATCTTATTTCTGATCTCCTGAGAGCAATGGCCATGCTCTTAGTCTGTCGGATGCAAGACAGCTGTTTGCTTGAGGTGAAGCAAGAAGAACAACTAACATTAATATCATTGTTAATTAATATGCAACCTTCGATCTTGCAAATAAGAAATGATTGTTTGAGCAAAAGATAAAAATTTTTATAAACAGTTAACAAAATTTTGCTAAATATTCAAATTGTAACAGCTATTACAAGAACAAAAAGATTTGGGAATATTGCTATTTCAACTTAACATTTAAATTACGTAAACATTTCAATATTCGATTTCAAACATGACAACAAACAGACAAAGCAGAACAAAACTTAAGGGTTGCTAACCAATCAATGATTATTGACAGGAAAAATATCTTATTTTAGCAAATTACAAAGTATTTTAGCATATCCTAGCATTTGATTATGAAGTTGTTAACTTCAATTAAATTTTGATTGAGGCTAATATGTAGGAGGGTTGATATCTGCATCTAAAAAAAAATAAAGAGGAAATGATGCCATGAAAAGCACAATACTTCAATCATTTAACAACTTGTTGTCTCTCGAATGTCTGGTCTTATTTCGTTACGATGAAAATATTCCATTTCAAACGTGATCGGAGGTAGCATTAGTGTCGTTACTTTGTAACTGGACAGACTAAAACGTCACAGGTTTCTGCTATGTTTGATCATCAGCAACAAAATTCTTACAGCACATTTGCTTTATAGATCTCATAAGAGACAGAAGGTCCAGTATTTTCTTAACCTGTGAGTTCACCTTAACAACAATGAATTCTTCAACTGTATCTGAATCAAAGTGGAAGGATAAACATTCTTGTAAAGGACTCCTAATGCCCTCGTAAATCTGAAGTGCAGAGTTCAGCATCGTGCAGGCAAATTCTATGTGACAAATATTGACATCCTTTTTAACTTCAATATGCCATGTGTCCATCCAAGACTCTTTTCTTTCCTCTGCCATCTTTAAATGATGCTTTGCGTGCTCCAGGTGCGTAACATAAGTAATTATTTCAGAGCCTGAAATTAAAAAAGGAGAATCAAACCACTTTGATAAAAGGCCCATGCATTTATCGGTCCTGGCATCCTGTCAGAAAATTTTATCCTGTATTCTTTGAATTATCATGTTTTCAAGGATCTAGTATCAAAATGCCCCTCACATCAGAGATATCTGCCACCTTGTCAGGTGGCCCTGCCAAAAAAGAGCTTTGAAAATATCTTGCAACCTATGCCAAAAATAAGAAAGTCTGGTTTGCTGGTGGAGGGTAGAAAATTCTCAACAGACCAACTATCTCCGGATATAATTCAACGGTGTCACAAGGGAGTCATGCATCCTCAACTCAAAAAAAGAATCATTTCTTCAATAGTTCAACAGGTGACTGACTGATAAGGGAACATTCGTTGAAGGCAACAAAGAGAATATTTTCCGACCAGGACTGTAAAAAACGAGCCAACAGGCAAAAGAATTAATTTAACTTTGCAATTCACAGGTTATGATTTGTTCATAAACAACATTTATTAGCAAATTTAGAAGGTGCCTAGACAGAATGATGAGCTGTTTCTGGGACAACAATAAGGCACAGTCTTCTTTTAGGCATTTTGAAATCCGTCTAGGTAAGAGCAAGTGATTCGATGCAGTGCAGATAGAAAAGACATATTCTCCTTAAGATGCTCGAATCAAATCAGAATATAGAAAATTCTGATTGATCAGTGGGCAGAAAGTCAAGTGCGGCTTCTTTAGCATTTTGATCTGCATTGAATTTTCCTACATGTTATCTCTACACGAGAACTTGAGCATAAATGAAAGCTTAGGGTAAACTGAGCCAGCCCTCTTTTGTAAGGTGCAATTTATTGGACGCTACTGGTCTTGATCTACTAGCTGTATTCTTGAACACAACAGTGCATAAGAGATAAGAAAGGGACTTGCTTTACCTGAAATGTTTAAAAAATCCAGAGGAGAAACACAACATACCTGGAAAATTTCCACAGTTGCTATCCAGTTGCATGAATGGCTTATACTCAAGTTGAAAACATTGCAAGTATCCAAGATTTCTTGAAACCTTTTCGTGAATACTCTTATTAAAGAGGCCCTCTTTTAGAACAGCTAGACACATTGCAAGGCATGGCAAGGCAGCTGGCAAGAGCTCACACAGAGTAGCATAGTGGTCGTATCGAGACCATCCAGTGACCATAATAGCCTTGACTTTCTTTTTGGTTTCTTTAGGCAGCTGGTTTATCAGTGACAGCCATGAAAGATGATTATTTATATAATGTGGCATTGGTGTCCAGTCACATGAAGGTCCTGAAAAATTAAAAATTACTGAGAGTGGGTAAATGACACCAGGGTGTACCAATCAGGGATGTAGTACTATAAAAATAATGAAAGGGCTCTTGCACAAAATGCCTGAGACTACAAAACCAACAGGTAATGCTGAAGCTCAAAATATATACAAACCAGCAGATCCTTTAAAAGAGCTTGCAATCCAAATCTCTTCAAAAGCTTCCCCAAATCGCTCAAACATACCATTGGGAAATACATCATTCAGATTGCCAACATATGACCAAACAACAGGGATAACTATGCTGCCATTCCCTGAAAGCTCTTCCAACTCACAAATTGAAAATTCTCTAAACATGTCATCCCAAATCAGAATCTGCAAAGCAGGCCATTTCGTGCTGATATAATTGATGATGCTTATCATGTGGTTTGTATACAGTCTTTCCTTTGATATTGTTTTACATGCTTCCACACAAGCTTTGCACTGACAGAAGCAAAACACCTAAGAAAGGTGACAGAATTTCAGTGAGTCTAAAAAAAATATTACAAAATAGAAACTAATGAAAATAATAAGTGTGAAGATCTTATTTCATTGGTAAATTCCTCTAAATCAAGTAACTAAAAAACAAGTAACTTAAACTAAAAAACAACTAAGCATTAAAAAAAGTAAATCAAATTTTGGAAAACATCACAAAACATTATAAAAGAGCACAAAACATGCTGGCCAAATGAATAAAGCAGATGATGTCCTGTGTTGGTGCTTTATTTGTTTGGCCAGTGCTTTATATGAGCAATGCAAAATGTGACAGATATTTGAATGAAGATTCAAAGGCAAAAAAGAAAACAGTGAAAAATATTAGGATAACATAGGGAACTATAAAGGGATATTCCCATTAGTAGGGCTATCTAATACAAGAAGTATCACATTATCACACATGGCTTTCGTTTCATCACATTATTTTTGTGTTATATTTTAAGCATGTGGTATTCTCACTTTCTGCTAAAAATCCAACCTTTTACCCTTGATCCCAAGATGTGTGTTTTTTATTTTTAATACAGCCTTTCATTTTTAATAACAAATTTTCTCAAAGAAATTTACTTTCTAATTGCATAGTAATTGAAATATAATGCCTGACAAATTTTCAATTAATTGTTGCAAATGCATCTTGTTCTACGGGCAAATGTGCAACGCCAAAGTTTGCCTTGTTCTGAAAATGGGTGCAATTAAAGTGCCCTAAATTTGCTGTGCTTCCTCCTTTTGCGGGTGCGCTCGGATCCCTAAAACTAAGTGTTGAATAGCCACACCCCCTTAATTTAAAAGAATGTCTGCGATGTCTGAAAATATTTTACGGATTTTCTGACCTCATCTCCACCTATGTGAAGGTATTTGAGATCTTCATGCTCTGCCATGATTTGATCAATCAAAGATTTGATGAGTGGAAGCGAATCTTCATTCTTAGGGCAAATAGACATAGGGTTTTCTTTCAACTCTCGCAAATGTGCGCACTCCTTGTGTTTCAGCACGTATTCCATGTGACCAAAAGTCTGTATAAGAGGTATAAACTCCATTCCTTCTGTTTTTGAAACATCTTGCAGCGATTTTATATCTTCGGAGGAATAACACTGCTCTTTTGCAATGTAACTCAGTTCATCTTTGAAAGGAAATGTGTCCTCATATTCAACCAAAATGCCAGTTGCACCCCACTGTCTCATTAAAGGAATAATCCGAAGAAGGTATTGCATTTTTGGTGGTGCTCCTTTCAAGTCTAAATGGACAATTCTTTGTTTTATTTGTTTTTCGTGTTTGTTCATTTTGATAATTGATTTGGAAAATTCCTTTAAACCAAAACAGTACATCCGTGCTCTATGCATGAAACAAAAAATTGTTTGTGTACATGTCGGCTGTTACCTCTCTCTGATGAAACATAGCCTCGTTTCACCACTTCCAGTGGAAGTAAAGACGTTTTTCGAACGCATCACACCCATTCGATGGTCGCACCACCCCCCAATAATCCTACATCCCCAATGATCGCACCATTTCATTTCATTATCGTTTCATTTAAGAGAAACAATAATATATGCAAAGAAAAAACCAAACCGCAATTTTTTTCTTAATAAACAGTACCTACCCGTGATATTGAATTTTGTAACGATAAATAACTGATGCCAAAATGAGGAAATGGGTCAGTGCGAACCAGAGATGCACCGATGGGGTGGGGTAAGGGGGAGAGCGAAAAGCGAAATAGTGAAAAGAGCACTGCTGCAAAGGTTTTAGCAGAGACCATCCTTTGTGACCGGTATTCACGCTAGTAATCATCTAAATAAGCTTTTTTAAATAATGCATCAGCACTCGAAAGATCTTTCATGTTGAATCTACTGTCACTTACAGGTCCAAATTTTAAAAGACAGAGGCGCTCTGAAAAGATCAGGACAATGAGCTATATTTCATAAAAATCAAACAACTAAACGAGAAGAAAGAAAGACTTCAAAAAGGCAGCAAAATGAATTGACAAAAAATTTGTTCATCACTATCACGAAAATCAACAAGGAGATAATCTCAAACTTTGGATTAACTGAAACATTACAGGAAGATTTCAATGTTATGATACATGCCAGGAACTACAATCCAAATCAGCCAGATAATACAGCATAAGGCAATATTTGTTTGAAATGAAGACTGAGAAGAGGTTGGATTTTTTGTGTGATGACCCACAAACCCATGTCCCACCAACCTCTGCTGTCTTTGGAAAACTGTTGTAAAAAGCTTTCTTTTTTCCTTCACCTTAATCAAAACCTTTTCATTTGAGACCATATCTGTCCATAGTATTTTGCACATCCTTCGATGAAACCACATCTCTGTTGCTTCCAGCCTATTCTTCATTTCCTTATTGACTGTCCAAGCCTCACTTCCATACAATAAAATTGGCCAGATTAGCATTTCATAAATCGCATTCGCGTTTCAATTGACAACTTGTTATTAACAAAGACTGCTCTTTTCTCCATAAACTTTTTCTTCGCAATTGCAATTCTTTTCCTAATCTTCTCGCATCTACCATCACTTGCCAGAATGATTCCTAAATAGTCAAGCTCTTGAACCTGTTCAATTATTTCAATGTACACAGGTCACAGTTAAGGTCACATGTTGGATTTGTTTTACTCTTGCTAAAAACATAACTTTTGTTTTATATTTATTAACAATTGGGCGTCTAGCTTCGCTCTCTATCTTTAATGATGTTAACATTTCTTGGAGAGTTCCCATGTCGTCTGAAGCCTTGGCCAAGCGATTTGGTTTTTACGCTCGATCTTTCTCTTGACATTTGGTCTCGAGCGGAGTCGAGCATGGATGGCCAAACAATTCGATTTTTTGCTCGATTTTTCATTCGACTCTGCACTCACGCCAACAACAAAATGAAGGCAAAGAAACGCAAAGCGGCTGCCGTGCTTATCTTACATGCAAATGTCCTCTAGCGTCATAAAACCCTGGTCGTTCGTTTCATACAGTAACCGTCACTTCATTTTTTTATTTTTTCTAAGCAAATTACTACTTTTAGGCATACTTTTGTTTCGTTTGATTAACTCCATTCTTGAAATGGAACTCATCACTTTAAAAGATCTCCTGGGCCTAGAGGCCACAGGGTAGTATGCTTCCCTGCCCCCTTTTGGCCACCCCGCTCTCGAATATATTAGCTCATTTAATTAATAAAAATAACTAAGAGATGATAACTGCACACGCGCTCACTCGAATCACTCGACAAGGTTGCCAAACCATTGACCATGTCTGAGATAAGGACTGCATATCTTACATCGGAAATACCTTGACCATTTACTTTAAACTTTCCTTCTATAATCATTCTTCTCATGATGAGTTCTACATATAGCGAAAGCAAGTCGGGAGATGAAACATATCCTTGCCGAACGCCTCGCCTGATTATTGCACAGCTACTCAACTTGCCATTTAATGAGGTGGCTGCAAGCTGTTCCCAATACAAGTTGATTTTAAAAGCCTTCTGTCTTTTTCATCAATTTCCTGTTGTTTCAGAACTATTATTATTTCCTCATGCTTCACTCTATCCAATACTTTCTCGTAATTTGTAAACACTACATGCAAGTTTTTCTGCACTGAAATTGTTCTTCCTGCCAGTGTTCTCATAACAAAAATAGCGTTTCTTAAACCAAGTTGTGTCTATGATACTTCAGTATGAATTTTCTTTCGAATTTTGTTCATAACAACACGCAGCCTAACCTTTGTTATATAATTCATTCAACTAATTAGTCTGTAGTTACTGTAGATTAAAGGCAGTCTGTCCCCTATACACCTTTTCAACTAAAAGCGTCAAAGGGAACTGGGTCGAGATTTAGGGTTAAAGACCGCGCGTGTTCTGTTGTGATTCCTTGGGTTTATGCTTTGTGAAAGACCAAAGTTTGATTCGTTTGCCTGAATTAAATAGATCTGCAGTCAAAGTTTTCAAGCTACTTTGTTACTTTCGACATCGCTCTTGAAAAAGAGAATGCTTAAGTATTGAGGCCTGGACTTGAGCGATGGACTTGTCGAAGATTTCAAGTATGAAGAGTTGACCGAATTTCTGCGACTACGAGGATTGCATGTAAATGGAAGGAAATAAGTGGCTGTTGTATACTAGGTAACTCTCTCCAGGAGTCCAGGGAGTTTTCTTGACAGATTGTCTATTCATTTTGCGAATTTACACTGCTCACTTGTCCGAATTTAACAAAGTACTTGGAAATCTGTGCAGTGTAAAAGGGGGGAGGGCAGTAGCAAGCGGCGTGAATTTTTCCAACATGAATTGTACAGGGTTCCTTTTCTCCATTTCTTCAATTTGTTGTTGCTGTTAGTGAAATTGAATACGGCACAGTTTCCATTCACCATACCTTCTTAGTAAACTTTTGTGCTAAATGACAGCAAAAGGCAGACAACAACGTCAGCTTCTGAGGTTGAATCCTTCGATTAGCTTTTGAAAGAGCTTCTTTTTTAATGAACTGCCAAAGATTCGAATAAATACAACCAAGCGAAGCACAATTTTGCTTGTTCGCAAAACACAGACCTAAGGAATCACAATACAACACGTACGGTCTTTCACCCCAAATCTCGATCCAGTTCCCTTTGGCGCGCTTAGTTGAAAAGGTGTGCTCAATTTTTGTTTTCATGGGAGTGAAATTCACGCACCGTCGAGCTTGAACGATAATTAAACGATTTAAAGCAATCAGAGGCAACTTTGATTCTAGAGCTTTTTAATATTTTTTTACCTGTCCGTTCAGCCGATGATATTTCTGGTGTATTCTCAGGTTTGTTATCATTGAATAATTTGCCAATATATTCTACCCATCAATTTAAAGTTTGTTCTTTCTCAAAAAGTACTTTTCCATCTTTATTTTTGATTGCAGTATTTTCGCTTATTCTCTTTGGTTTTGTCATTTGCATAATCCTGCTATACACAAGATCTTCCAGTTCTTCACTTTGTTTGTTAATCAATTCTTCTTGGCCTTGGTACATTTTGATTTGATAAGTTTTCCTACTTTCTTGTATTTGGTTGGCTTGTTTTTAAGTTTATCCACTCGTCTCTCATTCGTTAGGATACGTATTTCGGGAGTCATCCATGGTTGTTCTGCTTGCCTTTTTCTTTTTTGGTAGCACTTGCTTTGTAGCTGCCTGAAATGTGTTTTCCAGGTGTTGCCATTTACCGCATTGGTCTACACTTTCTTCAATGTTCAATTTACTGTATCTATTAGTAACTTCGATTTTAGATTGTTTTGAAATTTCACTGTTTGTTGAAAGCAATTTAATGTCGTGTTTTGGTTCCACTTTTGCTTTGGTTTTCTCTTTTAGTCAAGACAAGACATGACAAGACACTAACCACTTTTAATTTCGTAAATGCTTGTTTCCATTTCTCTGTAAGGTTTTTACAAATTGAGCACCAAGTTGGTTACTGGTGGCTAATTTCTCGCCAATTTGATCAAAGCATTGATCGGGGCTCTCTGCTTTGTCTAATGCCATCAGTTTAGAATCCTTCTATCTCTCCTCTGATTGGTTGTATTTTATGCACTTTCATTTTTCTAAATATTTCCTAGAAGAGTCTACCAAGGTTAACATTTACAAACCAGTCCTTGAACAGCTTCTTTCTAAGACTCATTTCCATTCTAGTAGCATCTCAGCCATATGTCAAAGGACTTTTTCAAATCCACATTTAAGTGCCTTTAGTCTTTTTAACGAGTTTCTTTCATCTAGATTATTTAAATTTCTTTCGGGTATGGGTTTGGTTTTAACTTTTAAGAGAATCATTTAAAGGGCATGCCAGATGATGTTAAAATATAACTACCAGTATTCTTTACCTCTCATCATAGTCAATTGCAACTCATGTCTGAATGTTGGATCTTACAAACAATTAGGTCAAAAGTAGTGGATGACTTGTATTTTGTTTTTGCTGGATCTTTTATTAAATTTTCCATGCTTAGTGGAATTAAGGATATAAATATTTTCCAAGCTTGTGTCTTTCCTCTTAAATTCAGATAGCGACGCCATGCAGGGGATGAAACACTCAGCCTATTAAAACCTATAAGATGAGCTAGCTACATCTATCTAGACCTGTTTAGTATCGGAAATATTTATCTAAGTCTTCTTTTTAAAAAGAAGTTAAAGTATCTGAGGAGTATATAAGGCAGTCATCTTCGGGCGCTATCTGCAACCCTGTCTTCCTTGCCATACAACGTTCATCTTTACTAGCAGGGTTATGCCAAGTAATTTTACCAGTTTTATATCATTAATTAAAGCTTTGTTTTGACACCATCATTCATATTCTGACTATTTTCCTTCTAAATGATTGAGTGGTGTTGTTTACTGGTAAGGCCTTTTTCTCAGCTCACCTGGAACTGACAGTGTGTTTAATAGGCAATTTCATAAACGCTAAGCAATGTTTGTGATGGCACAAAAGGTCAAAGGTATCGCTTGAAATTTCAAAATGATTTTTAAAACTATCTTGGAATCTAGTTGGAGCAGGACCCTTTTGAACATCGCCTGATACCGATTTTTCATATCAGCCATTGGTTCAACACAAACAGATCAAAGATGCAGTCTACTTTGCCTTTAGATATCATTTCCTTTTGCGGTAAGTGTACCATAAACAAATGCTTTCGTTACTCTACCAAAACGTTGATAGAATAACATAAAACTAATTTTAGTAGTAATGCTAGAAGATACTTATACATTCATTTTAAGGCAAACCTAAAATGATAGAACTAAGCTCTATCTAAGGTAATTGGAGGGACAAAATCAAAGGTCCCGCAAGCGTTTGTTTCAGGGCCATTGCTCTTTATCATTTTCGTGAACGGAGCTGTTCTATTTCTTGACAAATTGGAATTGTATAAAAATGCTGTTAAGAACAAAATATCAACAAAACGATGAAATTGAAACAATTACTCTCTATGAATCGAAATTTAGCACACTATGGCTTGAAAATAATTGCATGCCTATTAATGAAGAAGAATGCAAATTAATGGCTAAGAGCCCACATAGGATGAAATGCTGAGTTAATGAAATTGACTTGGGAAATGCAAAATCAAAGAGAAAGAAATTAACTTGAGTAGTGCTCGAAAATCATCTCAGGTAAGTGTCCTTGTCAAAAAGGCATATTGTTTGAACGAAAAAAAGAGAAAATTACTTCTGCAAGCATTTATCAAGGTTTTCTAAATGGACTCTTTCGATTTAATTAATCATTTTACAAACAGGAAAATAGAACTGTTTCTACTCAAAGATAAAATTCAGTAAGTATGGAATAGAAATTGGAGTTTCATTTCCGTGGAAGTACGAAATGAAAAAAACGTAGAAACAAAGCAAATTTCAATACTCTTGCCAAATACACATTCAGTATGTCGCAAATCTAGTATTCATTACCAGGGACGGATACATAATAAAAGTTGACGGTCGCACAAACTACTGAGCAAGCAGTTTAAGGGGCCTCACTCGTAGTCAAGGGCGGAAACATGATGGGGGTCCAGCCCCCGGAAACCAGAGCAACTATGTTCAATTTTAGGGGTCACACACAAATGACGTCCTCGCAGAAAGAGGGTTTATGGTTTCGGTCATGGAAGATGACACTTTGAGAGGGGGAGGGGAGGGGATCATCTCTTCCAAGGAAAATTGTATTGAGCTATATTTATCAGGACTCAGACTCAGGTTGCTATTTACTTACAGGAAGTGTTAGTACGTAGCAACAGGTTTACTCTTGGTAGCAGACTCGCTTTATAGAGTTACTCTGGGTACTTTCAACAGGTTTATCTCCAGCAGAATATGAAGGCACAAAAAAACTGATCTTAATCATAATCAAAACTGCTTTATGACCCCTCACGACTGCTACCCCGATGATCCTATCATAACTTTTCATTGCCCATACATTCCTTATATTTATGTAAAAATTGCCATCTGTCAAAAACACTCATCAGGAAGTTGGAGGTTGACAGTATAGCAGTATTTGCCTTTCCCTCTGTCGGTAATTCGGCAATCTTCCACAAATTGGGCGGTATTTCGGTAATGAAAAATTTGGCAATGGTTTTTAGTGAATTCAATGCGCAGTGTGTGGTATTGGCTTTTTTATTCTCTCTATTCCAAAAGGCAATATTCTTGCTTGAAAGATTATCAAGATGCAACTGCAAGTATGCATTATTTACATTCAGATTATTTTTAAATACTTTTTTCCTCTTTATTTAATCTAAGATGGCTAATATATAGCCAGATTCGCTTTAGTGACCCATTCATCGTCTTCTCCGTATGTCATATACAACATAACTCGACTTGAGGTGGGGACACTAAGGACGGGTCCCCCATTTTTGTAAATGGTAACTTAATTTGAAATATCTACTAAGTAAGAATAAGTAACATTTTTCATGTCTGAACTCGCGTTAAGCTTTGGTAATACAGAATGTTTGTGGTATCTTCCTTGAATATGAAGAAACACCCAAGTTAGAATTTTGTTATAAAAAATTTGCTCGGAAGCCCTAAACCAATTTTTCTTCAAGGTGGTGCTGCTGCTAACTGCTCTTGTATTAGTAAAGCCATCAGCATAGCAGAACAGCACCTTTTTGACTTTCAGCTATTGGGCGTTAAAGGCGTCCTAACTACCTAAAAAAGGAACTAAAAAAATCTATTTTACGACAAAAATGCCACAAATCCATCTAGTTTTTACTTGCCAAAATCTGGGTAGAGTTTCCGATCTATGTTCTGGCGTTTTATGCTTTGAGGAGTGTCAGGCGAAAAAGTTTTAGTAACATGTTTAAAAATGCTTGCTTTTTCAAAGCAATTATTTTTGAATCTTCTTCTGTTTGGCAGTATTCCGTTCTGTGAGTTGGCATTAATCAACTGAGTATGTAATTAAGCTGAACTTGTATTTAACGTTAAGTAAAGCAAATGGAAGGGGGACTAAGACATGCAGTCATTTTGTTTTTAAAAAACTTTTACTTGAAGGATGATCAAATAATTTTCAAAACGTTTCACTAGTTTCAAAACTCTGACAGACCATAATTTGAACTGTTAGGTCACTAAACCTGCGGTTTTACATGGTTACTAATTAGTTGTTCTTGGGACCATTACATAATGTCATTAGCTCTTAAAACCCAGTTAATGACATTTACCGCCTGATATAGTTAGCAGCGCTTGATGGATTAAACTAAATAAGCAAAGCCTAGATTGCTCGTGGTTGTCCTGTTACAATTGGAGAGAAATATGTGCGTTGCGCGTGTCTTCATCGTTGCTGTATTCCTATGCCTCCAGTGGGAAGAATCACATGCAGAAAAATGCTTGTCAGGACCTTACCACCTGAATGCGTCGAGGCCAGGCGGATCAGGCTTTGCAACTTGCTTCAATTACAAAGACAATGCCTGCTGCAGCGATGAATTGACCAAAGTTGTCAAGAACAAACCTGAATCTCTTTACAATTTCACGTGGCATCATTGCAAAATGGTGTCCAAGGTTTGTAATACGATTGCCCAGATCAGCATTAACTCCGTGTTTTAGGACAAAAGAATAAGCAAAGGCAAATATATAATAAATTTGATTCCTAAGAAATTGCATAAAACAACCACCAACAAATATGGATCCGATCCAATATAGTACCCCCCTTCCCCACGGGAATGAAAGTTGAAAAGTTATGTCGGCCAGGGTAATTGAGAGGTCATTACCCTATTCGTTCCTGGAAAAATTTTTCCATATTAATTGTAGTCGAAAGTTTGTATAGTGGGTTCGGTTTGGGGCTGGAAAGGGCTCTCCTTCTTGATCACCCTGTAGCTTCCATTCAATTTTCTGGCATCAACTTTCGCTTGTTAGCAGGGCTGCCGAGAGGTTTTGGAGGCCCTGGGGCAAAAGGGAAATACGAGACTTTCCGGTTAAATCTTGCGTCCATGCCTTGCAGATTATTTTAAAATGGATTTCAGTATATTTTTTGCAGCCGTTTAAAGGTTCTATTACTTTTAGGCATACTTGCTTACATTCTTGAAATGGAACTCATTACATTACGTGGCACTTAAACTTTGAGGCCCTTGGGAAGTTCGCCCACCTTGCTCCTCGTTCGGCGGCCCTGTTGGTCAGTCGTTATATATCATATGTTGCTGTTAATTTGAGCCCTTCACAAGCTTTTCAATTTAGGTAAACTGAGTGTAAAAACCTGCTTTTTTCGAAGACCCAGGTTATTGAAAGTGGCTTCCAGGTCAACCAAACAATGTACAATAGACATGCATTTGAAAAAATAAAGCCACAAAACCTTATAAAGTTAAACGTAGACGCGAGTAGGTCATATCATGGGTCGGTAATTTAATTATTGAACTTGTATTTCTGCAGAACTTTGAAAAAGGGTTGTGTGCTGCAGCCCCACAGACCCTGCTCTGCTTTTCGAGGTTCTATTACAAACAATTTTAAAGAGAGTTTTAAGAAAAGGGCGTGGTCGAAAAATGCTGAACAAATGTTTCCCTTTATCTCCTCCGAGAGGCCACTTGCAGCACAGCCCTTAACTTTAGAGCATCTGAGATGTTTTCATGAGACAATTCTGATAATGATAGGTAATAACGATTAATAAACTGCATAATCTACTCAATTACTACCAGCGTTGCATCATATAATGTTTTCTTTCAGAGTTTTAGCTCTTGGCAAACATAAGAAAACTTCTAAGGCTGCTTCAAATAAACGTTTTTATTTTATAAGAAACTTCACAGAATACTTGTACATGAGCTTCTTAAATAATAACTGCATTTTGGTACAAAATGTTTGTTTGCGAGTACTTAAATACATTCCCCTGATTTGAGCTAATTAACCAGCCCAGTCGCTTTTTAAAGCTTCATTCAGTATTATTTGAATCAACAGTAAAGAAAGCCACAGCACTTGTTGCAGGAACCTATAGTACATATTGAAATAGCAAAACTGAGCTAGCAAATATGGTTTCCATTTCACGTGCGAATATTCACAAATAATATTGGTAAAGTTTTTCACAAGAGGTTTTACTTACTAGAGCTAGAGATAAACAGACACGAAATTTTCAGTTTAAAAAATCCTTATTAAACATCAAATGCTTGAAAACGCATCATAATAGCTTTTCTTCAGAAAAGATACTGCTCTTGAGTTTTGAAAATTGTGAATCTTCTATAAAATTTGTGTTAATGCTTTAGCTGTTTTTTCATGCAGTTAAAATGTTTTGTAGCTTTTATAGTTTTCAATACGACATGCATTCAGTCTTACTTTTTCATGAAATAAAGTTTATCCCTAAAATAGATACCATTTTTTACTAAGGAGCAAATCAATGTCACTCACGGAGCACAACCAAAATAAACAATCAGTGAAGTGTTTTCGAACAACTTTGTAGATTTCTAGCAGCAGTGATGACTCATTTCAAAGCATAACTGTTTTTGTCTAGTTTTCGAAATATTTTGCTTATTGTTTTATTCTTTCCTGATTTCGAGAATATAAAATTTGTGATAGTAAATTGTTATGCAATTTACTTTTACTTCGAATTAACAAGCAATGGCTTTTGTAGCTCTTGAGAATACGAGACGTTGATAACAGGTTTATAAAGAAAAACAATTTGCTTTTGTCTCGAGGTTCCATTCCGCAGAATAGCCTTCGTGCTCCATCTATGATAATACACATACTGGTTGAGGTGCTATTGCCACGGGGAACCTTACAAAAATAAAAAATAGCACATGCCTTGATTGTTCAAAGAAAGGATAATAGCAGCTATTGCAGATCGAAAAACCGAACCGCTGCAATTTTAAGTAGATAGCTTCAAATGATAATTCTTAATGTTGCGAAAATCACTTGTAAATTTTAGCGATTTGAGAAAAGTATTGGACCACAGAGCTACTAACCATAGCAATTTGTCTTTAAAGTAGCATCATTAGTATCATTGCTCTATCTATTACTTCAAAGTAATGATTTGGGAAAACTTTTACCTTTTGTAATCTGCGTTGCTACAAACTTGCATTTCTTATATCCTCTTGTTTTCGAATATCCACATTGAATCAAATGGGCTTCTATCTGTTGGAAGGCCTTAGATATCAATTTTCCACTTTGACAAGTCTACTAGATGCAGCTGATGAATTGTACAATAGTATCGATGATGGCTATATGAAAGGCTCGGATTCTATTGAGCCTAGACTGGCTAGTTTTGTAAGGTTGCAAGGAGCCTAACACAAGGAACGCTCAGCTGTGTTAATAATATGCATAAGGCACTTGAAGGTCCTGGGGAAAAATTATGTTGAAAATAAGAGATAATGATTCAGCCTTAGTTGAGAAGACAAAATATCTTGGTCTTTAAATTGACAATAGTTTTGATTGGAAAAGCACACGAAAAGCGTCCATTCCACGTTATCTAAAGGAATTGGTCTTTTAAAGCACGCAAAAAAATTTCTCCCTCGACATTCCCAGAATATTTCTACCGTAAGAACTGCATCTTATATGACAGATATTTGAGATTTACTTGAAGTGAAAAAATATCGAATCGTTTTAATGTTTTTTTAGCAATGCATGGAATACCTCGTCAATGAAGAGTGCTTCTACCAATGTGACCCGACACTTATCCGATATCAAAGAGCAGGGCGACCGGATGCTGTCCAAAGAGTACCAATTTGCTCCGGCTATTGCGACCAGTGGTTTGATGCATGCAAAAATGATATGACATGCGTCGAGAATTGGGAAACCGGCTTCGCAAAAATAGGGAGTCACTACGCATGCCCCAATACATCAAAATGTCTCACATTTGAAAAGGTAGCATCAATAGTATACAATTATTTTTGATGCTATTATCATGCATATTTCAATTCGTTTGCACCCAAAATGCAAAATGAGGTGCTTTACCGCAAAACATCATATATGATTGTTCCTACTCAAGTTTGTTTCCAATAACTGCTATAAATCCTTGAACTACTCTTCAAAGAATTATTTTAGAAATTTAACAGTTTTCGATTGTCAGGTACTAAATTATACCCCGTCTGCTCCAAAGGAATGTTCATTGAACTTTATATGTCAAATAGAATCGTAATGAGCGCATTAGAAGCCTGCTACAAAGTCTGCTAAAAGTGTATTTGTTGTTCAGCTAGCAAGTTTATCAGAGGCTTGAATTTTTAATCAAGCACCCCAGTAGGATAGCAAATGTCCGCACGTCTGAATAGGAGTAAATTGTAGTATCCAGCTTTACTTACAGTTTTAAAATTGCACGAAAGGATCCACAAAGTATTTGTTTAAAGGTTCATATTCATCTTCAAAGGTTTACAAAAATGGCGCGGGTCTTTGCAATAAGATGTGGGGCGTGTCCTTCTATTACCAAAATGCAAATCAGACCTGTTACCAAATGGATGGAGAAAAGCAAAAGGTGGGCAGCAATGGGTGTTGCATTCGAATTCTTTTGGCTTGCATGGCGACGTCGATATTGCTATCAATTTCGCTTGGGTTCTTTGGCAATTGAACTCCAAAGCTGATTCAGCTCTTTACAAGAATTTCAATAACTTATAGAAGTTTTGTATGGAGTTTAACTTTAGCTGTAGCTTTGTAGCTTGTCATGTATTTAGAATATGCTGATAAGTCGTTAAGAATGTGGAAAAACTGTTCTCAAGTCTCTTCAGTTGCACAGTCAAAACAATTTTTTGTACTCTACAGTTGCATTTGAGCGTTGCCCGAAATTGAAAGGACTTGTATCAAGTTCTTTTCATACATTCTGTTAGTCTTGTTCGAAAATAAGAGCAGTAATAAAAAATTGAATCAGCTCAGAAATTCTGGGTTTATGGGTTAGTCTGGTAACTTCTTATCCTAGTTAAAGACGCATGCTCAAAGAATTTACCCAATTATAACTTTCTAAATCCACAAAATGATCGAACTTTGAATGAATTATATAATAATAATAATATTTCTTTTTACATAATTCAACCCTTCAGCTACCCTAATACAATATCAATTAAGTATAAATACATTTGTTCAATTAAAAAAAGATATAATTTCAATCTAAAATGCTATTCTTCCAGGGAGTCGTGTTTAAATAGACGAATCTGTCAGCTCTTCAAGTACTCCTTTAGTTGTTTTTAAAGCGACAAATAGTCGGGAGTTCTCTTATATCAATTGGAACGTCGTTCCAGGCTTTTAGAGCAGAGTAGTTACAACCTCTTTTCACATGCTCTGTATTTGTTCTAGGACTATTCAGATCCATACAGTACCTTGTTGCAGAGTTTGATTGCGAGGATCTTTGCTGCAACTTATCCCTAAGGCTTTCTAGGCTTAATTTCTTCATAATCTTATACGTCATGACCGATCGATCGAATCGAATGAGATTTCCATTTTTTAGCTGTTTGATTGCATTCAGTATAAAAGCATCATCGATTGTTTTCAATTCCATTTCTTTTTGTACCTGGCTTGATGTTCTGAAGGCAATCGTCACCTGGCTTAGAAATAATTTTGTCAGCCAAATTTGAATCAACTGAAACAAAATGCTTGTTTAGTGCCTCTAGAATATCATTCTCTCGAGCTAGATGTTTACCATTCACTTCAACACTGGAAAGTTTTACTGAATGCTGATTTTTGTCAAGTACTTTGTTTATGGTATTCCACATTTTCTTTGGATTTTCTACATTTTCATTGATTAGGCCGTGATAATAATAATCTGTTATTACGCTGCGCATCTCTCTTGTTACTTGATTACGCAACCTTTTATAAGCAGACCACTTTTTAGGTGATTTCTCAGCTTCTTGTTTTAGTAAATCACTTTTCATCAATAGATTTTTGAGAGAAACAGAAAGCCAGGGAGCAAATTGACTACCAACCCTCTTCTTTCTTACTGGTGCATGAAGATTTAGGATTGATTCGAAAATCTCCTGAAACGTAGCTGCCATACCAACAGGATCATTAACAAGTGGACTAAAGATATTTGCCCAGTCAATCTGGTCTAGGTCCTTACGGAATAGCATTTTATCATATTTTTTCATGCTGCGAGACTCGACAACTTTTTGCTTATTTATTTTGCGCCGCCAAGCATTTATTTTCCGTATACCATAGATCAGATAGTGGTCAACCATCCCGGTCTTTACTACATCTGCCTCTAGAATATATTTTGGACAGGAGGGAGAAAAATGGTCAATGGGCCTCTTAGTTACGATTTGCTCGCCAGATTCAGTGGTTGTCATAGCAACTCGTGTAAAACTCTTAATCAGTTGTTCCAGTTGGTTCTCAGAGTAAATCAGCTTAAGTTTTTTAGGATTCGCATTTTTTGCGCATTTCAAGTCACAGTTGGTGTCACTAATCAAAATTATTTCTTTTTCATATTCGTCTAGATCTTTAAGCATCCCTATTTAGTTCTCAAAAGCAGTATGATCTACATTAGGAGTCTGGGGTAGATACCAGCAAACGATAAAAAAAAGATTTTGCGATATTACTAGGTGATACTTCAAGAGTGAGGAGCTCAAGTTTATCAATACTCAGCTTATTTCTTCTATCCAAGCTAATGTCCCCCTAACAGTATTTAATGAACTTACCCAGATTTGCTGAGTAATTTGCGAACACCTCCATGGAGACCGTCTGTCCATAAGTTACTATACATGATGTTATTATTGTCGATAATATTGATACCTCTAATGCACAGTTCTTTATTCAGGAGTTCGTTAACTTGTGTTGTTTTTGCATTTAGAGCTTGATCGTCATTTCTTTTGAAGATTGATGAGTAAGCCAAGCGTGCTGTTGGATTGTTTTCTTGTACCTTGTCTAGTGTTGTGACTATCATTTCTTTGCTTTTTATCATTTCATTTCTTTGCTATCACTTCGGAGAGTGTTGTGACTATCAATTGCTTTTTCCATTTTGCTTTAAAGATAAGAGCTTGGTAAAAGGCCTAGCTTTGATCTTTTACTGAAATATAACGATTTGTAGTACACGGTGCCTTGAATGTTCACTAAAACCACATATAAAATCTTAACTGTGTGCAAAATCTTTTGCTAGTGATATCTAAAATATCGTCAATTCCATCAAATCAATCGCACGCTATTACACGCGAATAGCCTTTGAATAAGGTTTAATTATGATTTATAGAGAAAAAATCGTCAACATGTTCTAGTACTTTAATCAGTATGACTACATTCAAGACTTGTGCCTTTATAGATTCATGCAAATAAAAGTATAAAAAACATGAAATCAATGTGAGGCTCTCTGAAATTTTCAATATATTTCAGAATGGTGGTTGTGTTTTGTGCAGCGATTGGTCATTCGGCTCAGTGGAATGAGGGCTGGTTTTTTGAAGCAGCAAACTGGAGTTCGATTCCGACCAAGAGTGACTCGATACAATTGGGCAGCACCCTTGTGGAAGAATTTTCCACTTGTCTGCCTTTGTCTTGTGATTTTATATCTACGGTTAAAATAGCTCTGACGAACGCTTAAAGCCAAAACAGAATAAACAAAAACTGCCTTGGCTACGGTGAAATCTCTAGTGTTGGCTTCGGAGATTCATCGCTCATTTCTTTGGGCCGTTTGGCTCAGTGGAATGAGCGGGGATTTTTGAAGCAGCAAACTGGAGTTCGATTCCGACCAAGAGTGGCTCGATACAATTGAGGAGCACCCTTGAGGAAAGAATTTTCCACTTGTCTGCCTTTGTCTTATGGTTAAATAGATTATGGTTATATATAGTATACACATCGTATTTTTGACAAGTACCTATTTTTTATATTTATAACATTGTTTGATATACGTAACATATACAAACATTTGATTACAGTCGTTTTTAAGAAATCACATTTCGTTTCACGTAAATCAATAATTCGCCGTAGATTTATTTCTTTTCTTTTGATCATTAATATTTCATGTTTTCAGCTTCTCTTATAACGTGTTTGAACACTATGTGGTTTTTGTATGGTGTTTTTTATCCGCAAGCTTTCTAAAAACAGGAGGTATCAACCATTCAGTGATGCAAAACATTGTCAAATCGCTATCGTTCTATATTTGATTGCTTCATAGACATAGAAAGTACAGGGAACCTCATGGATACGACCCTTCCTTAAAATTCTTGATCTCTCTAAAGGTATTTTTATATTGCTTGCAACCAGTGATGTTACTCAATAATGTCCATTCAGAAACATATGCAATCTACAAAACATTTGAACTTATTATTTTATGTAATTTAATCATATTAACAGCAACAATAGGAAGCCATTTACCTTAAACATTAAAATCAATTAGCAATTTCTCTTAAAGTGGGTGCTTTCTAACACTTGTGTGTACCCCCGATTGTGATAAACTTTCAACAAAATATAAACCAGTGAATTCTTTTGTGGCTAAAATTATTGCGTTTTTTCTTCAAATTTCTCGATTGGTGTTTTAAAAAGACGATCTTCTGAAAGTGGGAATGCATTATTTATGATGGTGGCCAAAAACCTAACACTTTCTCTTATACATGGCATTAAAAAGATTAAAACCCAATGTCGTACGTTTGTTAAATCAGATTTCTCTACTTTGAAACAGAAGATTGGAGCTTCAGTAAAATTAATGCTCGCGACAGTTTGATCTCAACAATCGAAAAATGGATGGTCTCTTGCATTTAATTTACAGTTTGATGTGGGTTACATTAGGAGGTGAGTTAATTATATTGTATTATATTTAAATTTATCTTTAGATCAAATGAACTTTATCGACAAAGATGAATGATTTAGAAAGTTTGGTAATATTATGATTGTTTAATGCCAGTATATCATTAATACTTTTTAAAACGCCTTTCCAAACATAATATCAACAACGAACTTTCAAGCTGAGTTCACTGGTTTTCTATCTTGCAACTACAAGAAGAGTAACGAAGTATCAATAATGTTGCGTATTTGTTTTGCAAGGGATTTCCATTCATATTTTATATGTAAACATCTTACCTTTTTTATACTTTATTGAGAAAGCCCAATTTTATGTTTTGCAGGATTCAATGGATGTTTGGCTTCAGATTCGGTAATTACTCAGAACTTTTAAGAGTTAACCATAAGAGTTAGCTATACGTCTTCTCTATTAAAAAGCATGCTGTATTTTTAACTGAATTGCTACATCACTTCACGAAAAGATATTTTTTCACATGAAACAGCTTGGATCTTATTCTCTGCCCGACTACTACAATCTCTACTGAAGTCTCTCCTCAGAACAATTAGAGATCTTTTGTTACCATCACATCATTCACAGAACATACATGATTTGTAACGCATTTTTTCTAACTTGTTTTTTAATAACCTACTAACTTGAAAAAAGGGAAGACGGAACGGTTGTAATTTGTTCTTAAGTCTTTAAGTTAACCAACAAGACATTTTGCAGCGATTTCGTTCGGCTTAGCCTTGGTGATATGTATAAGTGACATCCGAGAGGAAATATGAAAGAATTTAAGCAAACATGCATTAAGAGACAATGCCGTTCAGGAAAAACGCAGAAAACATTTTGTATGACTTTCAAAATGGTGCACTGTAATTTTATTGTCACTTCCAGCTATGCAGTTCATTGTCCTGCCTTAATGCCTACACGACGACCATTGCAAGACTTACAGAACCTTCCTGTGTTTTTTTTGGAATTGCTATTACCTGTCTCCTGTGTCTAATGCATATTACTCTCATTTACATGATAAATAATCACTTTTCATGTCTCTAGGTGCCAAAGCTTGACATATCAGTTACCCATGAAAACAAGCCAGAGTTGCACCCTGGGTATGTAATAGACCCTTATTGCAAACGGTGCAATTCTTCTTTCTTACAATGGTAGCAGTCTCAAGCATTATGTCGTATGTAAGCGTTATGACTTAAGGACTTATAATTGCAAATGTTTTTCAATACAGGGAGATACAGACAACTAGATTAGCATTCTTTACCCATATTAGATCTAAAAATATTAAATTGTTTTGAAACAACATAGGCACTAATAGCACAAATGCTTTATTCGGCAGTGAGAGCTTCTGGTATGCCTTTAACATCACGCACAATGCAGCAAGCAATGGAGAAGCCAAAGATGTTCTGGTCACGTGGTATATACCAGACTATCTAAATTTTCGACAGCTGTCGAACGGGATCAATGATATCATGGTGAACATAACTGGAGACGTCGTCCATTTTAAGGTAGGGCAAGTTAGAGCTAGCTATTCATTTCTTTCTCAAAATCTTTAGCTTTTGTAGTAAAAAATATACACGTTTTGTAAACTAGGATGTTTAAATTCAGTGCAAACCATCCCTTTACCATGTTTTCTTGAGCAGTGGTTTTGTTGGATAGAACAGACACGAATGCCTTTCTACGACAAATTGCACCTGTAATTTTTTGAAAGATGATGCAATCCAAGTAAATTAATATGAAATAGCCTAAGTTTTGGAATTTTCAGATTCTTAACGCTCTCTTCTCCTTTACAATCAATCCTTGTCTTGTCTTATAATAGCAAAGTGTTTTTATTTATACAGAAAAGCCTGATACCATTGGGAAGTGCCGTTACCGTGAAATTTCAAGTAGCACTGAGCAACAGCTCTGAGATTAGTCAAGACCATCACTATGCCGTTGTCTCCATCAGTTCACTATGGTATTCTGCTAATTCTGTTAGACACAACAACCCATTATCGTCTTACAGCCTAGAGTTTGTCGTTCCAGGTAATTAAAGTCCACAAAAAATACAAATATAGCTTTGATGTTGATGTTTTGAATTAATTGATTTTTAGTATCTGAGTAGTGCTCTATGAGCTCACTCAAGGTGCAAACGAACTTGATTAAGTTGAAAAACTGAATTTTAGGTTGTTCAAAGGCACTGGGAATGGAGAATGGAGAAATCAAGTCCCACCAGCTTCTTGCGTCAAGTTCTCTGCCTGCGTCACGACCAGAAATGGCAAGGTTTAACCAGGATGCATGGTGTGCCCAACAGCAAGATTCTAACCAGTTCATCCAGGTAAAATCAAATTGATGGCAAGGCACATCTTGCCCTTTTTCTAAACAACACTAACCCATGCATGCCATCAAAAGCAAAGTTTTGATTCCAATCTTACTCTTTTGTTTTTTCAACTCAGTCAAGAAGTGTAAAAAGCAGAGCCATATTATCATTAACTATAATCAGTGAGGCATTATGAAGCTAATACCTGGAAGACCTATGCATTATTGTTCAAGTTTCATTTTTGCATTTGCATGGAAGAAATAAACGCTTCGTCTTAGAAATAGCCATAAATCAGCGTTGCTTTGCAGGTAATTTTCCAAAAGAAGGCAAGAATCACAAAAATTGTGACGATGGGAAGAAGTATGAAGCCGCATTGGGTGAAAGAGTTCTCAATCCAATTTAGTGATGATAACTTGAACTGGATTTCTTACAAAGAAAATGGTTTTGAAAAGGTGATGTTGCCAATTTTAATGTAATTCATATATACATCAATTTTACCTGAGTTCTATTTACATGCATGAAATTTATATTTTAATTACATCACACAGGTGTTTTTTGTGTAAGGTAAGATTCCATCATAATGATTAGAAGTCTGAACCTGTTTTAGATATTCAAGGCAAACAGTGACCTGAGCTCGCCAGTAGGCCACTGGCTAATGTATCCCATTGCAGCCAACTACATCAGGATTCACCCAAAATCCTGGAACACTCAAATATGCATGCGGTTTGAATTGTATGGTTGCCAGATAAGCGGAACTGGTAAGTACTATGTGTTAGATGATAACATGCTTTCAGGTTATGGGGGTTGTGTGTAGCATCTACGTGTACTAACACTGGCAAAGCTTTTGATACTCGAGTTTTGCAAATCGGAAAACCTCGCTCGCTCTATCCACAGACCATACCATTTTACATCCGTTTGGTCTACTACTAAAAGTTCAGTTTCAAACCAAAGAATTTTGCAGTAAATCTTAAACTTTGCTCGATTTCTTACAGATAATTGCATTAATCCCATCGGAATGGAATCAGGAACAATACCAGATGCTGCATTATCGCACAGTGTCACAGACTCTTCATTGCCTACGAGTCCTTTGAATGCGAGGCTAAACAAGAAAGTCAACGACTATCCATTTGGATGGGCAACTTCTCTTGATCCAACAAAGAAAGACTGGATACAAATCGATCTCGGAAGCGTTCATAAGGTGATTGTCTGTTGCATGTTCCAGCATACGGGGGTTTCCGACCTTCTAAGTAAAGAAAGAAAGTATGACGAGCGGGCACAGGGTCTTCTTTGTTACTATTTTCTATCTTTTTAATGGCTTTTAATGATCTCATTTGTAATTTTTTCTTGCAGATCATTTGGAGCTGTGTTTATTCACTCATTGGCTTTTGCTTCAAGTGCAGCTCTAAAAATTCTGTTACTTTGAGTTTAAATCAGTTTATCTGTCTTTACACTGTTACTTTTAGCTAAACTTAGTTAAGTAACTTAAATTTCGTTATTACTTCACTTTAAGATCACCAGTACTGCAATTCAAGGCTCAAGCAACGAACCCGAGTCGCTGTTTTACGTAAAAAGTTACGAATTGCAGTTTAGCAATAACAGTTTGGACTGGGTAACAGGAAGAAAGAGCAGTACAGAAAAGGTTATAGCTCAACATTAGTACAAAATCTTATTCTCATTTTTCCATTGCTGGACAATTTGCTTTTCAGGTACAAATCGAGGATATTTTGAGATTCAATTTATGCTTGGATACTACACCAATTAAACTTACAGCCTCATTTTGAAAAACTCCTTTTTTGCACAATTTCATGACGACATAAAGACAAAAACTTTATAAGGGATTTGACAGAGGTTGGCGACTGAGAGAGTGAAGTTTCAGCCGGAAAGATTTTCTGCTGTCTAATCTATTACCAGTTTTCAAACTTGCTGGATTTCTTGATAAAATCTAAAAGATAAAGCACAGAATATTTGATCATTAAAGTTGGCCGAAGTATGGTGATAAAACCGGCTATGACCTCAAAAAAGTTGTACAATGAAGTTTGGAGTAAATTCCGAAACGGGGCCTCAATTTGAATTAGTGTATTATCCAAGTACTCGAGATTAATTTCATCCCGGGTTCAAAAAGGTTCTTCCTATAGGTTGATTTTCATCCTCGCTCATACCATTCACAGACTTAGTTTCTGCTATCTCTTTAAATCGATCGAAAACATTTGGAAAACATTTTTAGAAAGAAATGTAAAATCCTGCAAACACTAGTAGTTGAATGCAGTGTTGCCGGAAGGAGATCAAGGATACACATCAAAAGAAATCTAAATGTGCAGGGTTTTGTGAGTATGCCAGGATTCAGGCAGCAAAAATAGTCTCATGTAGATTTTGACTTCGTATTACCAGTCTCTAGAGCAAGTCAAACTTAACAAAAAATTACATTAATAGCTATTCAGAGGACCCCAATCTGGCGAAGCTGCTAAGTTTCCCACACCAGCATTCTTCCCAACCCCGAGGTATGCGCGGTATGTTCGCCTGATCCCAGAGGAATCCTACAGCATGAATGTCCTAAGAATGGAAATCTACGGCTGTGCATCGGAGAAGGTGCCAAAGATTGGTAAGAAACATTTCAAGTACGGTCATTTTTCATTTGAAAAAGACTTACCACGTGAATATCATTTTTGGTAGCTTTTTAATGTTGAGAGCTTTGTAACTGAATTATAACATCAACATTGACTGAAGATATTCTAAAATATCCATGCTTGCAAATGCCATAAATCTCTTATACTATTTAACAGAGACACCAACAGAGTTTAGCAGACGAAGCACTCTACTCGACAAAAATGCAAACACTCTTTATGTTTGCGTCTACAGGGAAAGCAAGTAAGTACAACTTGATTAAATTTAAACTCCTGAGTAATTGTAAAAGCAGAGTAAGATTTGAAAGAGCTAAAGTCACTGTTAAGTGTTCGCCAAAGCTAATCTTTACTTTCAAACTAATGTGAAGTACACTTTACATTACCATATCAATATAAATTTCGGCAAGAAACTGCACAAAATCAACTCCACTACCATACCTACACAAAAAAAATAAAATTTCAGCAGATCTTAACTGATAGTTAGACCTAGGTCTGCAATTTCTTTTTAAATTTCAAAATTCTAATCAATGGAAATTGCTTAATTTTTTGAAGAGACGAAAGAAGTTGCCGACACACAGCGAATGGAGTCACTTGGAAAGGTAACCTCGCTTTAATAATTGTCGAGGACTCGACTTCAGGATAGCGCACTAAACCCTTGGCTGCATTATTAGATGTGGTGTTTTTGTTAATGAGATGGCTAAACAAACAAGAATGAAAAACGTGTTAAGCCAATCAGGTGTTTGTTTAAATTTTCAAAAGAAAATTTGAAAGTGTCAGAGACAATAGAAACTTGAAGAGAAAATCAGATAAAAGAGAAAAAGAAAGGACAGTGACGCTTACTTCTCATATAAAAACCTGTGGGGAAAAACCAGCGCCACAAAAAGTTAACAGCGAGAAAGTTGCTGTTTTTTTAAAATGTGGTCGTAAGCAAATGAAAAGCGATACAACATTTGACCCATTTTGTTCTGATATTCATTCTGCCTAATGATAAAGGACTGAGAAATATACACCAATCTTACTTCTGGGGCAAATGGTTCTAAGACCGTGAGACTACCAGACACAAGTCCAACTCACGAATTCAAAGAATAATTGGTCCATTCAGCCAAAAAGTAAATTTAGTCCATCTTGTTCCAGATCTGAACAGCCAAGTGGCAAGTATCATTGGCTACGATACGGTCTCTGCAACCCTTTATGGCCTCGACCATTTCATGAGCTACATGTTCTCGAGAGACTCTGGCAAGACTTGGGCCTTCATTTCCACTCAGGAATGGCAGCGACGTCAAACAGAAGCTAGCTTCGTCAAATCAACGAAACTGGATGAAATTCTCGTTGGCACATTGCCAAGTTTGAATTGGACTTCAGTGACCGGTCATTCTTGGGGAGGTCAGTAGCATTTACTTTAGAGCAACCTTACAGTTACCATATAGATGTAGTCAAATTCTCACAGACAGAGCTAAAACCAATGCCGATTTGAAAATCCAACATCTTTTGTCATAGATTTACATTTCTCATTTCTTTTCCCGTATACAACCATTTCCACCCATGTCTCCTCTGATTAACGTTGTACTGTACGTCTGGCGAATGTCATGCTTGTCTCTCAAAAAAGATACTCCTTAGTCACTGACGTCAATTTATAGCAAGGATGCAAAGCAAATTTGAAGGAGGGGAGTTGGTAGTGGGGGCGCTGAAAAATTTTCAGAAATTGGTGACGAGACTACGCTGTATACAACAAATTCTGACCCTAACTACCTACAGAAGGCTCTCTATTTACGTTCTAAGAAAATGTTTACAATAATTTTGTCAAAGAAATGATATATAGTCTGCGGATGACTGAAGATCACTTATTAAAATTTCGCTTTGACTAGATAATCTTCCGGCTAAACGGCCATTCGCTGCCCCGCCACAGTGCCCAAACTCTGCTAGAGTACTCTGCAAAAAGGGGCTAACTTGAATGCTTTTCCTTATCGGCAAATCGAATTTTGAGGGGCCCAGATCAAATTATTGCAGAAAGTAAGATGGAGTGTTCAGGGCTCGATGAAGACGGCCACTATGGTTAGAGATAAAAAAGGTTTTGCAACTATATTTTGGATATTTACAACATTGACTGAGAACCAAGGTTCCTAGGCACAACAGACAATTATTCTATGACAAATTTGCTCTGAAGTTCTATTTGGATTGATGATGACATGAAGATTGGACAACTTTAAAGGGCATGGAATTCATGACAGGAATTAAAAAACACCTATATGGATACCCATTGTTGTCTTCCAAAGCGTGACTTTTCTAGCAGAATATGATCCATTTTCGGAATAAGTAAGTTAACTTTGAGATACACCTTGAAGTAAATTAACCTACAGATCTTGGAAACTTTCCCCTGATACTCATTCTTCAAAAGGGGCACACAATTTCCAAAAAGGGGTGCCAGACTTGCTTCAACTTGGTGAGGGAAGGGCAACTGCCCTAATTGCCCATTAAATCCACCACTGTTTTATAGTGAGCCAAAATTAATTTACGGTGGAGAGCGAAAAAGTTGAAGTTGACTGTTCGAAGTAGTTGTGATTCATCTTCGAGCTATTGTTCGACTAGGCAGGGATTGCATGCAGAAAAGATTTTGGTTGGAAAAAGCTTTCTTGGTTTTAAAAACATTTGCTTTTCTACAAGTGAAACAGAGCCTTTTTTAGCAGAGAATTTCGCACAAATGTTCGCTTTAATTCTCACACAAACGATCAGTCTCAATCTCTAGAATCGTTCAGTTTCTTTTCAGCAAACAAATGGATATTTTCAGTATGTATAACGGCTGGTCGTTTTTTCAGTTTCAGGAAAAGGTATTCACATGAAGGCTCAAGGGGCCCAGTGGTCTTTGGTATCATCCTGGAAATGCTGTGGCTTTTAAAAAAAATTTATTGAAATAATGAGTGTTTAGATAACAAGAACAAACCATTTGACGAGCAAAACGCTAGTCGTTTCGATCTGTAGTTGATTTCATTTAATATAAACTCTTATCAAGATTATTGACAGAAGTGAAGTATCATTTGACGAGATATTCACGCTAGTGCGCATGTAACTAATAATGCATATTTGTGAATTTAACTTCCCATGTAACACATTGCTCTATACTTAGTTTAACGACTTGAACGTAGCCACCTCCTTGGAAGCAAAGTCGTCTTGGAAACAAGTTGTCTTCAAGCCTAGTTTCCCTTGCGCTGTAAATTGGTGCTGTCAATACAAAGACCAGTGTCTTAGAGCAGTGTAAACTTGATCAAATTGCTACACAAATTAAGATATCTTACAGCTAGATATGTTAAAGCTAGAAAAAATGTTTGACTTAAAAATCACAAGTTGGGCATTTCACATGAGAATATCACCGCATAAAGTTATCTGCTAAGCTTAAAATTAAGAGTGTTGAAAACTGGCTTTGATTTGATGCCTTATAGATTCAAACTGAGCAAGGTTCAAATGCATTGTGTTTGAGTCACCGTCTCTTTTTCTATAACAATACTTGTCAATCTCTCTCTTCTTACATAAAACATGATCTTACTACAAAACTACAAATCTGTCAATTTTAAAGGAATTCATTAAGTCTTTTTCGGTCATGATTTGGAAATAATCTTAGATATCCCCGTATATATCGTGTCAAACTTCAAATTTAGCCTGCAAAGCCAAGAACTATTAGCTGCAATCCAAATAATCAGCCATACTCAAATGTAGGCGTATTCATTTTGTGCAAGAAATGTTTCATTAAAATAATTAAAAGTGTCATTATCCCACTGCGTTTTCAACGATAACCCTCAAAACGTGTGTCTTCTGTTATTCTTTTGTATCTATTGGTTTCTTACAGAAAGGTCTCATTATATTTGCAATGTCTCCTGTACGGGTTTAGATGTTATTTAACAAAGATCATGCCAAAAGCTGCTGCTGTTTTCTCGCCATTATCAGGACTGCAAAAGGCTAGGTTTCCACAAGAGACTCCATTAAAATTTTTGTGGCAGCCATTCATACTTTCCCATTTTGTTCCTATCCCAATGTATGATTCTGATTCTCTGCACTCATTTCCTACCCCTCTTTTATTACTGCTTATAATGCCGATTCGTGCATATATTTCACCCGAATCAATGCGAACGTTGAACCCTTCTCTACTGCAATAGTGCTGGAGTGATGAATTCTTAAGCAGTGTTTTCCATTTACTATGTCCGAACCCTGTCTGTCGATATAAATTTGTTTTGAAGATGTCAGACAAGGAGCTGCCCAGCGCCGGAATATGCAGCCATTTTTGTATGCCATCATGCTTTAGTCCAATGCAGACCTCGCTAGCATGGATTTTGGTGAATGCAGGATACTTTGCTTCTTCAGATAAGGGGTTTTTCAGTCCTTCTTTCACGTTGTACAAACTATCATCGGTCCATAAAGCGCTGTCTGATTTAAATGTTTCCTGAATAAGAGAAGTAATTTGTTTCACTCTTGCAATGAATTCAGCTAAAACATAGACTTAAAACTTCACAAGTAATTAAGTTTAAAAGGAGAACACTGAAAACAAAAAAACATTTAAAATATGAAACATTACTATTGATTGCAGTATTCATTGCCCCTTTATAGGTTATCAAATGTTTTTTTCGTTATTCTTTTGCTTGATATAAACCACTATTGATGTACTAGAAATGCACTAATTCTACTGCCGTGGAGACAAAATACTACTTACCTTGGAGCCATTCACAGCGAGTGGCCTGAGTGAAAATTCTTTGTGACCTGTGACCACGGTGCAGAAAATCAACAAATTATACCGAAACATAGGGCTCCAAAGTCTAGGTCCTGCCTTCATGAAAGAGCAGGACCTGAGGTCCTACCATTTCTGAAGGGCAGGAGTGCCATTGTTTTCTTCTATTGTGAGGCAGGACCAAAAACAGGGCTACAAGGCGTTTGCCCATTGTTGGGCAGGACCAAACATAGGGTTTAGTCCTGCCTACGAGTATTGGGCAGGACTGACCACAGGGCTAAATTTTTGACGTTATCAATTTACGAACGGGATACTCGAAATTCCATTCCAGTCACCCTGTGTCTCAGAATTGAAAAAGGGCACAGCCACGAAGTATAAGTGTAGAATAAGACAAGAAATGCCTTTGAATCAGGCATATAATGATTTCATAAAATGAATAAATTTTTAATATTTTAAAAATTGTTATCTTTGGAAATTTGTGGTCCTGCCCGGCAGGACAAGCAGGACATTTGGCTTCGCCACTGCTGTTTTGATTGGGCGCATTGATCTTATTTGGTAGAGCAATGTTATTGTTTTGGCAAACGAATGTTATTGTTTTGATTCATCAATGAACAGCGGGAAAATGTGCCTTTACAAAAAATTTGATAAACTAATGCAACTCATGCAGTCGTCATTGCAATAGCTCTATATTTTACAGTTACCATATAGATGTAGTCAAATTCACACAGACAGAGCTAAAACCAATGCCGATTTGAAAATCCAACACCTTTTGTCATAGATTTACATTTCTCATTTCTTTTCCCGTATACAACCATTTTCACCCATGTCTCCTCTGAGTAACGTTGTACTGTACGTCTGGCAAATGTCATGCCTGTCTCTCAAAAAAGGTACTCCTTAGTCACAGATGTCAATTTATAGCAAGGGCGGATGCAGAGCAAATTTGAAGGAGGGGCGTTGGTAGTGGGGGCGCTGAAAAATTTTCAGAAATTGGTGACGAGACTACGCTGTATACAACAAATTCTGACCCTAACTACCTACAGAAGGCTCTCTATTTGCGTTCTAAGAAAATGCTTACAATAACTTTGTCAAAGAAATGATATATAGTCTGCGGATGACTGAAGGTCACTTATTAAAATTTCGCTTTGACTAGATAATCTTCCGGCTAAACGGCCATTCACTGCCCCGCCACAGTGCCCAAACTCTGCTAGAGTACCCTGCAAAAAGGGGCTAACTTGAATGCTTTTCCTTATCGGCAAATCGAATTTTGAGGGGCCCAGATCAAATTATTGCAGAAAGTAAGATGGAGTGTTCGGGGCTCGATGAAGACGGCCACTATGGTTAGTGATAAAAAAGGTTTTGCAACTATATTTTGGATATTTACAACATTGACTGAGAACCAAGGTTCCTAGACACAACAGACAATTATTCTATGACAAATTTGCTCTGAAGTTCTATTTGGATTGATGATGACATGAAGATTGGACAACTTTAAAGGGCATGGAATTCATGACAGGAATTAAAAAACACCTATATGGATACCCATTGTTGTCTTCCAAAGCGTGACTTTTCTAGCAGAATATGATCCATTTTCGGAATAAGTAAGTTAACTTTGAGATACACCTTGAAGTAAATTAACCTACAGATCTTGGAAACTTTCCCCTGATACTCATTCTTCAAAAGGGGCACACAATTTCCAAAAAGGGGTGCCAGACTTGCTTCAACTTGGTGAGGGAAGGGCAACTGCCCTAATTGCCCATTAAATCCACCACTGTTTTATAGTGAGCCAAAATTAATTTACGGTGGAGAGCGAAAAAGTTGAAGTTGACTGTTCGAAGTAGTTGTGATTCATCTTCGAGCTATTGTTCGACTAGGCAGGGATTGCATGCAGAGAAGATTTTGGTTTGAAAAAGCTTTCTTGGTTTTAAAAACATTTGCTTTTCTACAAGTGAAACAAAGCCTTTTTTAGCAGATAACTTTGCACAAATGTTCGCTTTAATTCTCACACAAACGATCAGTCTCAATCTCTAGAATCGTTCAGTTTCTTTTCAGCAAACAAATGGATATTTTCAGTATGTATAACGGCTGGTCGTTTTTTCAGTTTCAGGAAAAGGTATTCACATGAAGGCTCAAGGGGCCCAGTGGTCTTTGGTATCATCCTGGAAATGCTGTGGCTTTTAAAAAAAATTTATTGAAATAATGAGTGTTTAGATAACAAGAACAAACCATTTGACGAGCAAAACGCTAGTCGTTTCGATCTGTAGTTGATTTTATTTAATATAAACTCTTATCAAGATTATTGACAGAAGTGAAGTATCATTTAACAAGATATTCACGCTAGTGCGCATGTAACTAATAATGCATATTTGTGAATTTAACTTCCCATGTAACACATTGCTCTATAGTTAGTTTAACGACTTGAACATAGCCACCTCTTTGGAAGCAATAAAGTCGTCTTGGAAACAAGTTGTCTTCAAGCCTAGTTTCCCTTGCGCTGTAAATTGGTGCTGTCAATACAAATACTTCGGCCGCGGTCACACTGTACTTTTCCAAGCATCCTTTTTGCTAATCCGTATCTTAGAGCAGTGTAAACTTGATCAAATTGCTACACAAATTAATATATCTTACAGCTAGATATGTTAAAGCTAGAAAAAATGTTTGACTTAAAAATCACAAGTTGGGCATTTCACATGAGAATATCACCGCATAAAGTTATCTGCTAAGCTTAAAATTAAGAGTGTTGAAAACTGGCTTTGATTTGATGACTTATAGATTCAAACTGAGCAAGGTTCAAATGCATTGTGTTTGAGTCACCGTCTCTTTTTCTATAACAATACTTGTCAATCTCTCTCTTCTTACATAAAACATGATCTTACTACAAACCTACAAATCTGTCAATTTTATAGGAATTCATTTAGTCTATTTCGGTCATGATTTGGAAATAATCTTAGATATCCCCGTATATATCGTGTCAAACTTCAGATTTAGCCTGCAAAGCCAAGAACTATTAGCTGCAATCCAAATAATCAGCCATACTCAAATGTAGGCGTATTCATTTTGTGCAAGAAATGTTTCATTAAAATAATTAAAAGTGTCATTATCCCACTGCGTTTTCAACGATAACCCTCAAAACGTGTGTCTTCTGTTATTCTTTTGTATCTATTGGTTTCTTACAGAAAGGTCTCATTATATTTGCAATGTCTCCTGTACGGGTTTAGATGTTATTTAACAAAGATCATGCCAAAAGCTGCTGCTGTTTTCTCACCATTATCAGGACTGCAAAAGGCTAGGTTTCCACAAGAGACCCCATTAAAATTTTTGCGGCACCCATTCATACTTCCCCATTTTGTTCCTATCCCAATGTATGATTCTGATTCTCTGCACTCATTTCCTACCCCTCTTTTATTACTGCTTATAATGCCGATTCGTGCATATATTTCACCCAAATCAATGCGAACGTTGAACCCTTCTCTACTGCAATAGTGCTGGAGTGATGAATTCTTAAGCAGTGTTTTCCATTTATTATGTCCGAACCCTGTCTGTCGATATAAATTTGTTTTGAAGATGTCAGACAAGGAGCTGCCCAGTGCCGGAATATGCAGCCATTTTTGTATGCCATCATGCTTTAGTCCAATGCAGACCTCGCTAGCATGGATTTTGGTGAATGCAGGATACTTTGCTTCTTCAGATAAGGGGTTTTTCAGTCCTTCTTTCACGTTGTACAAACTATCATCGGTCCATAAAGCGCTGTCTGATTTAAATGTTTCCTGAATGAAATAAGTAATTTATTTCACTCTTGCAATGAATTCAGCTAAAACATAGACTTAAAACTTCACAAGTAATTAAGTTTAAAAGGAGAGCACTGAAAACAAAAATACATTTAAAATATGAAACATTACTATTGATTGCAGTATTCATTGCCCCTTTATAGGTTATCAAATGTTTTTTTTGCTATTCTTTTGCTTGATATAAACCACTATTGATGTACTAGAATTGCGCTAATTCTACTGCCGTGGAGACAAAATACTACTTACCTTGGAGCCATTCACAGTCATTGCTAAGGTCCATCCATTACCAAGACACTCCCCAAGTGGATTCATGGAGCAGTAGTGCCTTCCTGAACGGAGTTCGTATACGCCATCTGAAACAAGACTTGCTTCTTTCCTTTCGAAAATCTCTTTGCAGCTGTTGTAATCTATAACATTGTGAATTATTATCAATATAATTGAATGATGAAATTTCAAGATTTTTAAACAAGAATCTCGGAAGCAAAAAGTATATACCGACGAGCCAGTGCTTAGTGTTTTGATGTATTTCTTAAGCGGCGTAACCTCTCTTGATAACTTAAAAACAGGTTGATGTAAAGTTTTGCGAGGGAGATTCCGTTCGCTAAAAAAAACATTTGATGAAATTGATCTGCTCCGGAAAATTGAATGTTATCAACATAAAAGGCGTTAGTTTACTGGGCCGGCTATTTCTTGCAGCGAAAACAACTAACTTTTTTTATCTTTTATTTCTATTTGGTTACCTCTTTGATTTTGCTCTACAACTTCCAAAAGTACAGGAAATTGCGAGTGGTAATCCTCCATGCACAAAAGTAACAGTCAACAAAACTCACCCCTCTGAACAACTTCCTCTTCTTTAGACGGAATTCTCTAAAAAAGATACATTTACCTTGTGATCTTTTAAAGTGGGAAAAGTTTTTTCAATAATAGACAATGCGATAATGTGCTTTAATATATCGACAGCAAATCTCACCTTCAATTTCATGGCCAACCACAAATGGCTTGAAACCACTTTTTGGCAGTCTTCATTTGAAGTAGATGAGGTGTAGATCTATGAAAAGGTGAGATGAATGAAAAGGTGAGAGAAGGTGAAAGGTATTCTCAGAATGATGAGGATGAGAAGCTATTTTCATTGCTTTTTTTTTGTTTATAACCTTAATGCTCCATCATTAGCAGCTTTGTGATACTGGACTTTGAAATACCAAAGCAAAATTGTGATTCTTGTGGAAAGGTATTCTCAGAATTAGCATTGCTTTAGTGCTGGGTAAATTATTGAAGAAATGTTATAAGAAATGACTCATCCTAGAGATTCACTTTATATTGCCTGAAACAATATATTTTGTTGAGTGGAACCTAGTTGAGTGGCTTGGTTAAAGTATTATACAACACCAAATTTCTACAAAAGTTCTGAAAATTTAAAAACAATTGCCGGTTGTAAAAGATTAAGGATGAAATAGAAAACTTCACGTGAAAAATTCCATGAAAAGTCTTTACAAGCCATGGCAACTTATGATTAACCGTTTTGTTTGGAAACTAAGCTAAATATTTCCTCAAAGAATGTTCATCATTCATTTCCAAATGTAGCTGCTTGTAATGCAGTGTTTTATAAAGAACCAATTTTTGCTAATGCCGTTTGCTTAAAAACACGCGCTAGCCTAGAAAGTTTAGACAACGGCATGCATTGTTGGCTGCAAATTACTTTTTGATTATCACAAGTCGATTTTCCGTCGTTATTAGTCAATAACAGCCAATTTTGCGTTTGAGGAGAGCAAATGTGCTTTGCATTTGTTTGCCGAAGAGTCATGCTGCAGACTGTTATTTAGAAACATTGTTAACAAAACCATCTGTTTCTTCTCAGAACAATCATATCTTATGTGCCTTGGCTTGCAAGATTTTGATTAATTTCAGCGCATTAAATGAAGGGGTGAATCCAAAAGGCTGGCTAAGCCCTAATGTGAATACCTGAGAAGTCTTGTGGATTGGGTTTCCCTAAATGTAGTAGTTAAAACTAGCTGTTTGAAGTAGCAGTAATTTTTCCTAAATTTCGAAACTATTGATGCTTAAGTTTACGTTTTCTAGAACTACAAGTACCTGAAGCTTAAAATTCCCTGAAAAAACATAGCTTTGCTTTTTATAGCTTTGTTGAAACCAGAAAACCAGATCTCTATCAAGGTGATCTCGTTTGTTTCGCGGTATAGGTGTATGTGAGAAGCAGACAATAATCAGAAAACATCAAATTGAGTTGCGCCACAGACAGTTTGTCACAGTTAAAGAAGGTCTACTTGATTAGGAGTAGTAGGTGCTTCTAAAAATACAGCATTGCACCATTGACATTTAGGCCTGTTTTTTCAATGGCGCTGCCAAAGTCACTGAGTTTCTAGATGTGCGGCAGCTGTCTGTTGGCAGAGATTTGTGTAAGAAAAGTCTCAAAAAATGTTTTTTTGTTCATGTCATGAGCATTTTAAAATAATCTAGATAACTGCTAAGAAGATAGGATGAAATCTGACAGCTATCGAGATAATCCGGGATTATTAGAACTATGGGCAATGGGAAAATGAAGGAGGCATTAGCGATTTTGTGCAAAAATACTAATGTAAATCGGACTTTAGAGGCTGGATCGGGATAACAAACTCTTGGGTGGACTTTTCACTTAGAATTTACCTATGCCGGTGCATTAGTTACACAAGACAACATGCGGAAAATTTCCCTCTTTTGAAAGCATTATGCCCACACTCTTTTCACTATGTGTTTTGTCTTCTTTGATTAAATTTTGTCTCCCTGACGAGCAATTCTGAAAACGTTAAAGCCTGAAAAAGTTCAAAACAATGTTGGGCTTCATTCATTTCGGTAGTTCATGCCGTAGCCATTTGGAAGTTAAAAAATATCACGTATTGTTGTTGTACTTTCAACCAGTGGAAAAGGTAGCGAAGTTCCGCATTTCTGCAATCCAAATATTTAGGCCGCTGTAATTTAAATAGCTAAACCCCAATACAGTGAATTACCTTTTTACGACTCTTTGCTACCCTTTTTTCGACCCCCTTGCACGTATATTTTCCCTTGATTTCTCAAAATGTTTTGCAATGAGGAAATTATGAAACAAGATTCGAATTAGAATTGGTATTTCTCTATAATCACAAGGTGGCTGTTTTAAAACAGCTTTAAAAGTTAAATCCTTCTCCATGTTCACCATGATTGGTTTTGCACCTTTTGCTATTGCTGTTGTTATTGTTGTTGTTTACATTAAAGAAGCTCCTTATCATTGAAACTAACGTTTACTTTGCCATTTTCATTGGTTCCTTGAAGATTCGAATGACTGAAAGTTTACTGCAATTTTTGGTCAAGGTCCTGACTAAAGCATATTCTTTAGTAAGATATTTTCAAGTATAAGAAAGGCTACTTTAGGTGAAATGGGATTTACGGTTTTTTGATGGCTGACACTTTACACTGCTTCAAAAACAATCTCCAGGGAAGAGGGGAGGGGGGCTACGGGCCTTTAGCCCCTCAATAGTTTCCAGAATATACTTAAAACCATACAAAAATCGCCGTTCTTTTGGTTATAGCATGTGTAACTCCCCAAAACGTTTTAGCCCCCTCAATCTGTAATATGCTCCGCGGTCTTTGCAAAGAAGGAACTGTAGGGCAATGAAGTCATCAACTGCTGCTTTCCTCTTAGATAAAGATGTGTACCTGTCAAAATTAATAAGATGGTGGCTTCCTTTCCTGAGACAATTGCTAGAGACTTTTCATGAGCTTATTTGGCCATCTTAAGGGACTATTATAAACAGTTATTAAAAAGAAAATGCCTTCTTTATGGATGTTGGAAATAAACATTCCCTCATCAACATATCAATGACAAGCCTACTTAAAAGTCCTTAGCGATGGATTGCCGGCAGGTGATCATACGAGTTCTATCTTATTCAAAGTAAGCGTAAACAGCACAAAAGGACAGAAACAGCATACTGAAGTCTTTTTCATCCGACACTCTTCCGAGTATAAACGTTGAAAGTCAGCAGAAATTTTATATCCATGAAAATTTAGATCCATGATTTATTTTAAAAGATAGTTAATTCAACCCAAATTTTAATGTCCTTGTTTTTAGCGTATGGTGGGTGTATTTATCAAAATTCCGGTCAATGTGTTTTTCTCAAATGGAAAAGTGAAACCAATTCCTAGAAGTGTGAGTACCATCTGACATTCTCTCTTAGGCTCAATCATGTGCCTTCTTTTATAAGATGCTTCAACTCTAAAGCCATTGTCATATCAATCCTATGGCGCAAGTAGAGATTTTTTCTATAATTGCACTATAGCAAACATGAATTACCTCACAATTGTGATTTGGGATTCTATGTCCTCCTTTTTCAGCAAAGTTTAGCAAATGACACTCTTCTTCTTTCAAGCAAAACCCTGTACACTGCAGCCTACTAGAGGCAGAAAAAACTCGCTTGGATTTTGGATCGCACATGTATTTTCTGCTTTCCTCCACGCTGTAAATAAACCCTTTTCGTTCTTGAAGAGATTCACAAATAAGTAATTGATAAAATATTAAGATTTTAGCCAAGGATTCCATTTCCCCTACCACCATATCAAGCAATGAAAAGCTTCTTTCCCCATACCAATAATTTTTATTGTTTAATACCTGGGCACGGGGGTCTAGCAGCCTACCGTACGTGATTACACAAGCAGCCGGACTCACTGTTATTCAACACACGTGAGCAAATGTTCACTCTTGGACATCCAACACCAATAAATCACTATTCCTAAAAAAAATCATTATTCCCTTAAAAATACTTACATTAAAACTGCATATGTATGATATAGTAGTCCATTATGTCATTTAAAGCATATACGTGCTTCGGTAAAAGACTTAAATAAATGCAACTGCAATTATATGAAAAAGTTCCAACCCACTGCTTTGCAGCTGCACTTTTCTGGCGAAGAGCAAATTGGATAAGATTTTTTGGGAAACTTTAAGCCAAATGTTTTTATATTAGTGCCAATAGAAATTGTTGAAGTTCGAAGATTATAATCTCCCTTTCTTACACTAGGGAATAAATGGGGCAAGAGCTAGATGTGGGGTCGAGCTGACTTTATCTTGACTCCAAATTAATATACTTGTGGCGACTAATTTGTTAATTATTAAAAAATCATTAAAAAGTCATTTAGTTCAAAGGAGAGATAGGAACATGCTGGACTACAGATCAGTGTCTTGTATAAATATATCAGCTAAAAATCAATAGCCCTTATGGCAAAAAAGACAGTTTAATAAGATGCACTTACAATGAATTAGAAATATACAAAAAATGGATAACTAAACTCGGTTCAATTCTCACTAAAAGGTTTGACTATAAATTATTTTCAAGAGGACCCTAGCTACAGAAAAATTGAGCGTAATTCAGTTTCTTACTAGTATCGAGTCTTCTTTGTCAAAAATGCACATTTTTGGGTGAAAAAAATTCTTTACGCTGCACGACACAACTACCGTTGCGGAAAATTCGGAGATTTGCAGAAGTGAAAATAGAACTGACACGAAAATTTTGAAGCAAATACGAAGGTAATGCTTTAAGACAAAAATCTTCACCTATCTCTTATCAACCTGTACACAAACATAATTTGATCAGCTACGCAAATAAAGGTCATTGTTTATTTACATTTCCACGTGAGAAAATGTTTACAAATGGGATTGAATAAAACAAGAGGGGTTTCTGGCTTTGGCAAGCCTGCGATGAAAATGTTTTTACAAGAAGTCTTTAAAAGAAACAACAGGTTGCTAGATAAATGCACTTCAAAATAGATTGTCAGCGAGGAAAGGAAGACAATCTATATTTATCTTTTTGCATTTAAAGGGTAGGGTTGGGATGATTTCATTTACTCGAACTTCAGCAGGTATAATTTTATAGATTGTTGAACATAGCTATAAGGAGAAATTACGCTTCCCATGACAATTTGTCTTGGACACCTGGAGGAATAAAAGATACAATTCCGACCGTCTGCTAAGATAAGCTTTATTTTGACAGCGTTGATAGCATAGCTTAGCGGTTGAAATGTGCAGGAATATTCAAGATAATGAGAGCAAAATACATATAATGAGAGTATAAGAATAGATCGAGGAAATCAATGGAGAAAAATAAAAGCACTTTTTCTTATCATAACATCAACCACCTGCCCGAATAATACTTCAATGTATTGATATCATTTCATATACATCTAAGTTACATCCAATTTACGGCAAAGTGTGAGGGGTTTGATTCTAATAAAATAAATTCTAATAAATTCTAATCTTTAGCCATAGATGAATGTGGAAGAGAGAAAGGGCTGTATCAATTAGCTGATGTTCATTGCAAAGAAAATCTTCAGAGCATCTCTGAAGTAAGTTTGTTGTTTCTGTTGCTTGTCAGACATTTTCCTGCTTCTTCTACTTTCTCTCAGCATAGCCCTAATCCAATTTTTTCTCGTGTTAGCTGCATTGATCTTTTCTCTACACTTTCGTATTGTTGGTACCTTCCGATAATTGGCAACTCAATCCCTGTTGTTAAAACGTGCTCCATATCTTGGACTTTAAAGTTTAATCTTGCGCTTTGGAAGACCTTTCCAAATAAATGTGAAAAACAAACGAAATATAATTTTTGGACAAAATCATAAACGAAAGCTTAAAAACATTGAGTGTGAGAAGGAAGAACCGCAGGATAGGCTGTCCGCCGGATTCTGTGAATCTTGCAATGAGATTTTAAAATGAAAGATATACAGGAACAAAATAATACGACGACGAGAATCCAATGTCACGAAATAAAATTTTCAAAATAAATTAAATTTAAGAGTATACTAATATTTCGCCCCGGCATACAGGGCTTCATCAGAGTAAATGAAACGAACGAGTGAATGGATTTGAAATGTGAGATGGTGGTGCCGGATTGGTGGATGTTGAATGGTGTGAATGCAGCGCAGTGGAGAAAATGGGATGATGGAAGTGGGGGAGGGAAAGGTGGATGTAAGGGGATGTGGGTGGTGCTATGGAGATTGATGCAATGGGATGACAATGATGACTATAAATATGAAAAAAAAAATATATTTATATATATAATATAATAATAATAATAATAATTGTGATGGAACTGAGAATAATGGAATGTTGATGATAGTAAGTTGGTTGGGTTGTGAGGGCGGCGTGATAGGTGATAAGTTGTTTTGTAAAGTTAACGGTCGGTGGTTCTGTTCATGCCGTTGGGGTTAAGGGTGTTCGCCAGGCCAATGAGATATTGCTCCTTAGCTCGACGAACACTCTCTCGTTTGTCATTAAGTCTAAGTAGTGGTGTGATGGCAAGGTCGTGGATGGTGTGTGCTGGGCTGCAGAAATGTTCTGCAACTCCAGACTTGTCTTCTTTTTTGTTGATAATGTCTCGTCGGTGTTCGTTAAATCTGTCTTTAAGTCGTCTGCTAGTTTGTCCGATGTATTGGCAGTTTTTGTTTCCGTTATGTAGACAACGTTTGCATTGTAATGCGTATATGACGTTGGTGGAGTTGCAGTCCAGTCGTTGTTTTATGTCGTAGTTTTTGTCAGTGTTAGAAAAATTAAATGTTGTAGTCCCGTCCATCCATCCCTCCCTATCGTGTTATACTTCAAACTTTTTCTGGCGGCCAATCAAGCTCACAGCTTTCAGAAACCTCTGCACAATCTTAGCACTTTACCCCCTTTAACAACTTTCTTCATTGCTTCGCTGGCCCTGCATATGCTACCGATGTTTTCATCTCGCTGGCTGCTCACCTGACAGATTTGCGTTCTAGCATAACCAATCTTCGGAAAAGCGGAAACCTCTTCACGTTTAAACTGGAAGACTACATGACAATAAATTAGATATTTATCTTAGCTCACTTAATATTCTGTGAGATCATACTATTTCATTTAAAATTTGCACTTTGAAATTGACTTTTTCATAATTGGAGGTTTTGAAAAAAGTAAACATTTTATAAACATACTAAAAGCTTTATCGTCTGACACTCCTCAGAGCATAAAACGTCAGAATCAGGGTCCGAAAGAACACGATGAAAAATATATACCCAGTCGTGGATCGAAATAGGCCAATCAGAAAAACGCAAGCACAAGACCGGTAAAGTTGACCAAGCAGTGCCGCGAGCCTAAAGAAAAATTACCACTGGAGTCCAAGAGAGAAAACGAACTCCTTTTGTCTATGTGCTATCCCTGAACCATCCCGAAGTTAACAGAGGCGTACCGGACTATGGCTTTCTTTAGTTAAGTAATAGAAGTGGTACCTAATAAGTTTGAGACCGGTTTTCATTAAAGATTTGCATACGCTACAAGAAAAAACTATCCGACACAGGCTGTCAGTAAATAATTTTTGGTTCCTTCGACACGCCACTACTCAATTAAATCTGAAAGCTGTACACTCGATATTTGTTCAGAAACTCTGAGGATTGGGACAGTTGGACGAATTTTCAACAATTTTGCCCACAAGAGCTCAGCACAGTGAATTTTTGGATCTCGATTACCCAACAGACCGTCACTTGTTTAATTCTCCCTTATGTTATTTGTTCTTGATCTACAAATTTCATTGCTTCTAAGATCTGGAAATCTAAACAAAAATTTGCTGTGAATTTTTTATTTTTATGCAAAGATTGTTTTTCTCCAGCCTCTAAATCTTGTTGCTTAATCCCAATGTCACTATGTAAGGAACAATATCACTGAATTAAGAAAATCAAAACAAATCAAGGTATTGTAAATTTTCAGATATTATCAATAAATAACTTTTCCTTTCCCAAAACTTTGTTGCACAATTCCAATAATTAACGAAAATTTCCCTTTGTCAAGAATTTATTACCTATAGAAAACTTGACAGACAATTCTTGGAAAAATTTTATCGGCAGTCACAAAATATCAATAAATATTTTTGTTAAAATAAGAACAAAGTCATAAGAATATAGAACATTATTTTGGCATTGCTCCCAATTAAATGGCAATTAGAGCTTTTTTTAAGGAGATTTTGTTGTTGATTTATGGATGAAAAGTGTCCGGAAGTATGGACAAAAACTGCCTTCCTTCATGATGATTTGGACAACAAAAATATGTTCAGAATATAGAAGACAAAAGAAAAGACAAAATAAAAGAGCGTTTGTTGTTGAAGGCAATCCTTTTGTATTCAAATACAATTATGTACAGCAGTACGATTATAAATGCAACAAAGAATACATTCGTTGATAGATTATAGTTGCCAGATATTTTCTTTCTTTGAAGCAGATGAAAAACCCAATTGATTGAACTAGGATGTTTTAAAGGTAAAATCCAACTCAGGAGATTTAGCAGCTCCATGAAACAGCATGACCTTGCCTGATCTTCCATGCATACTCAAGAATGTGGCAAAAATTGAGCGATTCAAGTCAATGTTATATATTAAGTCGAAAACAGTCGGCCATTAGACGCCTTCTCTACCAACCTTTAAGGTTATCGAATAACAAATCACTTAAACAACAGATATATATGCATATGCATGATGTGTTAGTACTGATTACAAAATCAACCCATACATAGGAAAAATAAATTAGATTAACCAAATATCAGATTTTTGATTAATTCACGCAATCATGGATATTTTCGCATTCAAAACTAGAGTACTGTTCTCTTTGTAACAGAAATTGATTCAATGAAAACTCTTCGATAGCTTGATTGGCGCGGTAGAAGGATTTGAATCTTCCTTCTCCGTGCTTTATCGCACCGCCTTGAAGATTAACATGCGAATGAAGCCACAGCCGATCAATCATTCGAAACACGGAATCTTTATTCCAAAGGGATAGCAAAATGGCCCTCTGCCAATGATGTTCTCCGTGCAGACACGAAACTGGACATACTCTCCTGGCAAAAAGGAGTCATCCTCAGGCCGCAAAACAAAGTATTTTGTCTTCACCTTTGAAACATCGACAAATGAATTGTTTTGTCCTATGGAAAAATGGTTGACATTTTCAACTCTATAAATGTAACATTATCAAAAATTACTACTTTGTTATACGGTTCTCCATGCCGAATAGACAAACAGAACGATACGATGATGCTACTCAGAATTTCAAGCTGAATGTGATCATCAGGCAACAAATGTAGGGAGGGCTGGGCAAACTGGAATAATGCTTCACAACATCAATAGGTGGTTTAATGACTATATGCTCTTTAAATCAATTTCATGGCACTTTCAGAGCTTATGGCTTTGTAACTATTATTTTTGTAGTTTAAAACCTTAACGCTGCAACAATTAATCCTGAGAAATTAACATGAATCATTCTATCACAGATTAGTTGTTACAATTAAATTGGTATACATAATCAAATGTTTGCTTTTTTAAAAGCCATTTTCAAGTTTCGTACCGCCAAAAAATTGTTCACATTCAACGTCGTTTGATTCTGTCGTATCTTGCTTGCCGTTACTCTATGTTCTTCCGACCCCTGATGATTGTTTTAATATGAAACTCAGAGTTGTGTTTGAATAGTCTGTTTATTCTTGTTTGACTATATGAATACATGTTTTTTATGGATGACGTCACGTCACAAGAACATCCCCATTACATATACTCATTCTTCTTACATAAAAATTGGGCTATGTATGAACCACGGCTTATATTTGTTTCAATGCAAGGTTCTAGGTGCCCAATTCTATTCTACTTTGATTTGGGTCTGATATTATTTATGCTATTTTATACGATTATCGAAATGATTTTTCATGCATTTAAAAGAAAACTGACATCAACAAGACGAATTAAGCCTAGAATGCTGATATCTTGAAAAGGTATTCTCGATTTTCAACTTGACAAAGATAATGAGCATTATGTCAGAAACTAGTACGCCCAAGGCTTGAAAGTATTTCACTGGGGGAGGGGGGAGGCGCTGTGGGCTCAGGCAAATATTAACAAGTGAGTTCATATTTGTTTGGACGAATTCTGTGTTGAAAATTCTCTATGATAGTGTGGATTTCTAATGAATGAGCAATTTCCTATCAGTCTTTCGGTGTCATCCATTAGTTTAAATGATTTCTACACACAACGGAGAGTCTTTTAAACAAATGCAAGTATACTGGGTGTGGTAAGGGTGGGGTCATTGGTGTGGCCTCTTCAATTTTCCTACGACACAGCCCCCCTTTCTGACTGTTTAGAACAGCACCCCTTTAAGCTTCGGACGATTCAGTTTACTATTGTGATTGATATATATCTTCTAAATTGTAGGAAGGATAAAAAATAGCAGTCTGACAAGTGTAAATCATCACTTGGTCTCTCTTCGGGAAAGAGGGAAGATCACTGACATAGAAAGGTCCAAGACAGAAACTCTTTGGAACACAACTTTCTTGTTAAGGGGGGCTGAGCTGGGTGAACTCCCAGGGCCGGGTGAACCCCCCTGAGCCCCCCCCCATCAATGGCACTACTGCTTGGTTGCTAAACCTGTTAGCAACCTGAAATAATGCTGATCAAGCAGAGACGTAGTTCTTCTTCTTCTCGATGAGACCGCACTTTGTGACCGCACTTTGTGACAATATCCCTTAAAATCAAAGACCTGGCGACTCTCCTTAAGCTTAGTGAGTGTTTAAGGAGCTGAGCTCAAGACTGTAGTCCACGACTATAACCACGTAGCCAGCTTTACACAAAATATGCCATCATCGCGCGCAAACCTTTCACTAAATTACATAAAAAACTCAGAAACTGGTTGTAGGTTATTAATCCTAATAAGAAACTCGATGCTAAAACATGTTGGTTATCAAATTATTTTTATTGGTGACATCTCTACATCTCCCGATGGTGACAAGGCATAGAATATGGTTGTAATAATGGAAACATTTGGAAGAGCACATTTAAAGCCTTAGCACAAAGCCGTGGGGCGTGACACCCCTTTGGAAAGAAACTCCGCTCCCACCATAGAGAGTCTTTCTCCATGTGAATTTTAGCCTAAATCACAAACTCGTTGTATTTCTGAATGGGTGGCTGCAGCACTTACGCCACCAGCATAATAGAAGCTTAGTAAGAAAATTTTGAATTGAGCCTAGTAACCAGTTTGGTGAGAACAGCCTGATGCACCTTGACAGTTCTCGACTAAGAAATAAAGGAATGAGCCAATCAGGCAAACGCAAAAATGTATGAAACAGGTTGGAAAATTACGAGCAGCTGGGAAGAAGCGAACGTTTAAATCTTGCGCATTTGCAGGATTACACTCAAAACATATAGAGACAGTTGACATCAAGAACAGCGAAGTAAGTGGTGATTTTCATCGTACATAGTATCATAATAATATTATAGTAATATTTTAAATTATATTACACATAAATGATTTTTTAATTTTATTCTACAAAAACACTAAAACTTAAGGGTGCATGTGGCAGTGGGCTTTAAAATTCAATTTTAAATTATATAATCTAGAAATGATTGTTGATACACACTTTGCTTTCAAAAACAAGAGATTGGAAGATAAAGATTCGAGCAAAAATTAAAGGAGGTGCAAAGCACCTTTCTTACAGAAAAAACTATCAAGTGAATGGCTGATTTTGAATTTTTACTAGAATTGCTGTCCCAAAATCAGCGAGCAAATGAGTTAGATGATCAATCAATGTAAATAGATCTTCCCGACCGTGCAACGTATTTTGAATAATCCAAAATAGACTTCGGTATCTACTGTTGGGCCAAAAAACAAACAAAGGAAAATAAATTTCTATTCGAAAATAAGAAAAATGGCAGTGATCGACCAAATATACTGATAACTGGTGACTTGTTTAAAATTAAACGATTCCATGTAATGAGCACCCAGAAGACAGAATCTTCTATAAAGAAAGGGACAAAATTTAATTGATAATTAAGAGATACCTTATGAGCGGGCTAAGGAAATATGTTTGTGACAGGTTGGTAACATTGAAACAGAAATATGAATTCACACCCTGGTACTGTATTTTCTTCAGCTAGATTATTTAAAACATGGTTGAGCTGTATGTTTTTTGTGCAATATCAAACAAAATGATAGAAACATCAACGCAGCATGCATAAAGAGCAAAAGAAATGAAAAACAATTAAAAAGCAATATTAGTCACCACTGAAAAGAAAAAGGGAAACTAAAGTAGCATTGGTGCTGATTGTTGAACTGGATTTATTTTAAAACAAAATTTTATCTAAGTCTTCAGTTTTATCTAAGTTGAAGAAAATGATGGTCTTTCAAGTGTTCGAAAATAATCCTCAATTGCACCTGCTGGTCAGTTACGATTTTTAGCATCTGCAATTCAACTTTGTTCCACACGTAGTGGAAGTGCTTTGTCAAGACTGTTAGTTTTTTACGCCTTGAATTTGTATGATTTATTGGAAAAGGTAAGAAAGTGTCTTCTGTAGCGTCCAATTAATGAAAGCCTCGTTATGAATAAGAGCCATGCATTTCCATTTGCCAGCCATTGTCATACAGGAATAAATCATTATCATCAAAACTATGCATTAAACAGAAAAGCTACGCACCGCAAACTAACACAAACGATATTTGTTGATAAATTTCTTTTGCAGGTAGTGAAGACAATTTTGGATTGCCTTTCCCTCAGAGTTTGATTGGGGCAACCAGTATCATTGATTTCAAGCAGATTTCGAGAGGAAATATCACAAACAACATAAAATGGGCGACAACTGTAAAGATCATTATTTTACTTTATCTACGCAAGGGCAAACAATCGCTTATGTTTCATTGTCAGGGACAATAATTTTTGCAGCAGCCGTCTTAAATACTATCGTTCTACACCTTGTGAAAACAAGACCCCAACTACATAAGCCATCTGTCTATTTGATAGCTGCTTTGGCTAGTGCAGATATGGTAATGGCGGTAGGTTCCTGCTCCTTGTACATAGTAGTCACTGTCACATCACTCTCTACCAGTTGTGTCTTAAAGACAATATGCTGCTGTTTGACAGCAACTGCTGTTGGAACAACTATTCTGTTATTGTGTTCTATAACACACGATAGATATGAGCTTATTCGACAAAGCCAGAGCTCAGAACCTCACACAACAGTGAAGCGAGTCGTAGTCAAGATCTCTTGTTGTTTAGGTCTTTCTGTGAGCATATCATCAACATTTGCTCTTGAGCGCATAATAAAAATGCCTTTCACAGCAGTTGAGCTTCTTTCAGTCGTGGTTTTTGGCAGTTTTCTTTACATCATAGTCTATTATCTAAAGCTGAGAAACCTTATCAAAACAGTTGACAGAAATAGAGTACAAAAATCACATGTAGCGGCTGATACAAAGGTCGACCTGCGATCGAAAGCGACACCGAGATACAAAAATGTCACCTTAGTGATAACGTTGCTAGTTTCTTCTTTTGCCATCGCTTATTTTCCAGTCAGTACCATTTTCATGCTGCAAAGTATCAGGAATCGGATGGGATGGGAACCAAGTGAAAATTTGTCGTTTGCTTTCATATGGTGCTCAAACTTCGGTTACATTAATTCAGTTTTGGATCCGATAATCTACGCCTTTCGCAGCGATTCTTTTGGAAGAGAACTCAGAAAGGTATTGGCAATCAGGTTCTTTATTTATAACTGCTAAGAACAAAATGAGCGTGAACTAGAATCTCTAAAAGAGAGTTCAGATTTAATTCAACACCTGGATTAAGATAACCATAAGATTTTCTCACTAGTAATATTTAGCATTAGTAAACAAAGAAGAACAAGCAGACCCTTTCTTTTTGCTGATGGCTTGCCTTTTTTCTAGGTCTACCCACGAATCTGGAGACCGTTCAGATCAGCAAACAGAAACGTGCATCCAATCAAACGACAAAAGCTCGCAAGCAACTAAACACTTAGTTTCTGACGACTTGACGTTATGAAAGTCAATTTTTGGGTATTTCCAGACAAATTTTTAATGCCAGCCTTAATAATTTATACAAAATACTTTTATCTTAATAGCGATGAGTTGAGAAGCTGAAACGCTTGCCAGGATAACTGGCTACTGCCTACATAAAGGAGGGGTATTCTAATATAACAAGGAAGTTTTTATTTTATAGTTCAAGTTCTATCATGCAGATGGACTTCTCTATTATCAATTTTGTTTGCATCAAAGGTGCACAGATATCGAGACTTCCTAGCAAACACGCATGCTGGTATATCTTTGGTAAAGTCTTTCAGGCTTAAAAATCAAATCAGAGAAAAGCTGCAGGTTTCACCAATCAGGGTGTTTTTCAATAAGGATGTTTTCTCCACCCTATCTCTCTGTTTCCACTTTGATTGCTCCTAGTACAGAAGCTTGTCTATTCTATAAAAGGTTCAAAAACACCATGTATACAACAATGTTTGTCTGTATGGGTAAATTCACATAAACACGGGCAAAATAAATCCTAAAAATACACCAAGTTCACAGACTTACTACCAAAGGAACCTATGTAAACAAGTTCACATTTTATTTACTAGTAACGATAATGTGGACTTATAATAAAAAGAAAGATAGTAACTTGATGAAATATCTACAAGAAAGTTACAATACAGAGATATCAAAAACTGTCCTTATAAATGATAAAAATGAAATTTGCCATTATCAAGATTGAGCAATACCACTCTTTATTCCAGAATATCGTAAGGCAGTATCGAAGTAAGAAATTATTCTTATGAGCAGGATCAAAATACAGGGTGCCCTGGTACAGAGCACAACCTCACGAAATCAATAAAACATCTAGCAGAGCCCTGAAAACTTTAAAAAATGAAAGGGAAAAATTTGCTCCATCTACATAGTTTGATCAGCAGATGCGAACATTCCTGTGTTTAAATGGTGTTAAACTAACAACAGGAATCTAACTCGAAATTGAAAATAGGAATATATTTTGAAAATAGGCAAAAATCAATGCAAAGTAAGCCAACAGCTTAAAAAAATGGCACATGTCGCGATTTTATGATACTGAAGCATCGATCGAAAAAAAGAAATGAAGAAATCGCCTTCAAGTGCATATAGCCAAGCATAAATCCATTATTTTACTATTTCAGTGAAGTGAATACAACATAATAAAAATTGTCTTATATTTATAGTATTCTAATGCAAATTACTTAACGCATTTAGAAAAGCATTCAGCGAAAACAGACTTTTTCGTTTGCATGTGCAAAAATCGCACCAAACTAAAAATAATTCATCACAGATTAAAGTTACGCAATCTTCACCAGTAAGAAGAAACAGTCTTTTGGTGTGAGCTGAATAATTGCTTAATTCAGCAGAAAGTGCAGCACTTTGGTAGGTTTATCAATTCCGCTTTGTTATTCAAATGAACAGCTGCATCAGGAAAATATTGATTAAGCAATTGACAGATAAACATAGCTAAAAGTATTACCTGTGCTGGCTTGGAGGACATAGAAAAGGGCAGGGTAGATATACTGCATGTCAGGAGCATCATCCCATGATATCTCTACGTGCTGTTCCTTGTTTATAGAACACAGAAAATTGCTTGGTACTGGTGGTGCTAAAAGCAGAATAGAACAAGGCGGGTGATAACAAACATCACAAGATTGTCACAATTTACAATAGGCTAGCAAATACCTAAATGATGGAGCTTGAATTTGGCTTCACAAAGAAGAAAAAGTCGCATTTTGGAAACGTTTAACAAGAGATATGATAAAGTTTCTTTAAGTTTAGGCCCTCTTTCATATCAAGACAGTCACACAGTGAGGCTGCATAATATAACTCCAATCGTATTTGCCAAACGCTGATACGCAACGTTGGTGCAATTCATGAAAGAAAATTTGAGGTTCCTTTTATAGTTTACCAAGAAATCTTTTAAAAAACTGGTTATTAAAAATCATACCTTCTACTATATAGGCACATGTCCTTATTGAATTTAAAATTGACTCGTGTCTTGGAAACTGGCAGTGCAAATTAGCCGATGCAACTGGTTCTGTAGCGACCATCATCTCCAACACATTTTCGATATCCTCCTCAACGCTTTTTGTTCGAAGAAGCATCTCGTAATAATCGTAAGAAAGTGCATTGTCACAGTTTCTGCTCGCAGTCTTCGCCAAGCTTGATATCTCAATCATTTTGCTGCAAAATAATTGAAACAAGGATGACCATAAAATATGCAGATGCACAGATTGAAACTATAGGTTGAAAACCCTCGTGACATTTCTACTTTTGACCAAGCCGTGTGAGGGCACGGTTTATCTCATTTTCATGAGTCTTTTTGATATTCCGTATTCGAAAGTCTTCAGGACAAAGGCCTTCTAGGGTCACAGGGTCTGATTTTTCAAACATGCTTTTTTCGTCCGGCATTAACTTTCGAAATTGAAATGAAAAAGAAAGATGACTTTTCCATTATGCAAGAAGCTAATGCTCACCGATTAGAGAAAAAAACAATAAACTAATCAAAGGAGAATTTCGCATTTATGGACGTCCACACCCTGGGTCAATGTACCTACATCTGTATAATGCATCTTATTTCGGGTTTCACTTTTTGTCATCTTAAAAGCAGATAGTTCATCAAAATACCTGAGTTGCTCGCGTAAAGCTTTTAGCCTTGAGTCGCTTCTTTTACTCAGCTGTGCTATCAATGATTTCTCGGTTAAGTCGATGGTCGCTCTCAGTTCTCGAAAATACCTTCGTACCACGTCTTTAACTACTACCGAATTCTGCTTAACCTCTTCAATCATCTGTTGCACATGTCCTCTTGCTTTGATATATCTTTCACAGTGTAAATCAACCTTGGATCGAACAACATCATGATCATAAAAAAGATCCATGGTAAGGACAGTAACTAAACTGGAAATAGAGTAAAGAACACAGTGACTCTAAAACATTTTGAAACTTACGAGAAACAATTTTTGCAAAGAATACGGGACAAATTGAAATATATGAGTTTTTTGTAACATGGTTTGATGGAGTGCCAGTAACAAAAAGTGAGAAAAGCAAGATTCATAATCAGGTTATCCGATTAAGCTAAAGTAGGATCTATCTAGCACTGCTGACTTTTCATATAGGATGAAACTATTCCCAAGGCCATTACTATAATCAGTTTATCCCGTCTTGATATCAAAACCCTTTAGTTGTGCCCATGGCCTAGCTTCAAACACAAATTTTCAAACCTTTTGCTGTAGTTTTTGGAGTTCTATTCTCTCTTTTTCTTCGGCTTCATGAACTTGAAAACAGTCATGCCCTCTGTGTTCTCCAATTGTCTCGCAGTATGAACAGCAAAGGCATCTATCCATTCGACAATAAATTTTCATCTTTTCGCCATGAACTGGACACTCTGGCAAAGATCGATAAAAATATTTTAGGGCTGGCTGTAGTACCAATCTATAATAATTGGCAGAAATTGAAATCCCTTGCTATTTTACGAAGATGGCACCATTATTCAGAAGCTATCTTTGATTAAGTATAAGACCAATCACAATTTGATTGATTAAGTATGACCAATCACAAGTGTTTAATCAAGCATGGGAAATATTTAAATCAACACTTTCTAGACAATCAAGATGTCATTCATTAAGCCAAAATTTATTATAACAGAAAAACTTGAAAATGGCTTTCAAAAAAGCAAACAATTAACATACTAAAAGCTTTTTACGTCTGACACTTCTCAGGGCATAAAACATCAGAATAAGGGTCATAAAGAGCAAGATGGAAAATAACTTATTGTGGATCGAAATTAAGACAATTAGAGAAATGCAAGCCCATGACGGGCAAAGTTGTCGAATCAGTACGGCCTGCTTATAAAAAAATCATGACTTGAGTTCAAGAGGAAAAACTCCTTCTGTATATACAATAGGGTCTTTTTCGTTTGTATGCAGATCGATTCCAAAACTGCAAGATGAAAAGACAATTGGGCTCTGCAAATTGTCTGAAACAAGTTGTCATTATAGAATTTTGCACAATTTCGGTTATCTAAAAGTTGTTGTTTGATGGCAGAATCACTTGTTTTAACAGTGTTTCTAGACCCACAAGATCAAGCAGGCTGTTTTCTTAGAGTGGTAGTTTTGTTTCTAATGTTGGCAGGAACATGTTTTTTTTCCAATTCTCCAATCTTTGGGCTGTGTATCATATATAGGCAGAATCACAATGGCATGCAAATTCAAAAACATTCAGAACATAGTTAATTTTGAATCTGCTCCAACAAAAATAAATCTCTTGCACTGCCCTTAAATAAATCACTTGCACTTAAAACATGAACTTCAAAAGCCTAAGAACCCTTAAAGATAAGCAAAATCAATTTATAAATGATGATGGCATAGTTAGAAAAATGCATTCAATAACTCAACAAGTCCTACCAGGAATAGAATCTTTATCCAGCAAGAAACTTGAAGATGGTCTTGACACAATTCCAGGTTTACTGCCAACAGATGAATGGCTGCTTGGCCTACTTTCAGAACTCTCGTATATTTGCTGAGCTTTAGTGTTGCTATTTCTATTTTTGACACTTTCAAGTACAATGACATGATTTGTGTTTTCAGGTTTCAAATGTACAATATCAGAGCAGTTGCCACAAAAGGAAGTGTCACACTCTTTGCAGAATAATGTAACAGGTTTTGGTGGGTATGTTTTGCGCACACAGTGGCAACATACTTCGGGCTGCTTTATAACTTTGCCCAGGCCCACTGCATCAAGGTTTGTTATGAGTAAATCTATTCCTTGTGATGGAATAAGTGTTGGCTTCTGACATAAAGGACATTCTACTGCCTGGCCTTGTAGATCTTTCAACTTACTAATACAGTCTAAAAGAAAAATGGGACAACTTCAATCAAGGACTATGCACTAGGCATAGTGAATGCAAGAAATACAATGTAGAAATCGAACTAAAATCAACAAATATACCATAATATCATTTATATTTGAGCTAGGTAGCTGCATCAAAGCTAGAATTGAGACAGAAATATTTAAATAAGGGTGGTTATATGTTTCTTAAAAGCAGCTTTCCAAAACACAAAGGATAAAAGATGACCTGAGCAAGACATGAAATCTGTAGTAAATGACAGCTAAATCATTGGAAAAAGATGTGAAATCTCCTTCCTCCTCGCAATGTTGGTGCTAGATGGATATCATCATTATAGCTAGCTGACAGGAACAGGTTTCAAGTCATTACCAGTGACCCAAGAAATTGACATAAATTACACAAAACTGATATGTCAAAAAACAAGAAGCAAAGGTAAACTGAATCAGCAATGTTTCAATGGAATATGTCAATCAAGTATTATTTTCTAATGCCAATGAACAACTGGCATTTGAACTTGGTTTGCTCATATCATATGCAAAGATCATGTGGACAATTAAAAGTTTTCAAAAAATGTGGTCTTTGTAAAACATTTAGGGATAATCAGCACAAACATCAGTAAGCCAATCAAAAGTAATGGATTGATATTATTTATTGGGCAATTCCATTGTGTTGGACATACATTTTGCACACTTTAAACATGTTTAGCCAGTTTCATGGCAACATTATTTTTAGGGCTTCATGCCAGAAGGAAGAAGTCTAAGTGTCCTATCAACAAAGCATATGTTATGTTTTGTCATCATCATCAGTTATTGGGTTAGTGGACAAAAGTGCACTGGTGTTGAACATACTCAGAGAACTCAAAATTTTCATGACTATGAGTTTAAATACAAATTTTTGTGAAGTGATAGGTATTAATAAAAAATCTTTGTTTCAGCTTGACAGGCTAAGCCTCAAAGTGCATTAAGATAGAAAGTAAAATTTTGAAATGTGCTGCAGTATCTTCTAATTATTAAGAGCTTATGGTGCTGGACATACATTTTCAAGTGTCGGACGTACATTTTGTGAATTAAAACATCTGCAAACATCAAACATCTTTTCAAAAAACATAACAACAACAGAACTATAACATTGATGTCCTTAAAAAGATGAAATTTTAAACTGTCCCATATTTCCTGCTACAATGGGTGGTTTAATCTTCTGCACTACATCCCTACAAAAGTAAAAAATGTTATCTCTTTTGGACGGCCATTTCAAAAACCTCCCAGTTTTCTCCATCACATAATACTTAACATTATGTCATGTCTCAAAATATTTTCTGTGCCTTCATACTTAGCAAAAAATTAAAAAATAATCGCTGCTGGTGTTGGACGTACTTTCAATAAATTGTTTCATAAATAAGCAAAAATAATTTAAGAATGTTGAAAATCTTTCTTTGTTAAAGAAAGAGGTCATATTGTACTATCAAAAGACATCAAACATAGAGGAGAAAGTAGAACATTTTTTGGCCAAATCTTATTATGGTCTTAAACATTTTATATTTTTTTCAAACAAAATTATTCAACCTTCAGTATAATTAAATTTTGGAGAGAGACAAGAACAATGCATTAGCTATTAATTGTTTGTTCACGATAAGACACAAATTGTCTATCAATTGACACCAATTGCATGTTGAAAGGACAATTTTTAAATTTCCATGTACATATTGGTTTACTTTTTCATGGAATTGCCCTATTAAGAAAGAACATTTAGAGAAGGTATTTATTCATTCTTGGATATCTTTATTGATATTCATTCATTTGCTATCTTTACGTGGAGCAAATCAGGCAAAGGCTAGTCCGCTCATGGAGCTTTTTTCTGAATAAGGCCTGGCTTCTCAAGATTGATGTAAAGAAGAGGCCAACAAGTGACCACTAAGACAAATAGCATGATGCTATTTGTCTGGAGCTGTTAATTGATTATGATGCAAGAGGAATATTAAAAGCTGAAGGTGAGTTGAGCAGATAAATTAAAAATCAGAAGAGTGGATAAATAGAGACATTATTTTAATAATTTCACAGTAGAGTTTGAAGATATTGATGCATTGTCTTTTCAATGTTTGTGAAAAAAATTGCAGGACTGGAAGAAGTATGAAAAATCATGAAAGTTGTACCACTGTCAAACTACTTTACTGTCCTGCCATCAGATTTTGCTTAAAAATGTTAACTTTGTGCATAAACAGTAAATTGACCATAAGAAAACCATATTTTTATCATCAATTAGTTTTTTAAAAACAAATGAAGAATGAAAACAATCTTAAATGACTCCTTGAAGAGTTTGCTGTTCTGCCTTGCCAAAAGAACATAGTGCTAGATAGAAGGAAGCCCTTTTGCAGGAAAAATATAATCTTGTGATGGAATTAGTGATCAAGTTAGCAAGAAAAGCAGAAGTCAACAAAGGATGAAATATCTGGTTTAACAAAATTTCTATGATATGTGTTTGAAAATAAACTGAACTAGAATTTTATCCCTACATACAGATGTTTGAAAAGCAACCAATATGGTTTAAATTTTATTTGGAAAGTAAAATGTGGCTGACTTTGAATATTTGGTTTTGCTAACAGTCATATTATAAGTTTTAATTTCATATTCATTATTAATTTTTTCTTTATGTATACCAACTAAATTGATGTTTCACAAAGGAGAGAGACCACTTTTCCAACTAGTTATGACTAATTTTTCTACCGCAGTTTCTATTAGATTGAGCTGTCAATAGAGAAGCTCTGAGTTCATGAACATAGACATTATGAGATCTCTGTAGTTCACCAAAAACATGCAGTATAAGTGTAAAACCAAATTAGCTCAAACGACATGTTTTAAATTTCAGATATAAGTATATAAACTATTTTATATAAACTGTGCATTTTGGGGACTCGTGATATATGGATTACTTCTCACTAGAATAGTCATGGGCCCTGGTGCAGTATTACTAACAGAGAGCCCCACTCTTAGAGAGGTTTCTTTATTGTTCTTTTTTGCCCCACCAGCCATTTCTACCACAAGCCGCCACTGTCCAGAGACAAACGTTTTTGAATGTATTAGCTCATCAAGCCCCTTTTATGTGGGAGCTTTCTAGCTGCAGCAAGGAATTGTAATTTGATCCAGTACAAATATTTCGAGTGACAAGGGGATTATTCGAGAGAACTGGCCTACTTAAACTGTTGACTGCTCTTTTCAAAATTTCTAAATAAAGACCAGTGAGTATAAAATTATGAACAAGAAAATCTATGAAATTTACCTGTACAGAATGTATGTTCACATTCTAGGTGCTTAGGTACCCTGTAGGGGTGTTTGATGTTATAATCACAGTAGCATAATGTACAAACAGTCACAAGTTTTAGGGCCATCTTTCCATAAGAGTTCGTGTTCCTAGGCAACCAACAAACGAGGCTATCTTGAAGAAAATCCGTTTCTGATGTTTTTTCTATTAACAATGACCGGGGCGTCGTGGCCAACGGGCAGCCCTTAGAGAGGTAAGGCAGAAAACCTCATAACTTTTGCCTTAGCTGAAAAGATATTTAAAATGCCCTGTTATTTTTTCACTGTTTATAGCTCCATAAATTTTTAAATCTGGGACAGAATTTTCAAATATCAGGCACAAAATTTGCACTGTCCCGGTCTTCAATTTCAAAGAAGATATCATTTATGACCAATTTTGACCAACTTCCATAACCAAATTCGGTCCTTGAATACTCAGATCTTAACTGACAAAATCCGAGCAGCAAAAACTCTATGGTAGAAATCGTTAAATCCTGAGAAATAATTTTGTTTCTGTTGAAATCTAGCATTAATATTTTTTTTCTAAATTGAATCGCCAAGAAACAAAGGGAAAGTACTTTAGTGCAAGCTAAAAGATTCGTTACACTTCTCCTTTTTACTCACAGCTCAATTTAGAGAATTTTGTGACATAGCAATGATTTTTCCGAAAATCCGTCAAATTTTGAGAGCAGAGAGGGCCAGGCCCTCTGGACTATGCTGAAGACTATTACGGGAAAATTCAGGGCGTGTTTGTGTATTTGTGTGTATCTGTGATGGTGGGGGAACATACGATAACCCCCCAATATCATTAGTAAGGGAGAAATGGGTCCTTTCGATGATGGCTCTGGGACCGGGTGAGAAAACTATAGGCAAGCGAGAGTTTGGAACGAAACTCATATTGGGAATGGGCGGTTGCCAATTGTATTGTTTCACCAGCCCCCCCCCCCCCGCTTCCGAAGGTCCTGGTAATAATTGCAAAAAGTCCATCCTTTCTGTGGCTCTGGGACCGAGTGAGAACATTAGTAAGAGATAATGTTTGTCCATTTGTGGAGACTAAAATAAAGAGACTAAATTGGTGGAAGTTAGTAGATAATTTATGACGAAAGGATGAATTGAAAAGGAGGTTTACAGAATCCTCTGAAACACCAGCATTAGTTGAGTGGAGACTGAAGAGATCTAGTGGCTATAGATCTGTCTGAGAGAAAGCTGCCAGTCCAATGTATAAGAGTTAGTTAGAGACCATACATGGAAAGTTTGGAAAAAAATAACTTTCTGCTAGACACAATCAAAGGCTTTGGAGATGTCGAGACCAGAGAGGTCACTCTACTCTTACCAAAGGATTCTAGGGCAGAGGACCAAACGTGAGTAGCATAAGCGAGAAGATCACCGGTAGATCTCGCTTGGAGAAGTCCCTACTTGTGATCAAAATAGAGTTTGGTGTTTTCGCGGAAGGTGAATGGTTGTTTGGTGATGATTGTCTCCACTCCATTGTTTTAAAATTGAGGGAAGTGGTGGGTGTATCAAAATCAGTTTATTTTCTCAAAATTCGTGATCTGAATGGCATTTTCCTACACTCCATTCCCGTAAACCATACTTAGAACGGTTTTGAAATTTGTACTGTGCAGAATGTCTGCGTTCAATGCAGGGCCGTCGCTAGAAAATTTTCATGGGGGGTGCAAGACCAGTGGTTTGCCGACAAAATGGGCGTGGTAACATATATTGGCGTGGTTCCCAAACGATTATAATTATCATTGATAAAACTCGTGAATATTTTTTCTCGAACTGCTGTATTTCAGTTTTGCTCAGTGTCATAATTGTAGGGTGGCCAGCAAACCAAAAGGTCCCGGTTCAGGGTGTGGCAGATAAACTTTTTTGAGCCACACCAACTCATGCGAGAAAAGGCTAAAATATGCTCAGTTCAAATCAATTATTGACAGTTGTGGTTCTCTATTTAAATCAAGGATTCTATGTATGGAGTTAAACTCTGCACAAAAACAGCAAAACAATGGTTCTATTTGTAACTCTAAGAAACTCTAATAACAGCTCAAAATAACAATCCTAGTGTGACAATTTTTGCAATATTTTCAAGCGAATCTAATATATAAATATATATATAGTATTCTAAAATTGAGCCAAAAAAATAATGAACAATTCAACCTGCATGTTCTTTTCTTTTATGTGTCATCTTTTCATTTGTCTAGGTTAGTATCTTGGCTACAATTTGAAATCTAGTGACCAACAAACTTATTCACACTAAAACAAAATCGAGAGAACTTGAAACGATACAGATTCCTTTGTCTGTACCAAACTCTATTATTCTAAACACGTTGTTCATTTAACAATTAGCAAACAGAAAAACTTCATTATAACTTTTAAGCATGCACCATGCAGAGGGTTTCAGAGAAGAGAAAAACTTAAAGGGTAGCAGGGGAAGGCCTTTAACTTTTGCTTACTACTTTCAAGGAAGAAACTGTCGCGGAAAGAAATTTTCACGGGAAGAAACTTTCGAGGGAAGGAACCTTTGCGTTTTTCAGCGTTTATGGCCTGAAATCGCGGATGATTGATACGACCTGAAATACTAAATTTTCGAATTCGAAAATCTAAATTTTTTCCTAACAAACTGGCGGAGAGGGTAACCTTGGACTAATACCTTAAAATTTTGAAGGGTGTCCAAAACAATTTCGCCCTAGATGTCACGTGATCGATGACGTAAATTTTAACGGTAAAAAAAATGAAAATCATCGAAATTGAAAACAAAACAACATCAATCGAAAGATTATAAAAACAATGAACAACAAAAGCTTAGAAAAATATATTCTAAAATCAACCAGTTAAAAACAATCACGTGTCAAAGTATTGATGACGTCACCATATGCACAAGTCAAAAGTACGGGAAATTGGTAATTTCCGCCATTTTGGGCCTCTTTTATTGATACTATTGTGGAATATCCATGTTGACAAGATATGAGGCGTAAGTGGTTATGATGCTACAGTGGATATATAAAGGGTTAAGGCATAGAGTAGCCCCTAATGGTTAAGTTAATCGATTACTTGACTTTCGTCTAGTTTGGCACGTTTATTTTTGCCAAAGTTTTCAAAATTGAAATCTCCATCATTTGCAGGTGTAGATCATGAGCTACGCCAAAATAGCCGCAGAAGTAGATAAATGTGACGTGAAATAATTCATTTTCATTGTGATAATTGGTTTATACAATAAATTGATTAAAGCCGCGAGAGTAGATAAATGTGACGTAAAATCATTCATTTGATGATACTGATTGGCAGGCCCACCGAGAGGGGGGGTGGGGGGGGGGCAAGGGGCAAGGGGGGCTACTGCCCAGGGGCCCAGCGCCAGATAGGGGCTCGTCAACAAGTCTTCAATTTTTTAAAAATGGTAATTTTTGAATCAGGGATAATAATAAATCAAATAACCGTTAACAAACAAAATACCCATCGAGTAAACAAAATAGGTTAACAGGCAAGGTAACAAACACTCTAGTAAGCTTTAATGTCTTTAGCTGTCCGAGAGTAAGGCTTTGCGAGCTTTTCCTTCAGCAAACGTATTAATAACATCTTGCAAATCTACTTTTCGAGCAATGTCTCGCTCAAGTGATAGCACAGCCAAGTCATTAAGCCGGACTTGTCCCATTGTTGTCCTCATGAAATTTTTTATGAGGTTGAGTTTGCTGAAGGATTTTTCTGCACTCGCAACAGTAACTGGAAGGCAGCAAAAAATTTTCAACGCGATGAAGAGATTCATTAATCCCAGACTTCTCAGCTTATTAAGGAGATCTAAGGGGCTCGAACAAACGTCTCCAAACTAGCTCTCTAAGGGGCTTAATCGATGGAGATGTTGTAGTTGAATCATTTCTTTTAGTAGATCCGGAGAAACATCAGTAGCATAGTTGGCTGCAAACTCTTTTACAGCGCTGTTCAACTTAGTTTCTTCCATTTCCACGTATCGCCACAAGAAGCTGAAAGTTGAGGCAATATTTCTTGTTTCTCGAAATCTCAGTGAAATCCCGGACAAGACAGAGTCAAGCGCAACATAGAAGACGTTTATTTTGAATTCGTCTTCGTTGGACAATCCACAGGATTCGTTTTTATTGTCAGCCCTACGTTTCTTGTGCGCCTTGACTCAAAAACTGAATCAATGTCAAGCGATTCCGCAACGAATTTTGCTTCATTCACGATGGCATCCCAATAATCTCTGATGGCTTTTATTTCTTCAATAAGCACATCAAGCTGCTTTACTGCCTCGTCAATAGTAGAAATGCTCGTTTCCATCAGCAAATTAGCGGTGTGAATTGGAACAAGAATCTTGTACCAAAATGTGAGCAGGATCAAACTCCTGAAGGATTTGAAATAGTTCAAAAGGAAAGACCGATCTTCGATTGCTTCAAAACATTGATAAACTGGACCACTCAGTTGATCAAGAGCCTTCAAAACACCAACGAGACCAACGAGTTGTCGATGTGGAATGAAGTGATGCACCTGTGCAGTCAAGAAGGATTTTCCACCTGGCTGGCTGGGCTTTTGGAGAATAAATTATACAGTTTTTGGAAATATCCAAAGAATGATTTGACTTCATCACATGACTGTGTAGAATCAACCCCAACAAGATTTAAGGTGTGACAAGCACAAGGAGAAAAGATTGCCAAGGAATTCTTTTCGAGTAGGTGTGCCTTTACTCCCTTGTATTTTCCTGCCATGTTAGCCCCATTCTCATGTTCTTGACCTCTTCAATCATCAAGCGGTATTGAAGTATCAGAAAGAAAATTCTGAATCATATTTGCTATTTCCTCTCCTGTTTTGTTACTAAAGTCGACATGAATGCCATGAAGGACTCCTCAACTTTATATTCCTGTTCTTCTTCATTGAAAGCAGCATATCGGAACACAAATGTTGTTTGCTCCTTGTGTGAAGAATCTGGTGTTGCATCGACAATCAAGGAATAATACTTTGCACTTCTCCGTTTTTCAAGAACAGCTTGGCGGACTTTATCTGCACATGTCTTGACAAACTCATTTTGGGAGTCGGCTGACAAAGAGTGCACTTGAAGTTGTCTCTTTTCTCTCTGTGCCTTTTTATTTTTTTCTACGTGACGTGCTAAAGTAGGGTCATACTGGCTGAGA